AGGAGATTCTGGACGCTGTCAGATCCTCAGAGGACTGTAGTGTCAGTTAGTTTTACATGTGAGAGACACACAAACAGACCAGCCTTAGTATTAAAACCACCTCCTTGTTTCTACACTCACTGTCCACTTTATCAGCCCCACTGACCGTATAGTCTCACTCTGTAGTTCTACAGTTACAGACTGTAGTCCATCTGTTTCTCTGATACTTTGTTAGCCCACTTTTACCCTGTTCTTCAGTGGTCAGGACCCCCATGGACCCCCACAGAGCAGGTACTATTTGGGTGGTGGATCATTCTCAGCACTGCAGTAACACTGACGTGGTGGTCGTGTGTTAGTGTGTGTTGCGCTGGTGCGAGTGGATCAGACACAGCAGTGCTGCTGGAGTTTTTCTCTCTCTCTTACCTACTTTGTTTTACTCTCTCTCTCTCTCTCTCTCTCTCTCTCTCTCTCTCTCTTTTTTTCTCTCTCTCTCTTTTTTCTGTTCTTCTTAGTCTCTCATACTTCCTCTTTCTCTCTCTGTCTGTTTCCTTCTCTCTCTCTTACTTCATCTTATTCTCTCTCACTGTCTCTCTGTCTTCATTCTCTCTTGCCTGTTCTCTTCTGTCTCTCACTCATTTGTTTTCTTGCATATATTCTCATTCTTATTTCTTTCTTCTTCCTCTCTCTCGCTCTCTCTCTCCCTCCTTTCTCTCGTTCTCTCTCACGCGCCCTTTTATTCTTTTCTCCTTCTCTCTTTCACTCTTTTCTCTCTTTTCTTTCTCTCTTCCTCCCTTGCTTCTCTTGCTCTTCTCTTTCTGCCCCTTTCTCTCTCTCTCTCTCTGTGCTTTCTTATCCTTTCTCTCGCTTCTACTTTATCCTGCTCTTTCTTTCTCACCCTCTTACCTTTTCCTATTCTCTCTCTCTCTGTGTCTGAAATTTTCTCTCTCTTTAGATGCTCTCTCTCTCATTCTCTCTCTTTTCTATTCTTTCATTCCACTTTTGCTTGCTTGCATACAGTTTCTTTTTTCAATTCTCTCTCTCTCCCTCTCTCTCTTTCTCTACTTTATCTCATTCTTTCCTTCTCGCCCTCTTATCTATTCCTATTCTCTCTCTCTCTCTCTAAAAATTTCTCTCTCTTTAGATGCTCTCTCTCATTCTGTACCTCTCTCTCTCTCTTTTGCTTACTCCTTCTCTCTTTTTACTTTTCTATTCTCTCATTCTCTTCCACTTTTGCTTGCTCACATACACTTTCTCTTTTCTGTTCTCTCTCTCTCCCTCCCTCTCTCTCTCTATTTTCTCTCTCTCTCTCCCTCTCTCTCTCTCTCTCTCTGTACTTTCTCTCGTTCTCTCTCTAACGCTCTTTTATTCTTTTCTCCTTCTCTTTCACTCTTCTCTGTCTTGCTTCTCTTGCTCTTCTTTCTTCCTCTTTCTCTATCTCTCTCTTTCTTTCTCTGTTGCTTTATCTTATTCTTTCTTTCTCGCCCTTTTACCTTTTCCTGTTCTCTCTCTCTCTCTCTCTCTCTCTCTCTCTCTCTCTCTCTCTTTCTCTCTCTAATATTGTCTCTCTCTCTCTCTCTCTCTCTCTCTCTCTCTCTTTCTCTCTCTAATATTGTCTCTCTCTCTTTAGATGCTCTCTCTCTCTCTCTTACTCCTTCTCTCTCTCTCTTTTCTTTGCTGTTCTCTCATTCTCTTCCCTTTTTTGCTCGCTCACATACACCCTCTTTCAGCTCTCTCTCTCTCTGTAGATGCTCAGTGTCTCTCAGCCCTCGTACTCTAATGTGACAGTAATATGTGGGTTACTGTGAGGAGGAAGATGATGGGGGGATGATGATGGTGATGATGATGAAGAGTAAAGGGTCTTGAGTGTATGTGTGTGTGATTTGGGGGCAGGGTCAGCGCCCTGCTGCCCTCAGGCTGGTCGCTGAGCGAGGGAGCGAGTGTAAGAATGAAAGGCGGCCGTTGTTCTCCGGCAGTGGGGTGAAAGTAGGTCGCGCTGAGGAGCAAACGCTGAAATAAACGTCTCCGGTTCAGAACTCTGTCTAACGTAGACTTAAAAGCATGTAGAGCTGCTTCAGGACGCGCTGGAGATTCTTTCATCCCTCAGGGATCAAAAGGAGACAACAACCCAAATACAACAGGCAGCATTAAAGGGCTCAGACAGGAAACTATTCCTGCTGCTCTGTGATGCTGTATGTTACAGTTACAGTCCACAAATAGAAACTGCGCTGCAAATACAATTCATTTTGAATGAGTTGTTTTTGTGATGTCACAAAAGCTAACACATTCAAACATACCTGCCTATTCAGCCTGCAGCAGCTTAGCCCCGCCCACTCATGCAGGGAGTGTTTCAGGCCCAAACTGCTTTTTGAATGATGCACAATGCAGGGCAGCCAATCAGAACAGAGCTCATTTACATATATCAGTCTTAAAGGCACAGAAACAGCCTGTTAAATTTTTATGAATTTTGAAGAGGAGTGGCCGTGTAAAAACTGAGTTATCAGTGAAATGAAACCACACGAACATCATAAATGAGCTAAATAAATAAATGAATACATACCTAAATGCATAAATAAATACATGGAAAAAGGCAGAGTGTGGGCCCTTTAATACAATACAGCATAAATGAATTATGACAGGAATAAAACCACACAAAAATAACAAACAAACAAATAAATAAATAAGTAAATAAAACAGCACAAACAGTAAATGACAGCTGACCAATCTGAAGGTGATTCAACTGCATCACAGCACTAAAGATCAGATTTTGGCGATGATCCCTTTTGTGCATTGTGCAATATTAATAATAATAACACATTTGATTTATGCACCACCTGTTTGAACCATGTTTACATGGGAAACAGACAAATAAAGATGAATAAAGTGAAAACAAATGGAGCCGGAACAGAGAAAAAAATCATTTATTCATCCAGTTTTGCTTTACAGACATCAGTGAATAAATAACAGTGGCTTTGTTCGGTTTGTGATGTTTTCAGAGCTGAATAATTAAAGCTTTCACTGAAAAGTTTGAACAGAAAACAAAAACAGTGCTATCGTGTATCAGTGATTGTATCTTTCGCCCCCGCGAGACAGTCAGACATCATTAAGCGTCATTTGGAGGCCGTTGTGTAATTGGTTGGTGAAGCGGTCGTGGTGTTTGTGTGAACTGATTGCTGCTAATGTAGTGAAATTAGCACGGGGAGCGCTAGCGCTGAATGTTAATGGAGGCAGGATTAAATCTCTCCTTCACCTCCTCATCACTCGGAACGCCATGGCCGGAGAGACGGAGCAGGAGCCAAAACCCGAGTCAGAATTAAAGCCCTGGACATGACTGTGACCGCAGGTGGATTAATGCACAGGCACCCTTAAAAAAGATGGATCTTCAAGGGTTCTTCAGTAAAGACGAGGCTTCTATGTAGAACCATGAACGCTACAGGAACCGTTAACTCTCCAAAATTGCTTGGAATAAAATCTTTTGACGTTAACTTACGTTAAAAGTAAAAAATAATGTTGTGCCTTCGCTTTGCTGCACGATTAAATGGTTCCCTGCATGGTGAAATGGTTCTATATAACACCACAGAAGGTTCTGCTATTGTATTGTCAAGCTTTTCAAAAAGGTTCCATATAGAACAACTTTCAGCAAAAATCAAACCACCTTAGGAGCCACAATGTTTTATGTCCTTTTTTTAAATATGTCTCAGTATGTGCTGATGTACTAATATAGACTAAAAAATATAATATAAACATAAACACAGACTTACTTCACTCTGCTTTAATCTTTAGCTCAGCTATAGCTGCTTTTCTCACATCTCCAGCAGGAAACTTTTCCACAAAAGTAGAACAGTTTCTTGTAAAATGTCTCTCAATGTTCGACTTTTTACGAGGCTGAAGTCGCTTCTCATTCTCCAGCTTCTTGTTCGAATTTTCCCGTTCCACCTTAAATGGTGCCTGAGGTACCAGAATGTAACTGCTGCACCATTTAAGGTGGAATGGAAAAATTAGAACAAGAAACTGACTTGCAGCTTCGCAACTTTTTAGCGTTTGTCAGTTTCTTGTTGCAGATTAAACGTGAGAATCTGCGACACTCGCCTTCGGCTCATACGGGTGACCAAATCACAGCCGTGATGTTGTTCGCAATAACACACTCCCTCTCATGTTCTACTGCTTTAATATAGAGACTAGGCTTCGCAGTAGCTGTTTTTGTGAGGACAAAAAAACATTTTTGCATATACCCGCCTTTTTAGCCTACAGCAGTGTCAGCCCAGAGGACAGCCAATCAGAGCAGGGCTTATTTGCATACAGTGGTACGCACCCGTGGTCAAACTCCTTAGTTGTGTTGTTTTCTAAATGAAAACAGGTTGACACAACATCCATAATTTCTACTTCTTTGCTGAGTTTAGCAAATTAGAATAAAAATAAAACCGAAAATGTGGCCTGTGCTAAATTTATGGCACATTATGTTTTTTTTTTTTCCAGTATGTTAAACCTGGTAAATAAACAGAGGTGGTGGGGTTGTTTTTGCATGTGACTGTATATCAGTAACAAAAACAATCAAAACAGAGCCCATTTACATAAATGAGTCTTAAAGGCACAGTGACAAAAAACAGAGTGTTTCATTGAAGGGATAAAAAGAGGTTGGAAAGTGAGATTGTAGAAATGAATTATGATTTTTTTTGGTACATTAAACATCACAATTGTTATAAAAGGAGTTCAGATAGAAAAAAAAAATAAAATAGTTGAAAAATGCAGCAAATCATCGCTGTTCAAATAAAAAACAGCTTTACAGGAAAAGGCACAACGTTTTCCTTACTTGTAATGTAAGTTAATGTGAAACGGTTTAATTCCAAGCAGTTTTGGAGCATTTTCACAGGACGCTGACGGCAGCTGCGTTCAAATGATTTAGAAAAACAAAAATTACACAGCGATAAAATGGGCCTTTTAACAGTGGAGCTAATGTTAAAGCACTGTGACGTTGTTTATACATTTGTGTATCGTTAAATATGTTTATTTATATATATTTTTAGGAGCCACAGAGGAGCCAGAAGTGATTCCAGACCCGGCGAAGCAGACTGACCGTGTGGTGAAAATCGCCGGAATCAGCGCCGGAGTGCTGGTGTTTATTCTGCTGCTGCTGGTGGCCATTCTGCTGGTCAAGAAAAGGTAAGATTAATGACCTGTACACATCTCTATTACACTCTCACATACATGCTCTCTCTCTCTCTCTCTCTCTCTCTCAGACTCACACACACTCTGCTGTTACCCATAAACACACCTCACATCATTCATGTCCATCTCACCACATCTGCATCAGCCACTGCTGTGCTGTTCCACACTGACCACTAGAGGGCAGCACTGAGCTTACAGCTGTACTCTGTTAGATTAACTCAGCAGATACAGAAACACTGCAGCAGATCTGACGCTGATTAGAGTGAAGCTGTTAAACGACGTTTGTTTCTTTTAATTATCTACACTCGTATCTCAACAAGTGAAAACAACTTAAATGTAGTCAATACATCTAATATTTCCTGTTGTGGGACTGTTCTAAGAATAAAGACAATCAGAGATGAGATTCTTCAGATAAGACGAGATGAGATAAGATAATCCTTTATTAGTCCCACAAACGGAGAAATTCTCAGTGCTACAGCAGCAAAGGGACAGCAAAGCACTCAAGAAGAGAATTAACAAGCAAGTAATTAACCCTGTTAATTATTTTTAATATGTTACTTGTTACTGTATAGACAATATATATAATACTGAAGGTGAACAAATAAGATAAAAACTATAAACTGTATCCTTCACTTAAACTTCACAACAAATTAACAGTATAAACAATTACAAATAAAAAAGCAACAAATATTTGCCCTGTAAGGATAAATCAACTTATTTCTGGAGTTTTTACTTGGTTTAAGTATTTTTCTAGTGAAAATGTCTTCATTGGCAGATCATTTAACTTGTTTGGAAAAAAAAATTGCTTAATTCAAAAAATAATGCTTGAATAAAAAAAGTAAATTCATCTGCCGAAAGATTCAGAAACTTTTATAAGATACAACAATCTAAAACAAATACAAAATAACTTTAACTTTAAATAACTTTAAATAAGTTAAATGGTTTATAACGATCATATGACAGTCTCAAAATGACAAATATTAGACATGCTGACGATGTTTTCACTCATTAAGAATCATTGTTTGCAGTGTAACGAAGGAGAACTTGACATTAAGCGAGGGCGATGTGACGGCGCGATACTCGAAGAAGCGACAAGTATCACAGTATTTAGTTTTTCTGAAGTTATGAACAAGTTGGAAAGGATGAAATTCACCAGTCAAACTTTTAAAAATGACTGTGGGAAAAAAAGTTTTTTTGCACACAGTTGGCAGTGAAAATAAGTGAATAGAATGAGGTGATGATGTAACGAGCTGCCGTCCAATCAGCTGCTGGTCACTACGCTGTTTTCTTTTTCAGCTTTAATGCACGTGTGGAGGTGGAGATAAAGAGAGAGAGATGGGAGAGAGGAAGAGAAGGATGTAAAGCAGAGAGAGAAGAGAGATAGAGAGAAAAAAAGAGAGAAAGAAGAGAAGGAGGAACAGACAGAGAGGAGGAGTGTAAGAGAGAGTAAGAGAAGGATAGATAGAGAGACAGTGAGAGAGAGATGGATTGAGAGAAATATACAGAGACAGAAGTGTAGAGAACAAGAGAGAGAAAAAGAGAAAAGAGAGGAGGGGTAGACAGCAAGAGAGAGGAAGAGGGATAGAGAGATGGACAAAAGGGGGAGGAAAGAGAGGTGGATGCAAACAGAGAGAGAGAGAAGTGGGAGTGAGCGAGGCAAGGATAGTGAGATAGATTGACAGAAATATAGAGAGCAGGAGAGAAAGAATAAAGAAGTAGAGAGAGAGAAGAGAGAGAAAAAGAGTGAGATAAAGAGAGAGAGTAAGGTAGAGAGATAGTGAGAGACAGAGAGAGTGAGAGAGACAGAGAGGTAGAGAGAGAGAAAGATAGAGAGAGGGAGGTAGAGAGAGAGAGAGACAGAGAGAGGTAGAGAGAGGGAAAGATAGAGAGAGGGAGGTAGAGAGAGAGAGAGACAGAGAGGTAGAGAGAGAGAAAGATAGAGAGAGGGAGGTAGAGAGAGAGAGAGACAGAGAGAGGTAGAGAGAGGGAAAGATAGGGAGAGGGAGGTAGAGAGAGGGAAAGATAGAGAGAGGGAGGTAGAGAGAGAGAGAGAGACAGAGAGAGGTAGAGAGAGAGAAAGATAGATTGAGAGAGACAGAGAGGTAGAGAGAGAGAAAGATAGAGAGAGGGAGGTAGAGAGAGAGAGAGAGAGAGACAGAGCTGAGGTGTGTATCGATTTTCCTTCTGTGTTCAGATTAACTTCCATAATGAAGCCGGCAGGCCGAGCCGGGCGTTTAGAAAAGCTGCATGTTCTATTATTCCCCTCTGAAGAAAGAGATTGTTTTAAAGGGAAAAAATCAATTACTCCCTCTGTTTCTCCACCTTCAACACCCCCCCATCTCTCTCTCTCTCTCTCTCTCTCTATCACACGCTCAGTTCCCCGTGTGTAATGGCGCCATCATGTGGTCGCTCCCGTCCTTATCTCCACTCGCAGGTTTGAAGCGAGCGCCTCTCTGCTTGCTCCTCAGGTCTCTTCATATCTTTATGAATTATGGATTAGATGTTAAAGCAACAAGCAGCCTGTACAGCGTCTGTCAGCCGTCCGGTCGTTACGCTGTGATGTAATTTCTCTGGCGTAAATATGAAAGTGATATGACAGAAGACTGAATACAGATGGAACCTGACTGTCTGTTAGAAAAGCTCCGCAAGCCCAGATTCAGTCTGACTCCAGGAAACAGCCTGACCTGCTCTGAGTGTTTTAGAATAGCAGATTAATATAAATATGACCTGACCACACCTTTGAGTTATCCCAAGGGGCAATAGGGGATGGGCAGGTGTTGGGGTACTGGGGTATTTGAACAATGGATTAATGGTTACTATACTATGAGGTGTTACTATAACAGGAAAATGGAGTAATGGGATTTTGTGGTACGACTGTAATGATGGTGTTGAGATTCTGGGGTAATGATGGTGTTGGAATACTGGGGTGTTTGGTTGTTGGTGCATTAATGTACTAGAGTGACAATGAAGTAATGGTGTGTTGGTACTGGGCTAATGAAGTAATGGTGTATAGGTACTGGGCTAATGAAGTAATGGTGTATAGGTACTGGGCTAATGAAGTAATGGTGTGTTGGTACTGGGCTAATGAAGTAATGGTGTATTGGTACTGGGCAAATGAAGTAATGGTGTGTTGGTACTGGGCTAATGAAGTAATGGTGTGTTGGTACTGGGCTAATGAAGTAATGGTGTGTTGGTACTGGGCAAATGAAGTAATGGTGTGTTGGTACTGGGCTAATGAGGTAATGGTGTGTTGGTACTGGGCAAATGAGGTAATGGTGTGTTGGTACTGGGCTAATGAAGTAATGGTGTATTGGTACTGGGCTAATGAAGTAATGGTGTATTGGTACTGGGCTAATGAAGTAATGGTGTGTTGGTACTGGGCAAATGAGGTAATGGTGTGTTGGTACTGGGCAAATGAAGTAATGGTGTGTTGGTACTGGGCTAATGAGGTAATGGTGTGTTGGTACTGGGCAAATGAGGTAATGGTGTGTTGGTACTGGGCTAATGAAGTAATGGTGTGTTGGTACTGGGCAAATGAGGTAATGGTGTGTTGGTACTGGGCTAATGAAGTAATGGTGTGTTGGTACTGGGCTAATGAAGTAATAGTGTGTTGGTACTGGGCTAATGAAGTAATGGTGTGTTGGTACTGGGCTAATGAAGTAATGGTGTGTTGGTACTGGGCTAATGAAGTAATGGTGTGTTGGTACTGGGCTAATGAAGTAATGGTGTGTTGGTACTGGGCTAATGAAGTAATGGTGTGTTGGTACTGGGCTAATGAAGTAATGGTGTGTTGGTACTGGGCTAATGAAGTAATGGTGTGTTGGTACTGGGCAAATGAGGTAATGGTGTGTTGGTACTGGGCTAATGAAGTAATGGTGTATTGGTACTGGGCTAATGAAGTAATGGTGTGTTGGTACTGGGCTAATGAAGTAATGGTGTATTGGTACTGGGCTAATGAAGTAATGGTGTGTTGGTACTGGGCTAATGAAGTAATGGTGTATTGGTACTGGGCTAATGAAGTAATGGTGTGTTGGTACTGGGCAAATGAAGTAATGGTGTGTTGGTACTGGGCTAATGAAGTAATGGTGTATTGGTACTGGGCTAATGAAGTAATGGTGTGTTGGTACTGGGCTAATGAAGTAATGGTGTGTTGGGGTTATAGGGTAATGAAGTGATTGTGTGGGGGTTCTAGCGTAATGGAGTAATGGTGTGTTGGGGTTATAGGGTAATGGAGTAATGGTGTGTTGGGGTTCTAGCGTAATGGAGTAATGGTGTGTTGGGGTTATAGAGTAATGAAGTGATTGTGTGGGGGTTCTAGCGTAATGGAGTAATGGTGTGTTGGGGTTATAGGGTAATGAAGTAATTGTGTTGGGGTTCTAGTGTAATGGAGTAATGGTGTGTTGGGGTTATAGGGTAATGAAGTGATTGTGTGGGGGTTCTAGCGTAATGGAGTAATGGTGTGTTGGGGTTATAGGGTAATGGAGTAATGGTGTGTTGGGGTTCTAGCGTAATGGAGTAATGGTGTGTTGGGGTTATAGGGTAATGGAGTAATGGTGTGTTGGGGTTCTAGCGTAATGGAGTAATGGTGTGTTGGGGTTATAGGGTAATGAAGTAATTGTGTTGGGGTTCTAGTGTAATGGAGTAATGGTGTGTTGGGGTTATAGGGTAATGAAGTGATTGTGTGGGGGTTCTAGCGTAATGGAGTAATGGTGTGTTGGGGTTATAGGGTAATGAAGTGATTGTGTGGGGGTTCTAGCGTAATGGAGTAATGGTGTGTTGGGGTTATAGGGTAATGGAGTAATGGTGTGTTGGGGTTCTAGCGTAATGGAGTAATGGTGTGTTGGGGTTATAGAGTAATGAAGTGATTGTGTGGGGGTTCTAGCGTAATGGAGTAATGGTGTGTTGGGGTTATAGGGTAATGAAGTAATTGTGTTGGGGTTCTAGTGTAATGGAGTAATGGTGTTGGGGTTATAGGGTAATGAAGTAATTGTGTGGGGGTTCTAGCGTAATGGAGTAATGGTGTTGGGGTTATAGGGTAATGGAGTAATGCTGTTGGGGTTATAGGGTAATGGAGTAATGGCGTGTTGGGGTGACCTGCAGCTGCATTAGGAAAGCTTGTACTCTCTGCTTCTCTCTGTTTCTCTTTTCAGTTGAGTCTAATGCTGGTTGTTGGCTTGCCTGCTTTACCTGCAATCCTGCCAAAGCAATTACATGCAGATGTAACAGTAACATCAACAACAATTAAACACGAAGCCAAATCTTTACATAACAACAATCATCAGTGCATATATACACAACAACAACAACAACAACAACAAATATGCAAACAGAAGGGAATATACTGTATTTTTTCCTCTCATTTTTTATTTCTTTGGTCTGTGTCTCTGTGATTGTTTTCTCTTCTCTGTCTTTCTTTATCTCTTCTCCCCATTGAACTGCTGTGTGTTGTGAGTTTGTGTTGGTATTACTGGCCATTTTGCACCACAGAGAAGCATCCAGTATCTTTAAGACTTCATTCTACATCTCACTGTTCTTCATCATCGTCCAGAGGATGTGCGTCACATCGAAGATGAAGTTAGACAAAGTTAACTTTTTCTAAAAAAGATTGAGAAAGTTTCATTCTCTCTCACACCCCCACACTCTCGTGCACTGGCCGGCTCTCGTGGTAAAGTTCACTTGCTGACCCTGCTGTAGAAGAGATGGTTATTTGTTGAGATGCGGGAGTGTGGAAGCATCTCCAAAGTTCAGTATCCATCACCCCAGGGTCTTGGCTATCTGTGGCCAAATCATTAGCAGCGATATCTCAGCCCGAGCCGTTGTATCCAGTGTTAGTTTTAAACAAAATGAACATTCGGAACATTACATGAAAGGACATTATATCATAGTGATTTTTTCCCCCTAAGCGCGCTTTGATGAGTGTGTTTGGCCGGTGTTGTAGTGTGAATTGGCCTGCGTTGCCGTGTTTAGTGTTGGCAGAAAGCCTGCAGTGGAATATACGGCTAGCTCCGCGTCCTGGGTCATTTGGCTCTAATGAGGCTGAATTCTCTTATCCTTGCTCAACTGGATTTATGCTGGAAATAATTTATACTCGCTTATTGAATTTCCAAAAATATGACTCAGAAATGAGAAAGGAAAACAAAAAAAGGAAAAAGATAATATCCTGAACTGAGTTCTTTTGACTGGGACTGTGGGTTATTAATATCCTCATTTACTGCTTTACGTTGTTCAGAGAGATGCTAGTGCAGTGTGTGGAGTGTAAATAAGCTGATGTGGTCCTAAAAGAATTGAACATTATTGGATATTTCAATATTCTTAATACTCACATGTTGCAAAGGTTAAATATGTTATCTTTTAATTTGCTAGAACAGACAGAAAAACTGTTTTTCTTCAGACCATCTTTTTTTTAAATGCCTGTTCGTATTATGGTTTCACTGGGTAGCCTGTTATTGTTTTTGTCACAACGCAGTCAGGCTAAAAGCAGTCAGCAGAACATGTTAATGCTGCGTACAGATTCAGGACCGAGATAACAGCATTTATTCAAGATCAGCTAAGGGAGAACAACACTGTTCCGGGATCAGCTCAAAGAGAATAGCTCGGATTCACAATCATCTCACTAATTCAGGATCAGCTAAAAAAGAACAGCACTGTTTAAGGTCAGGTCATAGAGAACATCAGTGATTCACAGTAGACTCAGAGAGAACAGCACTGAATGATGATCAGCTCAAAGAGAAGCAGCACTATTTTAGGATCAGCTCAGAGAGAACAGCACAGAGTCAACACTGATTTAAGATCAGCTCAGAGAATACTAGCCTTAGTGCGGATCAGTTCAGAGAGAACAGCAAAGATTTAGGATCACCGCAAAGAGAACAGCAAAGATTCAGGATCAGCACAAAGAGAACAGCAAAGATTAAGGATCAGCACAAAGAGAACATCAAAGATTCGGGATTATCTGAACCTGAAAGAGAGCAGGGAAGAGAAACAGCACTGATCTAGGCTCAGCTCAGACAGGACTAGACTGAGTGAGGATCAACCCAAAGAGAACAGCAAAGATTCAGGATCAGCCCAAAGAGAACAGTAAAGATTCAGGATCAGCCCAAAGAGAACAGTAAAGATTCAGAATCAGTGCAAGGGGGAACAGTAACGATTCAGGATCAGCCTAAAGAGAACAGCAAAGATTCAGGATCAGCCCAAAGAGAACAGTAAGAACAGTAAAAATTTAGGATCAGTTTGAAGAGAATAACAAAGACTTAGGATCAACCCAAAGAGAAAAGCAAAGATTCAGAATCAGTGCAAAGAACACAGTAAAGATTCAGGATCAGCTCAAAGAGAACAGCGCTGATTCAGGATCAGCTCAGAGAAGTGGAGAAACAGATCATACTCTGTGTACCTGGACCGTCCCCATTAATTACCGAAACAAAGTAAGGGAAGGTTTAATATTTCCGAAATTGAATCGGACAGTAGCGAGAGGGGCTTTATGGGCACATTTCCTGACCATCCACCATCCTCCTCCCATAAAACACGGCTGCCATTCTTCGTGCAACTTTGAAACACATTCATGACTTTTTCTAGCCGTATTTTTAAACCATTATTTTCCAGATTTTGGGAACGTTCTATTTTTTTTTTAAGCCACATTAATTACCATTTGTGTGTGAGAGATTTATAATGTTTTTTTTATTATTATTTTTATCTAATGTTCAATGTTATCTTCATTTCTATTTAATATGCATAAGCTCCTTAGTTACTGCTGCTCCATCCTCATAGAATAAATGAGCGCAGACTTTGGTTATTTGTTCATGCACAAGTGCAAACCTTGTTTCCGATGTGAAGTCGGGGCTCAGTGCTCTCCGCGAGGCTCTGGGAGATACTGCATCTTTAAAATGGTGGTCGACGATGATGTTTGTTCTTGCAGGATTTCCGCTGCTTACTGGTTTTAATTTGCAGCATTTGATTGATTTATTTTTGTTCTGAATTGTTTCACTTTCAGGCAAAAAAGAACATGTTTCTAGTTGCTAGTGCTTTTAATTGCTTATTGCTAGTGCTTTGAATGAGTCTACAGCCAGATGCACTCAGATATCAGTAGTGTCCAGCTTTGCATGCTACGATTTCTTTGTTTTTTTTATTTTTTCTTTATTTTTCAGGTGCTTAGATTGCATGTAAATCGTCACACGTATGTGTTTTTGGAACAATAGCGCAAATAAACAGAAACGCTGATAAATAAATAAGTAAATAAAGCATAAGATGTGTTGTCTGGCACAGCTCTGCTACTCCTGTTGGATCCCGATTCTGCATTGACCACTATTTCTTCATTCTGTTTGTGCTGTTTCTCGTTTGCTTGCCAGGAGGACCTACTATTCTTACTCATATTACCTGTAAGTAAAAAATACAGAGTGGATAAAGACAAGCAAAACCAGCAGACGGGTTGTTGGTCTTTGTCTCTGGCTAGTCCTGTTAGTGTTTTAAAGATGCAGTATCCTTTTTTCAAGTGAAAACACGAACCGCTTAGGCCAAACTCTCACTCTGCCATTCTGCCAGCTCCAACATGCTCCGTGCTCTCAGCCATGATCCAAGCGCTGTGTTATTTGAAAAAAGAATGCTGCACTTGTGTCTGTATTTCATTTCTTCATTTCCTTTTTTGCTATTTTTGAGTTCATTTTTTTTATGCATGTGTGTGTGTGTGTGTGTGTGTGTGTGTGTGTGTGTGTGTGTGTGTGTATGTGTGTGTGTGTGTGTGTGTGTATGTGTGGGTGTTCGTGTCAGTTGACCATCCTCGCCATCCATCTCACACACACTGCTCCACTCATACCGGTCTGTTTAGTGTATATGGGCGGGGGTGCTTACTTTTATTGTTTTTATTCTTTTTCATCGTTATTATTATGATTATTATTATTGTAATTATTATTACTGCACACTAAAAATGATGGTACCCATTACATAATGTTCACTTATTTTTAAACATACCAACATTTTATTTTTGAAAAACATAAACCACTTTACAATACGATTACCTCTATAAAGGTTTATAAATGGTTTACGTAAGCAGTTATAGCACTTTATCAGCTCCACTGACCGTATAGTTTCACTTTGTAGTTCTACAGTTACAGACTGTAGTCCATCTGTTTCTCTGATACTTTGTTAGCCCACTTTTACCCTGTTCTTCAGTGGTCAGGACCCCCATGGACCCTCACAGAGCAGGTACTATTTGGGTGGTGGATCATTCTCAGCACTGCAGTAACACTGACGTGGTGGTGGTGTGTTAGTGTGTGTTGCGCTGGTGCGAGTAGATTAGACACAGCAGTCCTGCCTCAGTGTCGCTGCTGGACTGAGAATAGTCCACCAACCAAAAACATCCAGCCAACAGCGTCCCATGGGCAGCGTCCTGTGACCACTGATGAAGGACTAGAGGATGACCAACACAAACTGTGCAGCAGCAGATGAGCTATCGTCTCTGACTTTACATCGACAAGGTGGACAGACAAGGTAGGAGTGTCTAATAGAGTGGACAGTGAGTGGACACGGTGTTTAAAAACTCCAGCAGCACTGCTGTGTCTGATCCACTCGTACCAGCGCAACACACACTAACACACCACCACCACGTCAGTGTTACTGCAGTGCTGAGAATGACCCACCACCCAAATAGTACCTGCTCTGTGAGGGTCCATGGGGGTCCTGACCACTGAAGAACAGGGTAACAAAGTATCAGAGAAACAGATGGACTACAGTCTGTAACTGTAGAACTACAGAGTGAAACTATACGGTTAGTGGAGCTGATTAAATGGACAGTGAGTGTAGATACAAGACAGGTGGACCTAATACAGTGCACAGTAAGGGAATATGAAAAGGCACTGAGCTGTTATAGGTGATGAATATGAATATGAAAGCTGACAGATTTAATACTGACTGATGAAGACAAAGTGAGATCAGTAAAAGGTCTGAGCTTCAACAGTATAGATGAATGTGGGCTCACTATTTGGCAGGCAGCAGCTGACGACTGCTCTTTTTATTTATGTGTTAAAACTCTTATTAATTGTCTTTTAAGTATGACCTAATTAATAAATATTAATACACTAATTTTGAACATTCATAACCATTTATAAAGGCAGTCATGTTGTAAAGTGGTACTGAAAAATATGCGACTAAAATCAGTGGGAAAATATTGCTTAGAAGTTATAACTTTTGATCCACCTCAGATATTATATACTACAGTAGGATTACAGTAGTACATCATTTCTGAGAATTTTCAGAATTTGTAAATTTGAAATTCTTTTTTTAATTTGATTTATGTGAATTAGAAAAATAAAAAAAGTCTGGTCCCCACTTTTTATAAAGTAAACTCAGCATGATACAGATTACTGTGATATATTATTAATATCATTTAAAGTATCTCTATTACCCAACTATCTCGCCTTCGTCCTTTTCTCGGACGCTAAACACTATTCAATAGAGACAAAAATACCCACTGTACAAATAGCGATGTACAAAATCACACTAATGCTTGCGCTCACTACACTCGAAACATCTCACACACCAGTGGTCTATTGGAGCTACTGCACACGGTGCGCAGAAACCTGTCCAACAGAATAGCGATAGGAGTGATAGAGGCGTAGTACACTCTGTAAAACACTTTGGTCGAGAGATAACAGTGTGTGGCCAGGTGGGTGAAACCCACGCAAGAACACACAAGTGACTGCATAGTTCACATATTCGTGGGGAGGGGAGGGAAGTGAAAATAGTGACAAGATGAGAGAAATCAGACGGACGACAACGCCCCGCAAAGCGTCCATCCACAGCACCTGTTTTTCCATCAGTCACTTCACCTGACGCTACATTTTAACTGACCACCCATTTGCATTACATTAGCCATCAATTCCTCAACCGGTCAGACATTCTTACTGCATGACCTACACCTGACCATCTGCAGTCCAGCTCCATTACATCAACAGAAACCTTCTCACCAGCATTCGTCCCAAACTCCTCAATGACTCTGAAATTGTTGGCGAGAACCATAGAAAACATTGTAGAGCTAAAATACAGATTTGGCCCCTCGAGCCTGTGTTTAATCTTCAGTTCAGTTCTCTGCTGTCTGTCCAAAATGTCTAACAATCTCCAAATTTTTAAGCGTACATTTTCTTCACTTGGTCTGAAAGTCCCCACTTATTATTCTTCATAAGAAAAGGTTTTGAAAAGGTTTTAACAATTTCACATTTGACAGAAATTCTGTCCAATCTTGAAATTAAACCTGGCAAAGAAGTTATTTGCATGATGCCATAGAGCAGCGGAGTCAAACTGAAGCACTGAAAGGGCCGCATTAAAAAATCTCGGCAAATCTGTGGACCAGCTGTGTTTTTATTTCATTTTTACTTAACATTTTGCCAACAAACCCCAACTGGCCATATTCAGAATCACAGCCACAGCAAAATAGGCACTGAATACCTGAACCTCAAACCACTTTAAATGTCCTCAGGAGGTTTTTAAAAACTGGACACCTGGCATCTTTTCCTTTTGTGTAACCACCGGCCCAAAGATTGTTATTGGAGGCAGGAACCTACAGCGCACACTGTGTTGCAGTGCATGCTGGGGACTGTAGTGCAGCTCAGGGTGAAACAGGCTAATAATAATAGAAAATTAAAATCATTTCGTGGGCCGAGTAAGATTGTGCTAAGGGCCTGTTTTTGCCCGCGGGCCTTGCGTTTGACACATCGGCCATAGAAGAGCCACTTTTGGTTCTCTAAATAGTCTTTCAGTAGATGGTTCTTTAGTATAGCGCATTTGTAAATGAGATGTTTGAATGTGAGGAACCATTCTAATGTTTAAAGAGCCACCATATTATGTGAACCTTTACATTATGTGGATCTTCACTTCCAGACATGTCATTTACAAAGTGGTTCTTCTATGGTTGCACTTAAAGACCTGTTTTTTTAAGGCTCCCGAGTGGCGCAACCATCTAAGCGTTGGCCCTGTCATCAGGAGGTTGCGAGTTCGATCCCTGGTGATGCTACAGCCATCCATAGCCGGGAGTCTGAGACAACTAGCCTCGCGCTCTCTGGGTGGGTAGGATGGCCCCCCCTTCTCCCCCCATCAGCGCGATGCTACGTCAGCGCAGGCGTCTGTTAGCTGACGTAACAGATCTGGCAGTTGGCGCTTTCCTCCGAGCGCGTTCAGCTGTCCAGTGACGTTGCGTGAGCGGCAGCTCGAAAAGAAGCGGTGGTGCTTCACAGGTCTCGGAGGAAGCCTGTGTTAGCCTTCGCCCTCCTAGCGCTGATAGCGTCGTGTGACTGGGGGAGTCCTGACTAGCAGGTGGAATTGGAGACGACTAAATTGGGGAGAATTAGGACCTATTTTTTTAAAAAAGCAAAACTTAATATTTCTGAGATGCTGCCCATCAGCGGAGGAGAAAACATTCTTAACCTTCATAACTTCAAAACGTCTTGAATGGTTTGTTTTCCAAATTTCTAGTGGTCCATTCACACAATGTGAAGAGCAGCTAGTGTTTTCGAGTGAAATGAAAACGTGAGACATTCATTGACATTAATTAACGCTGATCTAATGGCCTCCAGTCTACATCCGACTATGGTATATGCTGTAATCCATACTGTGACATGTTTTGTTTGGAGCGTTGGGGTCCAGGTTGGAGAACTGGCGGTAAGATGAGTGACTCCATCCGGTTTCTCCCCTGCCTGGTGGATCCTTGAGCATGATGCCGTTTATAGCCTTCATCTTTCCATATTAACTCCACCTGGGGTTCTGTAGATGTCTGCACACATTTTCTAAGGGGTTTCCTCCAGGGTTCCTCAAGGGTTCCTGAACATTCTCCTTTGCCACGGAACAGCACTCTCCCTTTGGCTCACCCTTTTCTCTCTCCTGCGTCTTGCTGTGATGTTCTGGTGCATCTCGGGGGCCTGTTGAGTGTTGTTTTGGGGGTGGGGGTTTGCTGGGTGGTCGTGAAAACAAGAAACGAGGCGCTAACGGTTTCACGTTTGGTTGATTCGTCAGGAAACTGGCAAAGAAACGCAAGGACGCCATTGGAAACACCAGGCAGGAGATGACCCACATGGTGAACGCGATGGACCGCAGCTACGCGGAGCAGAGCACTCTACACGCCGAGGATCCGATGTCCGTCACCTTCATGGACTCGCACAGCTTCAACAACCGCTGTAAGTGTGACTTTTACCTCATAGAACCACAATGCGCATCCTCACAGAGGAACTGCCTCTGAGGCAAGTGCAGCTTTTTGTTTTTGCTTATGTGAAGAAACTTGTTTACAAGGAACAAAATGCTTTTAGTAATTGCAAAAGCTTTTAACTGATATGTAAAATGTAACGTTATGCTATTTTGCCTTTACCCAACATGTAGATTCATTTACACAATTTTCCTTTTGCCCAAAATGAAGAACATTACACCAACACAAAAAGCTTAATCTGTGCATTCACTGGGTATTATTTCGGCTTTAATTGCTTTTAACCCTATTTTAACTCTAAGGGTCAGTTTTTCTGGCTAAATCTTAGACTAAATTGTAGAACCAGTGGTGAATCACGAGTGGAAACTCTTCTTTTAAGTCTAGGTTTAGGCCTAATCTAGCCTAATCTAGGGCAAACTGGCCCTAAGGGTCAATATGTGGGTCCACACTTGAGTTCATCCCCACCTAAGAACTTACAGGCTAGTGTTAATGCCTTCTAACACCTGTTCACGTCTTAATATTTGGGTTTAAGAGTGTTTTGCACTGCAAAAAACAGGACCTCGTCAAGAAAAGTTATCCTAAATCTAGTCGATATATCTCATATTTGTCATGTTGAGATTGTTGTAAACTTATTGTAAGATTATTTAACTTATTTCTAGACTGTTTTTTAAAAGTAAACTCAACATTGTATAACTTATTGTGTATTATTGTTTATTATTATTATTTTTTTTTATTATTATTATTATTATTATTATTATTTTATTAGCTTGATCTCCAGCTGATGATATGGGGAGTGCAACTTTTTGTTTTTGCTAATATGAACAAACTTTTTATAAAGCACAAAATGCTTTTACTAATTGCAAAAGGTTTTAACTGATATGTAATAATGTTATTTTGTTTTTGTAGATTCATTTAGACAACATGTAGATTCATTTACACAATTTTCCTTTAACCCAAAATGAAGGACATTATGCAAACACGAAAAGCTTGATGAGTGAAATAATTTCCCATTTCCTTGGCATTATTTTGGCTTTAGCTTGCTTGACTACTTTTAACCCTCCTTTAACTCTAAGGGCTGGTTTTGCAGACGGGGATGAAGCCTAGTCTTAGACTAAATTTCAGAACCAGTGGTGAATCATGATTGCAAACTCTTTTTAGTCTAGGTTTAGGCCTAATCTAGCCTAATCTAGGGCAAACTGGCCCTAAGGGTCAATATGTGGGTCCACACTTAAGTTCATCCCCACTTAAGAACTTACAGGCTAATATAAATCCCTTCAGATGCCTGTTTACACGTCTTACTGTGTAGATCTTTGAGTTTAAGAGTGTTTTACACTGCAAAAAATGGTGTCTTGTCAAGTAAAATTATCTTAAATCTAGTCAATATATCTAATATTTCTTAAATTGAGATTGTTGTAAGCTTCTTATAAGATTATTTACCTTATTTCTAGACCTTTTTGTACTTGTTCTAAGCCATTTTAATAAGTCATATGATCTCACTGTATTGGCAGATAATTTGGCTTGAGCATATTTTGTACAACAAGCAAAAATGTCTGCCAATAGAATGACATCATTTGACTTATAACAAGGCTTAAAATGAGTAAAAAAAGATCTAGAAATACGTGAAATAATCTTAATAAGCTTACAACACTGTCTGCATGAGAAATATTATTTATATCGACTAGATTTATTTTAATTTCACTTGAACAAATACCATTTTTTGCAGTATCAGTTGTTGCTTTTGTTCTATAGAAACATAAAGTGGTACAACATAAAGAATAATCTACTTTGCCAAATCTTTACCAGAAAATTTGCGAATTTGCGAGCATATGTGGGGGCATATCCTATCCAACAGAGTTACGCTTAAATCGATGAAGGCTGATTTCTCAGTAATCGCTGTATTACTCATCCGGAGATGCACAACAAGAATGCCATGTGCACCCACACACAAGTTACTGCACAGCTACCAGTAAAGCGTGTTATTTTAAGTTTAGGTGAGAAAACCTAGAGATGTTTACATGTTGCTTTCCACAGTCCATGATGAATGGTCCGATCTTTTAATGCTTTTTTCATGGTTTTAAGACCAGCAGCCAGACATTTCAGACATTAATCGTCTTAAATCTAGTCAAGAAAATATCTAATATGCCTCATTATGAGATTGTTGTAACAATCAAATAATATTATCTTAATATTATTTCTAGACATTTGTGGACAGTTTGATTTGTTTAACCCCTTAAATGGCCAGGACCCACCAGCAGGTCCATACAATGCTATACCCTATAACCTTACAGGTTATATACACTTCTATTACCTAAGAATAATGCCTTGTAGTCCCATCGTAGCCTTAGTATGTAAAACACCTGGGATTTTAAGGGGTTGAAGTCCTTTTGTGTAGTCCTTGGCACTGAGTTTGCTTGTTTCACATTAATGTTTTGTTTAAACATTAATTCTTGCAAAAAGCATTTTCAGTTTACCTGCATTCTTCTTCATTTTTTTAATAAGCATAAATATTTCCCAGTGGAATAAGACACTCGATAAAAGGGCTTAAAGGACCCATATTATAGTCAAAAACAATTTTTAACATGTATTACATAAAAGTAAAAGTAAAAGCATTTACCTTCTTTTCTTCCTGTAGCACTTCAGCTTGGCCCATCCACACTGAGGTTATAAGCAATTTTACAGCCTGGGCTGCTTTTTGGATGATTTTTGGACAATAAACGACAGCCAATCAGAACAGAGCTCATTTACATATATCAGTCTTAAAGGCACAGTAACGGATACAGCCTGTTTGATTCTAAGGGATCTAGAGAGGTTAGAAAATGATCATATAAAAATAAATTATGACTGTTAAAGCTACACAAACCTTATAAGTGGACCATACGGGAAAATATGAGATATGGGGCAAGTAAAGACATCTAAAAAATGAGTTAAATAATCGTACAGTATTCTTACAGTAATTTCATAATGAGATATATTTGAGATTCAGATTAGATTTAAGATTATTTCACTTGCTGAGATCTTTTTTATGTGCTGTATCGTTCTGCCTTTCTCACAGTTGTTTTAATCCAGGTTGAATGAAATCTCCTCTTATTAAACTCTGTTTTGCTGCAGTGCCCAACGATCCGCTCGTGCCCACGGCGGTGCTAGGTGAGGCTCGTTTCAGCCCCGCTGCCCTCATTGCTGTCCCTGTATCGGGGGTGTTCAACCACTCACAATGAATCAGTCTCAATTGGGCACCTCTTAATTAAGCCCATATGTTCTTTACATGATGTAGTGGACGACAGTTCACAGAGCTGAACACCCTTGCTACGCAACCCAGACTACATTTCCCATCATACCTTGGTGTGCCACCCATCAGTCCCTGTGTCCACAGAAAGAGTCGGTTCGCAAGGCACTTTGGAACGATCTGTGCAGATGAGAGATCTGTTAGACAGACAAAGAGTTCTTTACGTATTAATGTCTAAAAGGAGGTCCAGCTCAATGTTTGGGTCTCACATGATCTCAAAATCAACATTAAATTGATGAAGATGTGATGGCGATAGTCGATAATCCACTCGCATCCTCAGAAGACGCTCCTTCACCACGTTTAGACTGAGTTCTCTTTGAATTCTCTTTCAATCATCAGATTCATCCGCTTGGGGAAGGGGGACGAAACACAACCCACGCTACAGAATGTTCTTTCACGTTTGCCTGCAGTTACACATTTCGACCAGAGAGGTCTCCAAATCCCTAAATCTTACATAGTGCAGCTCTAAGAAGAAAGCACCACTTTAGAATAAGACTACACTTATAAAACATTTGTGAAAGGTTTAAAATTCGTTTGTTAATGGTTATTAATTAGGTCATAAACACTTTAAAAATTAATAAGCAGTTATAACACATTAATAAAAGGCCAATTATATCTGATGAATATGTGATGAAACAACATCAACATATCAAAATATGAGGTTTAATATTAGTACAAATGAATGGGGGTTCACTGTTAGGCAAAGAACAGGACACTGTTGCCCTTTTTATGTATGTGTTGTACCTGTGTATTAATGATTTTAAGGCCTTTATGACCTAATTATTAACCATTAATAAACTCATTTTAAGCCATTCATGAATGCCTTATAAGGGAAGTCTCATTTTAACGTGGTACCAAGAAGAACTATAAAATTTACAGAATAAAAGATTACAAGAATATTCACATATGATGTGATGCTGTGTTTGACTAGAGCTTGTAATTCAGATTTTCTAAAAGCATTGCTTAGAAAAAAACAAGGAAAATGACCCCTCAAATGGGAAATGGGAAAGGTCAAGATGATGTTCCCAGCTCCGAATCTGGTGATCAGTCAACCTACAGACACAGTGGTTTGTTGATCATATTATCATGAAGTCATAAAGGTAAAAACATCATAAAATGTTAAAGTTCCCTGCTGAAAAGGACAGTTAGAAGCCATTAGATTAAAACCTGGTTGTAATGGGAATTGGCCTAATGGTTTCCTGTAGAACACCTTTTAGATCCCATTAGGAAACCATGAACTGCATTTAGAATCAGCCACTGGTCACCTGTTACACCATTAGGAATCTTTACAATGTGATATTAACCCATTAAAAAAGCCAAAACATACATACATACATGCATCATTTAAACCGCTTATCCTTCTGGGTCTCGGTGGGGTGCTGGATCCTATCCCAGCTGTCATTGGGCAGAAGGCAGGATACACCCTGGACAGGTCGCCAGTCCATCGCAGGGCAATTATTAAAGATATTAACCCATTAAAAAAGCCAAAACACATTAGCATATTAACATATTAGCTGCGTTCCAAAGCCTGGGCTAAAGCCGAGGTAGGGCGGGTCCTCAGTAGGACTGTCCTATGAAGACTCCTCCTTAGTAGCCTATTGGTCACACAAATGGATCAGTCCTAACAAGGCTGCATAGTGATGTCACTAGAAAGGCCCCGCCTCTTGCAAATGTAGCGCGAAGCTTGTGAGGGAACCGGTGGGAGAAAATTGCATGTTCTTATGTTCAACTACTACATATATACAAATACGTCTAAATAGAATATGATATATGGACAGTATACGATATATAGATGAATGCTTTAATTACTCATTTTACACTTTATAAGGTAACGAAGACGAATTCAGGGACGTGAACAACTTTTAAAACGAGCTCTGCTCCAACAGCTACGATTTCCGTCATTTTTATGATGCCGTTTTTTTCCCTTCGCATTGTTCGTGCTCAGAGAACTGTGGGTAACCGAAGGCCTGGAAAGATACATCACTGGCGTCCCCAGAATCACTCAGAACGTGGGCTGGATTTCTAGGCTGTATACGAAGGGTGCTTTACTTTGGAACGGCCTGCTATGACGTAGCGGCCGAGAGATGCAGCCTCGGCTTTGGAACGCAGCTAATATCTGGCTAGCTTGTTGATGTTGAGGCTAAAAATGATGTACTGAGCGCTGATTTGCCAATTCCAAGTTTGAACACAGCATAAATGAAGGTCCAGACTAATTAGTTGTTCTAATATTCCAGTGCATATTTTGCACATGCACTCTATAGATTGTTCCAGATGGAATAACGAGCAGAATAGCTCTTTTATTATTAACTAATATAGTACTCGTTTTACTATGGACTCATCATCAGGGTGCTTTTCCACATTTGGTGATGGTCTACATTAGAGATGCCCATCGATGTTCCTGAAGGTCTACTACCTTTAGTAACTCGAGTCTGATGCACCTGGTTCCCATTTTCAGACATTTTTAAGGACTGGGAAGGGGGGAAGAATTGGGAATCTCTAATTGAGACCGATCCACCACTTTGCTATAACTACAGAAGAGCTCCCGAGTAGCATAAACACCTCAGCGTAGGCTGAGATCTCCTGACGATGTCTGAGGCTGCCTAACACAGACATCTGTTAGCTGACCTAACAGAATTCGCAGTTAGCTTTCTCCTCCAAGCATGTCAAGCTCCAACGACGTTGCAGTAGCAGCAGGTTGAAAGGCGGAATCTGCTTAAAGCTTCACGTTTCAGAGGAAGCACATGCTAGCGTGCACCCTCCCAGCCTGGTTGCATCGTGTTATAGAGGGAGAGCTAGCTAACGCGTGGTAGTAGTGGGTGGCTATGACTAAATTAGGGAGAAAACATTGGGGGCGGGTGGAATGAAGAATCTCTGGGTTTCAGAAATCCAGTGTTGACTTGTCTTGCTTTGGAAGCCATTTGAATAAACCTATTGTGCCTAAGCGGAACCCTTTCTGTGAACATGTGGTCCTAATCTGTGTGTGTTTGTGTTCATTTTCCATATATGTTGACGTGATTACATGTTAGTGATTCGTAGGAGTCTAAGCTCCGCCCACAAATATGGTCTTTCATAGCTACTTTTAGACAAGCTTTACGGAACACTGGAAAAATCCAATTCAGCCTAATGAGAAACTGTAGAACAGACTCAGTTTATATCACAATACCTACATTTAGAGTCAGTTATTCATTCAGCCTAATGAGAAACTGTAGAACAGACTCAGTTTATATCCCAATACCTACATATAGAGTCGGTTATTCATTCAGCCTAATGAGAAACTGTAGAACAGACTGAGTTTATATCACAATACCTACATTTAGAGTCGGTTATTCATTCAGCCTAATGAGAAACTGTAGAACAGACTCAGTTTATATCACTTTCTGAAGGGTTCAGTAGTGTTGAGTGGTCCATCTCACTCCTTCCTGCAGTACCCTGTGTTGTGTTGTGTAGATGTAGTTTGCTCAGTTTAATGTGAGTCTGCTCTAAAACGCCTGTTTTTCCCCCACGCTGCCCTGCTAGTGCCCATCACCGGTGAGTATCGTCATATAATCTGTGGGAGTACAGCTGAACTAGCTGAAGTTGTGTGTGTGTGTGTTTCGTTACAGGTGCGCATTTTGACCTTTTCAGCAATTTAAATATCCTCACATTTAAATAAATGGTGTTTTAATAACTCAGTGAGGAAATATTTTGTACTGTAATGAATAAAAACCAAAAGCACAGAAGATTCTGATCATCTTGTCTGTTTTATTGAGTAAATAGTATGAAGCAGTTGGCATTAGCGGCTAGCACCAGTCTCGCTCTCGCTGCAGGTCCTATGGTGTGAACTTGTTTTAAACTGTAGGATTTTGTATATTGGCTACAAGATGTTAATTATTGATTATTATTAATGGATCAGAACTTACGTGTCAGTGCAGCCTTAATATCTGTATATTTTAATAAACACACCCATCGCTCATTTTTACCTCCACAGGTTTGTGGGGCAATTTGGCTGCTGAAACCTTCAGTTTAACCTTTTATTTATTTATTTATTTATTTATTTATTTATGTATGTAAATAGTCTTTTTGATTGACGTTTTTGCTCATGTTTATCTCATTTTCGCAGATTGCTTTATGACTGAACTTGTTCTGTGTATTGCTGTGGTCAGTTGGCTGCTGAATCTCTGAGCTTGGCTTATCTTTGTTTATGTGTGTTGTAGACGGGATGGTTATAGGCAGTTATAGACTAAAAGAACCAGGTGAAATAGTTTTCATTTGATGTGTTTATTATATTTTTTGTGAATAAGCAGGTGTGTAGATGCTGCTGTGGTAGGTCCGTGTTGGGATGCGTGAGCTTAACCGTGTTGTTTTGTGTTCTGTGCAGATGAGAACCACGCGGCGGCGGCGGAGAACAGCCGCCTGCTGGACGTCCCACGGTATCACTGCGAGGGGACGGAGTCTCCGTACCAGACGGGTCAGCTTCACCCGGCTATCAGAGTGGCTGATCTGCTCCAACACATCAACCTGATGAAGACGTCCGACAGCTACGGGTTTAAGGAGGAGTACGAGGTGAGTTCCTGTATGAGCTGTCAGGGAAAAACCTATTATCTCCATTTCTGTTGAAAACTTTGGGTAACAGTTGATGATGAATGGACCAGAAGTGGCCCAGAATGAAATGGAAAACAATCGTGAATCATTAACTTGCATTACAGGTTAAGAATGTTTTCCTTCCTGTGTGTATATAAGTGTATTATAAGAGAATATAATAAAATAATAATGTGAATAATACCATGATAATATGCTCCAAATATTATAATAAAATGATACGTCCCACATGTAATACATATGTAAGTTTATACATAAAAACTATGTTCCATATGTGATTATATATATCTCACTGCTTTCAGAAGAAAACCTTGTAACTCCGTTTTTCAGTTTTTGCCATAATTTGGAAATTTTGCTCTTTCCATTGTGTGTAAATTTCATGATGAATGGACCAAAACAAAAGCCCAAAATTACTGGTTCCATTGATTTCCACTAAAAGTAAAGTATGATTTTTCCTTCTCCTGTAAAGTTACCATTTTGGAGATATGGTTTATGTATAAATTATTACATTATCACATTATTATTGTATTATATTGCTTTATAATATTATTGATATTCATTTTATTAATGCTATTATCATATTATTATATGTAGCAGCTATATTATTACACAGAAGATACATCCTATATATAATATATATGTAGGTTTATATACAAAAAATGACCCCTATATATTACATATGTATTTTTTTTATATATAATAAAAAATATGTAAGTAATTTATATGTAAGCATCTACATATAATAATTGTGTTCCCAATATATGTATTATATATGTAAGTAATTGCATGTAATAAGAATTTCTTCACCTAATCCTAATCATAACTTTAATCTTAACTCAGGACCCAAAACGAAATGGAACGTTTATTTTAAAAAAATGTTAACAAAGCATTATAGCAGCCTTTAATTAGACGAGATTGATCATGTAGTTCTTTTTTTTTGCTGCTGTAACATTAAATACATAGACTTGTCACCACTGAGGAAGCGAGAGTGTTGCATCTCAGCTACCACTGCCAGAACTGCCCCACCACCCAACCACCAGGGCAACAACTGGGTCATTAACATGCAGTACATGTCCCAGATAGATTTACAGTTTAACTGGGTCATTACCATACAGTGTGACCCAGTTTTACGTTTTAACTAAGTCGCATTGTTAAACTAGTTCAAATAAGTAAAATAAAATAAATAAATTCAAATATTTAGAACTGACTAAGTCATTTAAATGATACTGCAGTGCGCCAGTTTCAGTCAGTCTGCCTTTAGTTTTTTAGGCTAAATGCTTGTTTACAGTATTTCCAGCTGGCAGTTGACAAATTTAAAATGGGCACCCATTAAAGAAGCCCCCCCCCGCCCCCCCAACACCTTTACCTGCACACTTACATAAACACTAGAACCTCATTAAGATATCAGACCACATGCTCTCTCACTCTCTCTCACTCTCAGATGTCAGATATTTATCATATGAGAAAATAAAGCCACACAAACACACTGAAACTAAAGCCGGTACATTTCCTTATGCAGTTATTACTGTACTCATTTATGTTCACAGAATGGAGTAGATATGAATTATGTTTTATTAGTTTAGTTTAACTGTGGCTGAAATGCGAAGTTTAAACTGCTTTCTAAAATCAGCCGCCTGCCTTTGCACTGTAACCCGTCTGATTGGCAGCTGTCGTCCCTTTTTTTGTCGAGCCGATCACTTTATCAGCAACCACAGCCCCCTTCCAGCAAGCATTTCCTGTTAGTTAGCGGTTAGCGTTAGCAGGCCCGACTTTAGTTGCCTCCCTGCTGCACTTCAGTTCAGCACTGTGATACAAACATGACATGTGACTTCATATGAAAAGGTGATGCGTAATGTGTTGTACAGTATTAAAGCAGACTGTCCAATGAGGGAACAATTACTATGACTTTTAACCCAACAGATAACAACATGACACAAGGTGTGTTAGACAGATAACATATTCATTTCGAGGCTGTGATTGGTAGTCTGCATTCTAATTTCATTTATTCATTTGAAAAGTTTTCTTTCTTTGTTTTTATCATTTTTTTTTAATATTTTGTTTTGTTTGTTTGCTGTATGTGTTGTTGATCAGAGGTTGATCCCTTTCTTACTTTAGCTGTGGTTTTTAGCAGTTGTAGGTGAGGATGAGGCACCTCTGTATTGCTTACCACAAGCAAAAATTGCAGATCAGCAAAATAAACCACCAGCTGTTGCAGAAATGTTTGTTTAAAAATTATGCATTTTGGCAAGCTTGATGACAAATGTGGCTTTATACTGCCATAAAATGACATAATTATAAAAATGACATCTTAGCAAGTTAAAACATCTTAAATTTAGTCAATGTATCTCATATTTCCCATTTTGAGACTGTTGTATAAATATTATAAGGCTATTTAACTTATTTCTGGGCATTGTTTTCCTTGTTTTAAGTCATTTTGTCTTTTGAAGTCATTTTGTCTTTTGAAAGTGTCTAAATCCATTCACAGATCAGTTTACTTTTTTCAACCGGTATTTTTTGATTTAAGCATTTAAATTTACAGCATTTAGCAGACGCTCTTATCCAGAGCAACTTACAAAAAGTGCTTTGTCTATCCAGAGAAAGTATCTTTGCTAGTTACCAAATGAAGCAAATGAATGGTCTGCCAGTGAATTAAGACACTTTCACTAGAAAAAATACAGAAAACTAGCAAAAATGTCTAGAAATAAGTTTTTGCAATGGTCTCATAATGAGAATTATTAGATATGTTGACTAGATTTATGATGCTTTTACTTGTTAAGGTATTAGTTTTGGCCGTGCAGGTTTCATAAACAGCTATTAACATTGCTTGTGGAAATTCGAGTAATTCCCTGAAATCTGAAACAGAATTAGTTACAGTTTGATCGAGTTGAGAGCTGAGATCAGAACACACAGTTCTACACGGTGAGATTCAATGATCAGATGTCTGATCAGTGTTTAAGGCAGCATTTTTAGGTGTATTTCATTCAGAATGCAGTCTTCCAGCTACTTATTTCCTACAGGAAATATAATACTATTAATATTTCCATCAAAATGAACTGATTATGTAATTTAGCATATCCAGCATGCTGCATCATACTATATTATATTTTGCAGATGGGTGCTCAATAAGTAACTTCCCTAACACACAGCATGGTGGTTCAGCAATTATACACAGGACAGTAAATTGCAACAACACAGTTGTGTGCAAAAATGAAAGCACCCCAGAAAACACAAACATGTCATTTTTCTGCAGATTTTAGTGCAGAGGAGAATATAGTGGCAAAAGTAAAGCGTAAAACATAAAAATAAGTAAATAAATAGTAACTATGTATTAAAACATGTATTATCTGTACTAGTTTTGATATTCAGTTGTTGTTGACATTTGTTTTACACTCTGTCATGTTGCATCTCAGAAACATGCCCTGCTCCATCCGTACCTGTGTGATGGTGTGAGATATTGTGCTAAAATGTGTCTCTCCTTCTTGCAGAGCTTCTTTGAGGGCCAGTCGGCTTCCTGGGACGTAGCGAAGAAAGAGCAGAACCGCACCAAGAACCGTTACGGAAACATCATTGCATGTGAGTGTCTGTCTGATGTCACTGTGCAAAGGGCTGCTGTCAGATTTCACTGCAAAAAATAGTGTCTTGTCAAGTGAAATGATCTTAAATCTAGTCGATATGTCTAATATTTCCCATTCTGAGATGGTTGTGCACTTATTATAAGATTATCTGGCTTATTTCTAGACATTATTTACTTGTTTTATGCCATCTTTATTGCGTAAAACTATCTCACAGTACTGGCAGATAATTTTGCTGGTTCATTTCTTACAACAAGCAAACTTATCATAGTGAGATAAATTTACTTAATAAAATCACGTAAAACAAGTAAAAATGCCTAGGAATAAGCTAAATAGCTTACAACAACCTCAATAGGAGAAATATTAGATTTACTGACTACATTTAAGGTAATTTTACTTGACAAGACACCATTTTTGCAATGTAGATGCTGGAAGTTTAAAAGTTGAGTCTCTAAATTGCTAACAGTTAGTTATGATGGCACAATCTGATAGTTTGGGAAGCAATCTCAATAATTTCCCTTTTTTTTCACGATAAGTGTATAGTTGTGCTTTAGAGCGTGATATACATTGTAGCTGACCGATTCTAATTGTCTAATGTAGCACATTAAAAAAAATGAGAACTGGATAATTTGGTCAGATTCTGAAGAAGAGAGTGACCACAGACCAAATTCCAAACCTGTTGTTGATACTAAGTGAGCTTTTTGGCCGGCTGCTGAACAACCAAAACAAACTGGAATCAGCCAGAAAACAACCAAATGGTGGTTCTGGATAGTAAATAAAATGTTTATATTTGTGTAGTTGTCATGGTGACCCCTGGTTCCTATCACCACCACTGTAAAGAAATCTGAACCATTTCACACCAAACCGGGAATTCCCTTTTAAATGAACTCCCAATAACACAGCTGATTATAACGAATCCAAAGCAGAGTGTATTTAATAAAGACAACAAATAGTGCATCCATCATTGCTAATGCTTTTTATATAGTATATAGACCATGCTGCTTTCTGAATGTATGTTATTTCTTAATCCTTAGAAGGGCAGAGTTATCGTTGTTTTACTATGCATTCAATATCTCCTAATCTACTTACACTAATGTGAGTTTTTATGGGTTAATAATGTTATATAACAAACAATAACACACTGCAGAGCAGGACATGCAGTATTATGTGTTATTAAAGCAATGGTTTGGTCAAAAAAACAGCCAAATGTAGTCAATCAGCCAAGACCTGAAGCATCTTTAGGACTGCACTGGAACTACAAGGCCAATGTTGCTAACAAGTAATGGAAGCTTATGTTATACCTATTAGCATGGTGCTAATTTCATACCTTAATCATTACACACTCGTTGAGTTGTTAAGTAATCTCTAATAGACGTTCTGACACTGTATGACATACTGTTATCTACAAACATGGACAAAAAAATGTTAGCTTTGCTAAAAACAGTATCTGTTCCTTAAGAACTCTGAGCATCTGATGCTTTAGGCATGCAGTTAGCACAATGCTAATTCATTACTTTTGAGCCCAGAGAAGCAGTAAACATGTCCAGAACTGTGTAAATATGACCTTTTGGGCCAAACTCTTGCTCTAAACTGTGACTTTTACCTGCTGAACGATTGCTGACCTGCTCGACTGAACATGCTAACGTGTGTTACGTTCGCAGACGATCATTCTAGAGTGATCCTGCAGCCAATGGAGGACGACCCGTCATCCGACTACATTAATGCCAACTACATAGACGTAAGTGGCGATGCCTCCCCCCCCTCCATTGGCGAAGGTGTCAGAAACAGCTCTCCCTCGCTCGTATGTCAGGTCTTCTATGCATGCCTTTGTCTCCAATATTACACTATTTACAGTTTTCTTTCTCTGCCTTTGTGGAGGTGCCGGTAGACTCACTGACATCTGTTGTGCTCTCTCTCACTCTTATGCTCTTGATTTTGGGCCCTAGATTTGGCTGTACAGGGATGTAAGTATTTTTTTCTGTAGGGCGCTAAAACACGGACACACACACACACACTCAGACGCAGCGGCGCTGTGAAAAGGATTGATTGTTTTGAATGAGAAACATTGGTAACCTGTCCGCCTTAAAATTTAGAGTTCGTTTAGCACCAAATGACAAGGTAACCTATAGAACCCTAAAGTTGCGTTCAGCAGGGCTGTGTTCTAGCCATCATAGCGTTGGAACGGTTCACGTTACGGACGTGATACACATATCACAACAATGAGCAGAACCTGCTGTCTTTAACCGTAGTAGGTTCAGTAAGGTGAGACAAAGCATCAGCGAGTTATCTGGCTCAGAAAATGACCCCAAATCCACTCTTTATCACGGTATTATCAACGTGTTGCATCCTGTTAAATCACTAAAGGCCCCATATTTTATATTTTGAGTGGATTTTATTTCCCTTGAGTCCACTTTTGATATTTGTGTGGTTTTAAATAACAAAAAACAGGCGTAATTATATTTTACATTGCCCCTGTTTTTGCTACTGTGGCTTTAAGACTTATATATCGCTGCTGTCGGAAGAAAACCTTGTATCTCCATTTTTGTCATTTTTCAGTTTTTGACATAATTAAAAAATGCCTGTTGCTCTTTACATTGTGTGTAAATTTCATGGTGAATGGACCAAAAGAAACAACCCAGAATGACACGGAAAAAATTCTAGTTCCATTGACTTACATTAAAAGTAAAGTAGCTTTTTTCCTTCTCCTGTAAAGTTACCATTTTGGAGATACGAGGTTTTCTTCTGACAACAGCCATATGTAAATGTGTTCCATTTTGACTGGCTGCCATAAATTGAGCTTCACTCAGAAAGCAATCCGAACACTCCTGAAACACTCCTTATAACTTCAGTGTGAATATTCAGTGCTCAAGTTTAAAAGTTTAGAATTTTTAAAATTCAAGTTTGAAATTTCTCCTTAAATCTGGCCCATAAATCATTATTTCCATTTTTCTGCAGCCGAATATTTGCATCTGATGGATAGATATGCTGTGTAGAGAAAGTAGAGATACACTGTGGATGGTAACCCAGCATAACTCTATAAAATCAGCTCAGACCGAAACGAATGAAAAACAATGTGGAAAAGCAGAAACAGAGCTCTGCATGCAAGAGGAGCCATTTAAACACAGACCTGACGCAGCATGAACGCTGAGCACTGAGTGGAATTTAGCTACAGCTAACTCAGATATTATTCTGATTCAGACTGAGTACTGGTTACATCCGCCTACGTAGACTCATTCACGACGCAGCAGGAGATACAGCGCGGCAGAATTAATAGAATTATAAATGGAATCATCAAACAAATCCACGAGAACACAGATTTAACCGCTGTGCTAACACTTCATTCACATTCAACGGGAAAGTTGAAGCTATCAAAATAAGAGTCCCATGTAGTCCTACTATTAAATGTAAGGATTTTTATTTAATTGAACACTATGCATTTATACACTGCTACTGCTACCTTTACTAATAATTAGGGTAACACTTTATTTGGATGATCCACTGTAGATGCTCAGTCAATCTTTCAAATAAATATCTAGTAAATGCAACTGAAATTGAAGTTGTGTATGAAAGATTCTTTTAAATCTATCCCTAAACACTGACCCTAACCCTAACCTCAAGGCAAGACCTACACCTACTGCTAAACCTAACTCTAACCATAATGTTGTTGATAATCAACTATCAGCTGTAGATCATCTATAGGGGACCGTCCAAATAAAGTGTGACCATAAGTAGTAGTAGTATTATTAGCAGTAGTAGAATTGCTAAGATACACTTAAGTGAGTCTATGTTATGTAGTAAAAATTCACATGTAAAAAAACAAATTTTGAATATTGTTCTCTCTGCATTGTTTTACTGCCCCAACCCTTGAAGGAGACCTCCTGCCCAGTGGCCCAGAGGTCATTTGAGCTAGTTAAAGCATGATATGCTTGAAGTTAAGAATACTGTGAAAGCGCCCCCTGCTGTTAATGGGGCGTAACCATTCTGCAGTTTCAGTCTCCATTTCCCAAACGCTTTAGCCGAGCGCGCTAACGTTACTCCTCCTAATAAACAGACACACGTTCAGCTCCGTCTCCTCATTATTCACCACCATCACTGTAATATTTCATCATCAACATTAACACCCGAAGGTGATCAGAGGGGCGGTGGAGATCGAGTCTGCAGCGTCTGAGATCTTTAAAACGCAGAGTTAGAAAAGAGTTCAAGACCCCGCTGTAGGCTGAGTGGACGGACATGTGTACAGCAGACGTGTTGGTTTTTGTGACATCACAAAAACAATAAATTCCTAGTTTCCACATTCAGACTGTATGGACTGGGGATTTTTTGAAACTTTGACTTCTTGCATTAAACAAAAAAATCATTTTTCCACTGTTTAAGGCGGTTGGGTTACTTTTTTAATATTAGAAATCATATTTTTACAGTGCACACACACACACATACACACACACACACACACACACACACACACACACATACACACACACACACACACACACACACACACACGGATACAAACACACACACACAGCCCCCCTCTCTGTTTTTGTCTAAAGCTTATAAACCATCTGCATGGAGACTGCATGAGCTTTTACCCCACATACACACATACACACACACACACACACACACATATACACAAACATAAACAAACACACACACTCGATTAGTTTTTCTCTTTTATTTTGTTCCCCCTCTCCATGCTGTGTGTCCATCCGCTTTCCTCATCTGGCCATGGTCATCCTGCACCTCAGCACCCCTGGCATGGTTCTGTTGTTGTTGTTTTTGTTTTTTTTAGACTTAGTTTGTTTATATGGAGAGGACTGAGTTGTGGTTATGAGTTTGGCCTTTGACCTTGGGCTTTTCCCTCCTTTCCCCTTCTAATGTAATTTGAAAATGTGATGATAGTAACAATAGTAATAATAATAATAATGCGCTTTGCCAGCCATGCTGTACAGTGTAATAAAACTAATAATTTTAATAATAATAATAATAATTTAGCCCAGTTATTCGTCAGTTTTTGAGGTTTAGATTTGTATCCTGTGTCCAGATAAGAAGAGATTGACCACTGGAAATCAATGTATAGTCTTTATTTTCCTACTGCACTGACTATAGTCAGCTGACGAATGAGTATCTGTAAAGATTTGTGTTGAGTTTTGCTGTTTTTTTATGTTTTTTGATGTTTTCCAATAGATTTGGACTTTAGATCTATAATCCTCAATGCCAGCAGTCATAACATCTGTGTTACGTAATTTATAATTCACATTATGAAGACATTAAAAGCTCTACTAATCTATCCAGAGTGCTGCTAACCTGACGTGTGCTGTTGTATTTGTTTGTGGACGGTGGAGATTGTCGCTCTGTGATCTCAACCTGCTGCTCTGTGTTCTTCTCTCTGTGTTTCTCAGGGTTACCAGCGGCCGAGCCACTACATCGCAACACAAGGTGAGGGAGGTCTGTGTGAGCGGAGTTATAGTGGCGAATCGGCCTCATCCGCACACCGCTGTGTTTGTGCATTTGTTTACTAGAGAAACAGCCTAAAGCAGGTCTCACAGATTGATATTAATGCCAAATTTAAAAGAGCATCTGTGAGATTCTTTGTGTCATTGATAAGTAATTAAATCAGGGGGGTCAAACTCAACCAGTAAAAGGGCCGAATTAATAAATCTCAACAAATCCAAATCTGAGGCTGCGTTTTTATTTCATTTCTAATTAACATTTTGCTATGACCCCAAATGACCATTGTTGGTTCAAAATACACCAAAACAGCAAAATAGTCAATAAATACTACCATTCAAAAATAATTTTAAATAAAAACAAATTTTTTAATATAAAACAATAGACTACATTAGCTACAGATAACCGTTAAACCTCTTTAAATGTCTTTTAAACCAGCCTATATGCTTGAACTAGCTGTCCATCACATTATGTTGAAGTGCATGCTGAGGATTGTAGTGCAGCTCATGGTGAACCGGACTAATTTTAATAGAATAGCTAAACTAGCCTCTTTCTGCAGTGCCCTCTAGTGGCCATTCTGCCTGTATAATGGAAATTGACTCAGATATTAATGAATTATGAAGATGAACTAAGACTCTGTTTCTCTCTGTGTGTGAAATGTTGCTATTGAGCAATGAGGGGTGAAAGGGGGAGGGGTGACCCCACCCCCTGTGAAAAACTATTCACACCTCTCTACAAAGACTGCCGTGCTGAGATAAAACAGACGACTGCAGCTTTATTCGTATTAAGCAATCTTGCACAACGGACACATAAATAAACAGTATTTAAGTACAATAATACTTTTAGAAATGCTGACTCACCTACAAAGAGGCAAATCTGGAGATGTATTACAGAAACTTCCTCTCTTTTTGTTTTAACTTAAGATCTGACAAGATAAGATTTTTCACAAATTCGTATTACAGAAGCAAATCGTATCTTAATCTTATCTTAAAATTTCTGAATTTTATCTTACAGCGTCTTATCTAAAATCAGGAAATGCTAACCCACATGTTCAATGTCAATAATCAACTGTCATGTCTGTTACCTAGCAACCGGCTATTCGCGCACAGCTGAAACTTAAGCTGAAGCTTCCGTTACTGACGTAAAAAAGGTCAAACAAAACTAAAGCATGATAAACTTGAAGTTAAGAACATTGTGAGAGCGCCCCCTGCTGTTTATCAGAGCTTCCAGTTTCAGTCTCCATTTCCCAAATGCTTTAGCCGAGCGCGCTAACGTTACTCCTCCTAATAAACAGACACACATTCAGCTCCGTCTCCTCATTATTCACCACCATCACTGTAATATTTCATCATCAACATTAACACACGAAGGTGATCAGAGGGGCGGTGGAGATCGAGTCTGCAGCGTCTGAGATCTTTAAAACGCAGAGTTAGAAAAGAAAATCATCTCACAGTGAAAGCAGCGTTTTACAGTAGGAATAAATGGAGCTCATTATGCTGGTAGTGAACTATGCTGCTGACTCAGCTGCCTAAAAACCATAGAAACGGACCTTAAACAGAAGTGAGGACCCTGTTGGGGTTCATCCTAAAGTTAGGACAGGATTTAGGAGGTTCAGTCTAGTTAGGATGTTTGTGTGATGCTGTTTTCTTATCTGGAGTTCATGATGAGATTATGAAGGTAGGAGCTGTTATTCTGGAATAGCTACTGTCCGAAATTCAGTCCGTACTGAAGTCGCCATGGAGACTAAACACATCAGATTTCAGAGTTAAGAAGTTTCTGTAATACGGCTCCTTTGCTTCCAGTTTTGCAAGTCTATTTAAATATGTTCCATCACATAATTCATAAATCATAACGTTTGTGATGTGGCTTTGTAGGTCCAGTTCACGAGACGGTTTACGACTTCTGGAGGATGATCTGGCAGGAGCAGTCGGCCTGTATCGTCATGGTAACCAACCTGGTGGAGGTGGGACGGGTATGTTCTTATACTGCCTGCTGCAGAATGCTGGAGGCCGTGTTGTTCTCGTTGTTTTTGTTTTTATTGTTGTTGTTCTCGGTGTGTTGTGACTGTGCTGTGAAGGCCTCCTGCCTGCTCCAACCCTTTGACGAGAGAACATGAACAATGGAGTGTTCTAGAAGGTTCCAGAATGTTCTAGAACTCTCGCATTAGAATGTTCCAGAATGTTCTGTTTCGTAGCAATTCTGATCTTGTTGACGTGCCAAAAAGTGAATTTGCATGGAAATTTTAAACACAAACTCCTCAAAGGGTTAAAGGAATAGTCTGTTTTTCTTCAGAAATGTTTTTATTCCAGTTTTCAACTTTTTTTATTTATTTTTTTAGTCTTTTTAATTCATTTTTTGTCAAATACGTGTCTCTAAAGTAAGATTCGAGTGAAAATGAACTGTCATGGGCGTCAATGAGGCGGAGAACCACACTGAGTTTCAGGTTTATAATAGTCGACTACATCCACAACCTTTTAATCACATCATGTTTGAGTTGCTACGTGACTTACAGTTGAGTATTTCAACACACTGAAAGTTTTTAGTGTGCAAAATTGTTGTTTAGCCTTTAGCTTGGCAGCTAGCATGCTAGTTTCAGTTTCCAGTGTACCTGACTAAGGGACTAAGTCTAAAGTAAAATAGTCCCAAGCCAGTTTTATCGTTATATACGTTCTATTCTTCATTAATAAGATTGAAATAACAGCACAGCAGCTGGAAAAATGTAATTATTCCACTCTTAAAAAGGGTTCTGCAAGGGTTCTTTAGTAAAGACAGTGGTTCAATATAGCATGCTTAAATGGTTCTCTGCATGGTGAAATGGTTCTTCAGATCGATGGAGAATGTGTTGTGTATGGTTCTATGCAGATATAGAATAGCACCAAAAAAGGTTCTGCTGTTGTTGTTACAAGCTTAACATCGTCTCAATAGCAGAACCATTTTCGGTACATTCTCAATCAAACTGAAGAACCATTTAACCATGCAAAGATCCGTTTAAGCATGCAATTGGTTGTTTAAGTGTGTTCATGGTTCTAAATAAGTTGTCTTTACTGAGGAACCTTTAAAGAACCATCTTTTTTACGAGTTTCTGACAGTTTCACCGTCTCGTTTTATGCCTCGTGGAGACTTTTAGGTCATTTTTAGACTTTGCTTTAGAAGCATAAATCCAGAAATCACTACCATCATAAACAAAACTGGAAAATGATATTTTTGGAAGAAAACTTGGAACTGTTCCTTTTAAAGCATGTTTGTATATGCATGTTAAAGTGAAGCACAGTGATGTTGTAGCCAAAGGCTAATGTCTGCATTCCTTCTCCACAGCTGAAGTGTAAGTATGTAAATATGTTTAATGGACGTGATTAATGATGCAGTGAAAAATACAAACTGTTACTGTGCGACTGTCCAACCTGCCTGCTCAGATCCACTAATTCAGTCAAATAATGATGACTCTTTATATTAAAGAGCCTACATTTACACTATATACTGACTTTTATAGGTCATACATCAGGTTTTTTTACGTATGTGCTGTGATTGTTTAATTGTTTAATAATTATATATATGAATGAAAGATGTTTTAAGTATGTTTAAGTGCTTAAAATGTTCAAAGTGATGAGTTTCAGAATTTGTTTAAAGTAGGGTCCGACCGATATCTCACTGCTGTCGGAACAAAACCTTGTACCTCCAAAATGGTAACTTTACAGGAGAAGGAAAACACCTACTTTTAATGTAAGTCAATGGAACCAGAATTTTTTCCAAGTCATTTTGGGTTGTTTCTTTTCATCCATTCATCATGAAATTTGTACACAATGTAAAGGAGAACAGACATTTCCAAATTATATAAAAAACTGAAAAATGTACAGGGTTTTGCTCCGATAGAAGCGATTTGATTTGACTGATAAAATCACCCAATGTTAGCCCCTTAAAATCCCACTTATTACATACTAAGGCTTATTATTTAGTAATTACAGCCACTTCAACGCAAACTGGTTGAGCTATTCTGAGGTTATAGACGTGTAATAAAACATTGGGCTTGCTGACGGACCCTGGCCATTTAAGGGGTTGAGGTTCCATCTGTGATTTTGCCAGTAAAGCAAGATAAATATAATACAATTTAGGTTTTAGAGGCAACTGAGAACAGACAATAAAATTTGGCAAATGGCAGTCATATCCGTCAGTAAAACACTGTTCAGCCACTGCACTGAAGCTACAAGGCTAATTTAGCCAACGAGTAACAGACATTTGTGTATGCCAGTTAGCATGGTGCTAACTGCATTCCTAACACATCAGGCTAATTTGACAAAAGGCCTGATATGTTCGGCCTTAAAAATCGTGACACAATTTCTTTAAGGTTCAGGCTCTGCTTTAAAGTGTGTGTGCGTGGTGGACTGGTCAGTGTGCTGGGTTTGATTGGTGTCGTGCTGGTTCAGGTGAAGTGTTATAAGTACTGGCCGGATGATGCGGAGGTGTATGGAGACTTTAAGGTGACGCTTGTGGAGGTGGAGCCTCTGGCGGAGTACGTGGTGCGCACCTTCACTCTGGAGCGGGTGAGTGGAACCTTTATCTAGCACGTTTTCATTTACGTTATTGCCACCTTTTTTTAGATCAGTTTTATAAACATCACCCTAAATAACCAAGAGTGCATCTGTTTGTGTGTCTGTCTGTCTGCTTGTCTTCCATTCTCTCAGAGTGCCGAGTATAAAATCTGTATCTTAAATCTATATCTGACTTAGATACTGACTATATGCTCTGTCTTTGTGTTATAAACCTTGTCCTTTCAGAGGGGTTTTAACGAGCTGAGGGAGGTGAAGCAGTTCCATTTCACCGGCTGGCCTGATCACGGAGTGCCGTATCATGCCACGGGACTACTTTCCTTCATCCGCCGCGTCAAAATGTCCAACCCGCCCAGCGCAGGGCCGATAGTGGTGCACTGCAGGTACTCACACACAGTCGCAGCTTCAATATCTGATTATGTTGAATCTTTAAAGGTCAAATCTGCAAACCTCACAATAATAACGAACACATTTGTATTTGATATCGGTCCACAAGAATTGCGCTATGTATTTAAGAAGTTGCTGCTGAGTCAATATCTGCAGAGTACAAACCTCCTCTGGCATTAACATCAGCACAAAAACTGCGCCCGGAGCTTCATGGCAGGGTTTCCATGGCCGAGCAGCTGCATGCAAGCCTTACATCACCAAGCACAATGCCAAGTGTTGGATGGAGTGGAGTAAAGCGCCGCCACTGGACTCTGGAGCAGTGGAAACGTATTCAGTGGAGTGACGAATCAGCTTCTCTATCGGTCAGTCTGATGGACGAGTCTGGGTTTGGCGAGTGCCAGGAGAACGTTACCTGCCTGACTGCACTGTGCCAGCTGTAGAGTTTGGTGGAGGAGGGATGATGATATGGGGCTGTTTTTCAGGGGTTGGTCTAGAACCCTTAGTTCCAGTGAAGGGGAATCTTAATGACTCAGCACCAAGACATTTTGGACACTTATACACTTCCAACTCTGTGTGAACAGTTTGGGGAAGAACCTTTCCTGTTCCAGCATGACTGAGCCCCAGTGGCCAAAGCAGCTCCATAAAGGCCTGACTGGGTGAGTTTGGTGTGGAAGAACTTGACTGGCCCTCACAGAGCCCTGACCTCAACCCCATCACACACCTTTGGGATGAACTGGAATGGAGATTGTGAGCCAGACCCTCTCGTCCAACATCAGTGTCTGACCTCACAAATGCTCTTCTGGATGAATGGACAGAAATTCCCACAGAAACTCTCCAACATCTTGTAGAAGCTTCCCAGAAGAGTGGAAGCTGTTAGAGCTGCAAAGGGGGACCAACTCCATATTAATGCCTATGGATTTAGAATGGGAGTCATAAAAGCTCCTGTAGGTGTCCCAATATTTTTGTTCATATAGTGTAAGTTTCTATTACTTGTTAGCTTCAGTGCAAAAGCTTGGCCAAACTGTTGCGTTAACAAACACAGGGGTTCCCTCTGTAATGTGTCTCGGCGGCTGTGGCCAGAGCTGTGCAGGCCGTTAGCTGAGATTTAGAGTTTGCGTGGAGGCACTGAGCTGTAAAGACCAGCCTGCAAGTTCAAATGCAGCTGAAATATCGTCCTGCTGCTGCAGCCTCTTAACACACAGGATGTGGTTTTGTGTGTGTGTGTGTGCGTGTGTGTGTGTGTGTGTGTGTGTGTGTGCGCGTGTGCTTGGCTGCCATTCTGCAGCTGGAACGCTAGCACATGTTAGCGCACACACATACAAGTTTAGAGATAAAGCAAACAAAAAAACGGTCCTCCTCCCTCTCAGATGGATGGAAACGCTGACTGAATTGCAGAGATAAAGTACAGTGGGTTAAAAGTACTGAAGCACTGTGATTTAGACGACACTGAACAGTTTAGCATTGAATAAAGTTGATTTAGTCAACTCAAATTCACACAATTTACACAGTGTAGTATAGAATGCTGTGCTGCATGCAAGGTGTGAAGTATAAGGGTGTTCTGGAGGGTCCAGGACCCCCTGAATAACCTCTAGGACCTTCTGAATGTCTCAAAACTCAAAATCCTGTGAGGTTCCTGAAAATAAACTTATTTTGACGTTATGCTGGTAAAATTAGATGCTCAAATCCAGATTCAGTGAAGCTCATTGTTTCTCTGCTTCCCCCCGCAATCAGCTTCTGTCTCTGGTGTTCTTAACTAACTAGAGCCGCAGCACTGCTCTGCCTCAGGGTGGCGCTGTAGCAGACTGGTTCACCCAGTTGGTCCTTCATAGCCTAGAAACTGCAACTCTGCCCTCTGGAAAAACTTTACAATGAGCTGCAGCAGATCTGTAAATCTGAAAACTCGCCCAGTTTCCCAAGAGTTTGGAGTGAAGAGTGACTGTTCCTCATTTCTCACACTGAAGACAGAAGAGGAGACGAGGAAGATCTCAGTTAATGAGAGGAAGAGCGCAGAACCGCACTAGAACAGAGACTTTACAGAAGAGGAGGCGAGGAAGATCTCAGTTACTGTGAGGAAGAGCGCAGAACCGCACTAGAACAGAGACTCTACAGAAGAGGAGACGAGGAAGATCTCAGTTAATGTGAGGAAGAGCGCAGAACCGCACTAGAACAGAGACTCTACAGAAGAGGAGACGAGGAATATCTCAGTTAATGTGAGGAAGAGCGCAGAACCGCACTAGAACAGAGACTCTACAGAAGAGGAGACGAGGAAGATCTCAGTTAATGTGAGGAAGAGCGCAGAACCGCGCTAGAACAGAGACTCTACAGAAGAGGAGACGAGGAATATCTCAGTTAATGTGAGGAAGAGCGCAGAACCGCACTAGAACAGAGACTCTACAGAAGAGGAGACGAGGAAGATCTCAGTTAATGTGAGGAAGAGCGCAGAACCGCACTAGAACAGAGACTCTACAGACGAGGAGACGAGGAAGATCTCAGTTAATGTGAGGAAGAGCGCAGAACCGCACTAGAACAGAGACTTTACAGAAGAGGAGACGAGGAAGATCTCAGTTAATGTGAGGAAGAGCGCAGAACCGCACTAGAACAGAGACTCTACAGACGAGGAGACGAGGAAGATCTCAGTTACTGTGAGGAAGAGCGCAGAACCGCACTAGAACAGAGACTCTACAGAAGAGCAACTGATAAAACTAACAGTTTGTTGTCTTTGAAGCATCATCGCGCTATGGTGGGTGTGTTAATAGCCTAGCCAGCCAACATGGGACCCCCCGAATTAGAAAACAGCCCAGGGTAGAATTAGAATATCCAACGCTGATCAGATTATCGTAGCTAAGACGAACTGCACTCCTGCAACATGCATATTACTTTCATAGTAAAAGTGAATGAGACGTCTATAAGAATAGTAATAAGGCTGCAGTTTAAGGGGTTAAATAAGCACCACTGTGTTTTCTTTCTGCTGTAATGATAACAGTAAGTAATGATGTCATGCTGATGCTAATAATGAGCGCCTGTTTCTCAGTGCTGGAGCGGGCAGGACGGGCTGTTACATCGTGATTGACATCATGCTGGACATGGCAGAGAGGGAGGGAGTGGTGGACATCTATAACTGCGTTAAAGCCCTGCGCTCCAGACGCATCAACATGGTCCAGACTGAGGTGTGTTTATATATTCACACTGTTTACCCACAGGCATCTGAACACACCCGCTCTGTTTGCATATCTGAGATCGCTCTCTCTGGATTCCAGGAGCAGTACATATTCATCCATGACGCCATTCTGGAGGCGTGTCTGTGCGGAGATACAGCCATTCCAGCGTGCGAGTTCAAAGCTGCGTATTACGACATGATCCGCATCGACTCTCAGAGCAACTCCTCACACCTCAAAGATGAGTTCCAGGTAGGCAAATGTCGATGGCCACTTTATTAGAAACACCCACCTTGTGCTTCCACTCACTGGCCACTTTATTAGAAACACCCACCTTGTCCTTCCACCCACTGGCCACTTTATTAGAAACACCCACCTTGTGCTTCCACCCACTGGCCACTTTATTAGAAACACCCACCTTGTACTTCCACCCACTGGCCACTTTATTAGAAACACCCACCTGCTTCCACTCACTGGCCACTTTATTAGAAAAACCCACCTTGTCCTTCCACCCACTGGCCACTTTATTAGAAACACCCACCTTGTGCTTCCACCCACTGGCCACTTTATTAGAAACACCCACCTGCTTCCACTCACTGGCCACTTTATTAGAAACACCCACCTTGTCCTTCCACCCACTGGCCACTTTATTAGAAACACCCACCTTGTCCTTCCACCCACTGGCCACTTTATTAGAAACACCCACCTTGTGCTTCCACTCACTGGCCACTTTATTAGAAACACCTTGTACTTTCACTCATAGAGAAGAGGTAGGTAATCATGCAAAGAGCCATTTGTGCCTTTAAATGAGTTGTCACGGTTGTATATCAAACATTGCCTTTAGTAAAGAACCCTTCTTTAATAAAACGTAAAACAGAACCTCATGTTTGTTTTGGCGTTTAGACGTTGAACTCAGTGACCCCTCAGCCCCAGCCGGAGGACTGCAGTATAGCCCTGCTGCCCCGAAACCACGACAAGAACCGCTTTATGGACAACCTGCCCCCGGACCGCTGCCTGCCCTTCCTCATCACCATTGACGGGGAGAGCAGCAACTACATCAATGCTGCACTCATGGATGTAAGTACATTTAATACTCTCTCTCTCTCTCTCTCTCTCTTTAACTCTGAACATCCCTCTCTCTCTCTCTCTCTCTCTCTCTCTCTCTCTCGCTCTCTGTCCTCTCTTTGTTAGACCCAGAAAGCTAGAGGCAAATCCAGGTCATTACTTTAGGCTTCTGGGTAATCACTGGGTTACCTTAAATGTAGGTACCTCTATGCATTTCTCCATCCATAATGTAATCTGAATCAGAAATAACAGGAGGAGCAAAGCAACAGCTTCATTTGCTTCATCAGGTCAATAAATAATGCAGACGAATCTGCTGTGTTAGGCAGTGAAGTCTTTCCAAGGCCTGTGTGTTAAATTTGGTCTCACTCATTTGACAAAAATCGCAAAAAACATTCAAAGTACGAAGTGTTTGCTTATAGAACGGTGAGGTAAGTGCTGTGATTTGCATCTGTCTTGTTTATTAAATTGATTTGATGAGCATCTACATGTTATGAAGAGTTCAGCTTTGTGTTCTATGTTAAAGTGGCAGAAAGGATTAAGAATTGGTGGTTAATGCTAGAACAGATTTCACCTTAATGCTTAAATTTGGGATTTATTGGTCAGTTTCCCAGCAGGGATTAAGCCCAGTCCTGGAATCTCCGTTCAAAGTGCATGTGTATGTGTAATCCAGGACTGGGCTTAATCCCTGTCCAGGAAACTAACCCTGTTTGACTGTAGTTTGAATCAGCGTAGACAAAGGATTCATCGTCCATCTCCTAGTGGATCATGGGTCACAGCTGTAAGACTGAGGCTGCTGAGGGAAAATAAACGTTCCTGCAGTAGAAGATAATGTATTGTTTATTTTAGAAGCTGTTTTGATGAACCTCTGAGATTCTACTGCAGCTGATTTCCAATTTCCACTGCAAAACGATCAATAAATTATAACTTAACTAGAATAAAAAACATGTCCAGATCTCAGATAGACTTGCTCATGTGGTTTCTGAGACAAAACCAAGAGCTTGAGCTTGATTTTGTTACCCTAAATGCTAAAAGCTACAGCTATACCAGCAGTCAAAAGTGTGGACACACCTACATGTAGAGCACGGTTTCTTTTTCTTTTTCACGTTTAAGTATAATAATGAAGATAATAATGAATGATGAACCTGAGGACTGAGGAATTGGGTCAGATCGAGCTGCAGTTTAGTGTTAGTCCCATTTTCAGGACAGAAAAAAAGAAAAAAATGGAGACGTTTTCCATTAACCGGGTTTTGTTATCATATTACTGTGATGTCGACTGGAACAGGACCACTATTATAGACCACTATATAGAGAGTTCAGTGAAATGTAAAAGGTAATTCATGCTAAAAAGTATGTAAAAAGTATGAATGTGGCAGATTCCTACTGGATTAAAAATTACGGATCTTGTCAGTAATCATTCAGGTTACAGCACCTGCCCAGATTAAACTAATCCAGCTTTAAAAGGGCTTAATTAACATTTAATAAGAAATGTATTAGCAATTAGGATGATAACGATAATTAGGATGATATGATGATCCAACTACTTGTTTCACTAAATATTGTTTCATTTTTTTGTTTTGTTTTGGACATCAGTTCATACATTGGCGTCAACTTCCATATTTAGATTCGAATCAGAAACAACTTCAAAACTTGTAAACATAAGCCTTTTTAAGAATGTTGAAAAATGAAAATGGGTGTTTGTATAGGTCAGGGGTGGCAACCCAAATATTAAGTAGAGCCATGTTGTCCAGTCAGCAAAAACAACCACCTTAGGAGCCACAACATTTTATGTCCATTTCACCATCTGGGCTGTAAATATGTCTCAGTATGTGCTGATGAACTAATATAGGCTAAAAAATATAATATAAACAAAAACACAGACTTACTTTGCTCTGCTTTAAGCTTTAGCTCACCTATAGCTGCTTTTCTCACATCTCTGGCAGGAAACTTTTCCAAAAGTAGAACAGTTTCTTGTAAAATTTCTCTTAATGTTTGATTTTTACGAGGCTGAAGTCGCTTCTCATTCTCCAGCTTCTTGTTCAAATTCATCCGTTCCACCTTAAATGGTACAGCAGTTACATTCTGCAGCCTCAGGCGCCATTTAAGGTGGAACGGAAGAATTCCAACAAGAAGCTGGCGAATGAGAAACTGACTGCAGCCTTGTGACTTTTCAGTGTTTGTCAGTTTCTCACTGCAGATTAAACGTATCAGGAAACCAGCTGGAGTGATTATAAACGCAAATAAGTCCATTTGTCTCCAAATTATCGATGTTCGTCTTAAATCTCTCTCTTTGCCGTTTCGTTAGCTACTAGCTAGGCGAGACTGTTGTCTGTGTTGCTATGGTGGCCAGCAGTCTGCGCTGATCGTCAGGGTTAAAGGGTGAATTAGCAGTTCTACATTAACTCCAGAGTTTAAGACCATTTATTGTTAAACTGTGTTGAACGATCAGCAGAGCTTTATTTTACTGTAAAGGAGGATTATTTTATTATTACCTACTAATCTGATTCAGCTGTGGAGCCACAACAGGGCAGTAGAAGAGCCACATGCAGCTCAAGAAGCCTGGTATTGGATTCTGTATGGGTGTGTCCAAACTTCAGTACTAGAGCTGTAGCTACAGTTTTCTATGAAATTTCACTTTTGTTTGATTTTAAAGTGTTTGCTATCAGTATATGACTTACAGCAAATGACCTTTGACCCCTGGGGGATGGCGGTTTAACATAACCTTCAGTCAGAGTCAGAGTTGTGGCAGGTATCCAGAGCGTTTTTTCTGACTTTAGAGGGTAATTTTAAAATCGCTTCCCCGCTATGCTTCACAAACCTCTCGGACTATTTTCTTACCAAGACGTCAGGAGTGTACCAGGTAATTCTGATTTTATCTCTCAACCAGTACTGCCTCTTAGACTGGATTTGTTTCATGGCTTCAGTGGTATATCGCCACTTTCCATTTATATCTCAGGTTTTCCCACAGCATGCAAGAACCACATCATACACAAATAAAACACACACCATACACACAGTGTTGTGTAAAAGTCCCACCCGCAACAATTATATTTAAAGCTCTTTATTTTGGCAGTTAGTTCAAAATCTAAGTAACTTTTTTAAAAACGTACTTTTTTGCTTTGTTCTAGTCGAGTCAAAGTCAGTCTGTCCTAGTTTGACCCATCAGTCCATCTGTAGTAGCCCAGCTGCAGCGCTGTATGTCGCTCTGATAGAATCCGTGATTGTAGCTCTTGTTTAAAAACAGCTTCAAACGTCTTTTAAAGCCAAACTTTCAGCAGACGACACTGCACAGACGCTCACAGGAGAACTACGGATAAATCAACAAGCAGCAAACTAACAAAAGCAGCAGCTTGGTGGAGCTCCAGCTCCCCTCGAGATGATCCACTGTAACAAAAAGCCATGAGCTGAATAAACAAGAAGAGAGATACAGTCATGGAGGAGCTGAACCACTGACTGTATATATGATATACATGATATATACGATATAAACACTGATTGACTGTGTATGATAGTTTATATTTCATACATACCATATATACAGTCAAACAGGGTATATATGAGATATATATATATATATATATATATATATATATATATATATATATATATATATATATGTATGAAATATAAAATTATTGACTGTGAATATGATATATATGATAAATGCACTCATTGTGTATTTGAGAGATAGGATATATATATATACACACCCACACAAATATATATATATATATGTGTGTGTGTGTGTGTGTATATATATGTATATGTGTATATATATATATGTGTGTGTGTGTATATATATATATATATATATATATATATATATGTATATATATATATATACATATATATATATATATATACACACTCACTCTGTGGTTGGAACATGCAGACACTGGTGCTCTCAGTGGATGGCGATGATGAAAATTGAAAATTGTGGTCACTTTTTGATGGAAATCACGTTCATGTTCAGGTTCTGTGTTCAAAACAGCGTTATTGAATTATTGAAAGTGATAAATCAATTCTTATTAATTATCTTACAAATTTGAGCAAATTGTGATTATTCGCTATTAACTACTCCAAACATGACGATTCATTGCGATTATTGTTTTATTTATTTGACGTTTGTTTGAATCGCTCCTACTGCCCTGCTAAACAGTTTTAAATCTGCCTTTCAGGTGTCCTAAGACTTTTGCACAGCACTATATACACATAAACTCACATGCATTATTTTTGTCACATTAAACTGGCCTCCATAGTCCTTTGCATGGTCATTGTACATCCACACAGCATCCTCTTAAGAACTGGCTCATCCTCGTGTTGAACTGTGTGTAGATGTTGTCTCTGAGGGTGTTTTTGTGGTAAAATTAAAGGTTGTTTTGTTGTTGTGTATCAGAGCTACAGGCAGCCTGCGGCATTCATCGTGACACAGCACCCCCTGCCCAACACGGTGAAGGACTTCTGGAGGCTGGTGTACGATTACGGCTGCACCTCCATCGTCATGCTCAACGAAATAGACCTGGCTCAGGTGAGACCACGGATCAGTTCATCTCATCTACCCAGGCTCAGGAACAGACTCAGTTTATATCACAATACCTACATTTAGAAACGGTTATTCATTCAGCCTAATGAGAAACTGTAGAACAGACTCAGTTTATATCACAATACCTACATTTAGAGTCAGTTATTCATTCAGCCTAATGAGAAACTGTAGAACAGACTCAGTTTATATCACAATACCTACATTTAGAGTCAGTTATTCATTCAGCCTAATGAGAAACTGTAGAACAGACTCAGTTTATATCACAATACCTACATTCATCTCCTCTCAGAGCGAGAGTTGCAGACAATGAAGGTGCTCTCACTACAGGAAAACTGAGACGTTTCATTCATGCTGATGGAGGAGATAGCGAGAGAGAGAGAGAGAGAAGAAAGAGAAAGGGAGGAGTTAAAAAAGTAATGAAGTTGTTTTGGGGTCAATGTTGCATTTGCGGCACAAATTCACTCTCAATTATTCACCATTAGAGAAGCAGATTTGTTTACTTTGCTGTGTTAATTGGTTGTTTATTGTTTATTGTTTACTCAGGGCTGTCCTCAGTACTGGCCGGAGGAGGGCATGCTGAGGTACGGGCCGGTCCAGGTGGAGCGCGTGTCTTGCTCTATGGACTGTGATGTCATCAGCCGCCTATTCAGAATATGCAACCTGACCAGAGTGAGTCTCCATTCATTTATCCATTGATTCGTTGATGAATTGGTCAGTTGGTTGGCTGATTCAGTGCTTATCTTGGTTGTTTAGTTTCCCATATTCGGATAATTTACAATCTTTCTAGAGAAGAAAGAAGCCTGTCTGTAATTCATTCTTAATTGGTTGATTGGTCTTTATCAGTTAGCTGGTTGGATGACTGATTTGACTGGAGGATTGATTTTACTAAGTTTAGCGTTATTTGATTACTTAATCTTTTAGTTATCATTTAAAGCCTTTCATTCAGTGACAAACTCGCATTGTTTTCTGATGAATTTATGGTTGATTTTATTGTTTTCTTTTTGACCAATGTGTTTATTTGTGATCCTACACCAAGAAATCTAATCCACGTATAATTAAAATGTACAAACACAATGAAAGCATGAGAAAAAAAAGAGCCATTCTTGATTGAAAAGAAGTGTCTCATCTAACTTTGTTCGAATTTGCATGTTAACTATGTATAGATTTGCATAAATGTAAATTATTGTTATTATTATTAGATTAGGATTAACGTGTACTGATAAGCCCGTATAATATGTATTTAACACCATACGTGTGTGTGTGTGTGTTCAGCCTCAGGAGGGATACCTGATGGTGCGCCAGTTCCAGTACCTGGGGTGGGCAGGGCACAGAGAAGTCCCCGCCTCCAAGCGGTCATTCCTGAAGCTGATCCTGCAAGTGGACAAATGGCAGGAGGAGTGTGAGGAGGGGGAGGGGCGTACGATCGTACACTGCCTGTGAGTATAAAAAAAGAATAGCTCATAAAGGGCTTATTAACGCTTAAACCAGGACCGATAACACATCTGTAAAAAATGAAAAAAAACCCAGAAATACTCAAAGAAATAAAATGAATAAAAAATAAGTATGAATCAAGTTGCTACGTAGCATTGACATTACCACATCACGACAGGTGTCGTACGCTGTTATAAGCAGTCATGACCCATTTTGTCCAGTAGTTTAACAATAACTTTCCATCAAGTTCAAATCATAATAAAATATCTTCTCCTCTACTTACAAACACTAATGTGATTCACAATCTGCACTTTCCACAGTTTCTCCACTCGTTTCAGTGACCAGCGAGTCTTTAATTAAAATAACAGCATGCTTTTATAACAGCGCCAGGTTACCAGTACTATTAATCATCACAACAGATGTCATAATGTTTGATGTTATGACGGCTAACTAAACTACACTAAGCGAAAATTAGCATGTGACATATAGACTTTACATCAAACATCATGGCAAAGATTAGATTAGATTACATTAGATTACATTAGATTACATTAGATTGCATTAGATTCAACTTTATTGTCATTGTGCGAAATTCAGGAATAAAGCCAATGAAATGCGGTTAGCCTCTAACCACAAGTGCAAAATACAGTATAATTTACATATAAAGTGCAGTAACCATGGTAACTGATGCCGTGGTTACACAATGTAAAGGGAAACATGCATTTTCAAATTATGTAAAAACTGAAAAATGACAAAAGATTTGAGGTTTGTTCAGTGATATGTAGTGTGTGGAGTAAAAACATGTACAGTAACTGTCTGTGCGAACATGAATATGAGGAGTACAGTAATAGACTGCAAATATAAATAGTGCAGTAAATACTAAGACACAAACTTTATGGCATCTGTCATGACATTTAGAGACAACAGTGATGGGTGGAGTGAGTTTGTGTCGCCTGTGAAAGTTCTCAGCAAGACAATGTCGTCCAAAATGTGTTGACATCTGAATAAATCGCACAAATAAATTGTGCTTGGCGCTTGATGGCCTTCAGAAGAGCTATCACTGTCATTTTGTGATATGCATTCGATTTCCACTACATAACTATTTAAATGTAATTACGTAATTATGTAGCTACATAATGAATCACTTTTATGTTTAATCTGCATTCTGTATGGACAGTTTCTGACTTTTTTTCCATTTGTTTTCAAAACCAGAAAATGATTAAAGACACAAAAATAAAAATGTTTTTTTCTCTCTGTAAAAACGAGACACACACAACAGTAACTTTCCATCAAGTTCCAATCATAATAATCTCTTCTCTTCTACTCATAAACACTAATGTGGTTAACAATCTGCACTTTCCACACAGTATCCCACTCATTTCAGTGAACTGCGAGTCAGAATTAATTTGTAAAAAAAGTTTCATCATCAGCAGTGATGAGAGATACTTCTCAGAGTTAAAGAGCTGATGAAGCGGCTGTGGTGTGCTGGAGGAGGAGAGCGCAGTGCGGAGGGTTCTTGAGGAACAGGAAACACAGGATGATATCGGTTGTGTACAGATGAGACCCCCTGATAAAAGAGAGGGGTTTGAGGGGGATTCAGGGGGGGATTCACACCTGCATGTGAAGAATGAGCTCTTCACCAAAACTGCTTAGCTTAGTAAACAGTGTTGACTTTAAATCTCTCTCTAACTCTGTGAAACATTCTGTTTTCTGTCGATTCAGTTCAAAGCAGCTTCACTGTGACTGTATAGAGTGAAATACTATCAAATCATAGGGAAGCTTAAGTGTTCATAGATGAACATATGCAGTAAAAGTAATAGCAGCCACAGAGTAAAAGAGAATAGTAGACAAATAACATGGTGCACTAATATATATATATATATAATACTCACTATAGATAACAATTCTGAAGTTTGTGACTTTCATATTATTGTTTTGTTGTTTTGTTTTACATACAACAATAATGTGAGTTGGAATATTGCAGTATATTCATCAAATGATATTTTCAGATGTTTTATTGGGTGTTTTGAGAATTATTAAAACAAGCATTTATTAAATGATACATTACATACTGTAATTATCAGTTTGGTATATATGAAGATATATTTATCTTCTTTTATATGACTCCCTCTCTCTCTCTCTCTCTCTCTGTAGGAACGGAGGAGGCCGCAGTGGGATGTTTTCAGCCATCAGTATCGTCTGTGAAATGATTAAGAGGCAGAACGTGGTGGACGTGTTTCATGCAGTGAAAAGCCTGAGGAACAGCAAACCCAACATGGTGGACAGTCCGGTAAGAAGGACGGGCCTCTTTACTCAGTTACAAGAGAACATGGTCACATGTGGGGAAGCTTAAAGGGGAATTCCAGCAATTTAAAAAAAAGAAAATTCTGCACAATTTAATGGATAATTCAGAACTGTTCACAGTGGTGGTGATAGGAACCAGACGTCCACCTCTAAAAGCTCCCTCACAGAAAGTTACTACATGAAATGGTTATGAATTCACTGCCTGATGACTGAGACACTGTTTTATGATAGTTTTAAAAAGATTTCGGCCTTAAATAAACATATACATGCAGGATGTTGTGAGGTGAAATAGTCTGATAAAAGTTTAATGAAACTGATTGTGATGATTTTTATTTTTAACATTTCACTGAACTGAATCTGCTTAAACAGTAATTATGCTCTCTTATAATTATGATTCATGTAGTCGATGTTCTTTAAGAACTGACGATATCATAGACCACTCATATTGCCCACCCCTAACTCAGCAGGCACATAGAGTTGTATGCAAAAGTGCTTGCACCCTGGTCAAATGATCTGCTTTTGTTTGTGAGTGAAAAGAAGTGGAAAAAAATAAAGCATAAAATATAAAATGTGCTGTAACTTTTGCACAGACCCAGTAAGTTAAACCCAGTAAATAAACAGTAAGTGTGTATTAAATGTGCAGTAGTGTGTCTCTGTAAAGGATGTGTTCACTTAGTCACACTCAGAAAACCAACAACATCATGAAATTTAACCAGGGGTGCACAAACTTTTGCAACCAGTCGATTAGCTAGTCACATTACACCCCCCTAAATCTAGACTAGACCACCACTCAGCGTTATCTGAGAGCAGTAAAGCTGTTTAGAGCTTCATTTTAGAAAAACAGCCTTTGAAGAATTAATTTTTATTTAAATTTTTGGGTTTTAGAACTAAATTCTTGTTTATATTTGTGTAGTTTTAAACATTTAAGCATGAGCCTTTAGATCAGATGTCTTTAATATGATAAAAGTGCGCTGCAGTCTAGAGTACACTGCTTTTGTAGGTGCTAGGTGGTCCATTGGCAGGTCTTGTCATTTTAAAAGCTTAAACACCAAAAAAGAGAGAAAACAGCAGCGCCGGCTCCTCCCAGCAGATAAAGCAGACATTTCTCTCTCTCAGCCTTTTCATTCAGTGGAAACGCGAGCTCTCTGTGTGGCTGTAACCGTCTGCGTGTAACGTATGATCGTCTCGCAGCGTAAATAACGTCACTCTGAAAGAAGAGCTCCGGCGTGAGGCCTCCAACTGAACTAAAACTTCATCAAACGCTGCTCTTTCTCACTTTTACAGTCAACTGTTGTGGTGAATTTAGCATGTTTTGCCACATCCTTCACACGATTCATATTCACGCTCTTTCTTAATCTGCTCTTAGTGCCGCTGCGCAAAGCCAGGAGGTGTAAACTGAGGCTTTTAGAGGGGTTTTTATTGTCCGAGGCCAAGAATAGAACACTTTTATGCAAGAAAAGCAAAAGAAAGTGCAACATTCTTGGAATTCAGATGCAACGTGAAGAGCTTTGAACACATCTGCTGCGGTACTCATATCCTCTGCGCTCTCGAGAGCCATTATTGTCATTTTCAAATGAATTTGAATTGTATTTAAGTGTAATTGTGTAACTGTGTAAACAACTACATGGAGACATAATGAATTACATTTGTGCCAACAGGTTTGAGGCGGCACTTCTTTCCATTGTTGATGTTGAAAGTGAAACTTTTCATCAAATTCAGATTATCAGAAAATTTCTTCTACTTAAATTCCATACCAAAGTTTCGAATCTGCCTTTTCCACACATTTTCTCCACTTGTTTAACCTCTTCACCTGTGATGGGCGATAAGTTTTATTACACACCTCTGTAACCTAAGAATAGCTCAGCCAGTTTGACTTGAAGTTGTTAATAAGCATGACTTTTAAGGGGTTAAACGAAGGTCAGAAATGATTAAAATGTTAGAAGACATGAGCGCCACAGATCTGTGAGGGTTAAAGCTGAACAGAATCAACATAAATATACAGAATCAATACATCTATATACAATATCATACGATTATATTGTAAAATCAGTGTCATTTCTTTGTGTGTAGTTTTACAGGTGGGCGGATTCAAAAATATAGCTTGGTAGCATATTCTTGTTTTAGGCAATACATTTAATTGATTCCTTCATTAACCATCCAAACAACGATTTGTAGATGCATATGTGATGAAAAAAAAATGGAAGTTTGAATGATAATCCCAAAAATTGACTGCAAAATTATTATGAATTACTTAGCAGTTAAAATGAATTATTTAGTATCCACTATGAATTATTCAGTAACTACTACTAATTATTCAGTATCTACTATGAGTTATTTAGTATCTACTATGAATTATTCAGTATCTACTATGAATTATTCAGCATCTACTATGAATTATTCAGTATCTACTATGAATTATTCAGTATCTACTATGAATTATTTAGTTTCTATTATGAATTATTCAGCATGTACTAGGAATTATTCAGTATATGCTTTAAATTATGCAGTAACTGAAGACTCAGTGAACAGAAGTGACCTCTTTAATAAGAGAAAACAAAAAAACAGACATTTTGATCTTCCATGTACTTTTTAGATTGTCCTAATTAAAGATTTTTTTTATTAGATGAAATTTCTGTGTTGTTCTTGCTGTGTTGTATGAGTTAATAAACTCCATAAACTACTTTACTGTATTTCTGCCCAACTCTATAATTGCTATTTTAGGATTTTAGAAATGGTGCTCATCTCCTCTTATTTGTTTGTTTGTTTGTTTGTTTGTTTGTGTTTGAAGGAGCAGTACCGGTTCTGCTACGACCTGGCGCTGGAGTACATAGAGACCTCGTAATGGAGAAGTGAGGAAGGCGTTTCTTCGTTTTCTCGCTTTTCCGGCCGTCCGGACTTCGACGGACCGTCCCCACTTCAGTCAAGGCGTCGTTGTTATTGTAAAGCATAGCGGGAGCGATCCAAGTGGCGCGCTTGTCATTTTTCCCGTGTACAGTGCCACAGGAGCCAAGTGCCGACCGTCATGCCGCATTCGCTGTAACGTCCTTTATTTTTGATTTTACATTTTTATTTTTGTTCTGAGCATCTCGAGATTCAGTTTATCGATTGTTGTTTTTTTTTTTCATGCAGCCATTGTTACCACTGAGGCCAAGCTGTTGCATGATAAAGGTGTTCTTTATTTCTCTCTCTATGTCACTGTTAATGTCAATGAACATGTATATGATTATATCAGTATGCGTATATAGAATATCCATCGTTGTGTGAAAAATTAAAGAACAAAACAAAACAAAAAAAATCTTATCCATGATTCAAAGTGCAGCGTGTGACATTGGCTTGGTAATGTTTGTATTGTGCACTAATGGCTGGCTTATTACATTGTTGATTTTTGGGGTTTTTTTGCCATTGTTTTGTTGTTTTTGTTTTTGTTTTGTAGCAGAGCTATAATCATAAGCCAAAGACTCATGTAAATATGTCTATATAGATAAAGCACATTGTTTGTATTTATTGTTTACTTGCATTCCTTTTCGAAGGCTCAAAACAATCATTGCCATTCCCAGTTGTTTACCCTGAATTTTATCTGTAAACATTTTATTGTAGATTTTTGCTTTTATTTCAATAGTAGTACATTTTAGTTTTGTATTTTTTTTTTTTTAATTTTTAGCTGTGATGTTAAGGTGGTTTGTTTTGGTTTTTTGTGTGTAAATGATTGTGAATTGTACCTTTACTGAAACACTTTCAGCGACGGCCCCGGAAAGCAGAAGAGTTTTATTTTTTCTGCCGTTTTTTTGCTCTTGTTGTGGACTTTTGGGGAGTAAACAGCGAATCGTGGGCGAGTAAAGGAGTGTTAATTCAATGTACACAGTATTAGACTGCAGTGCGTTCAGAAGAAGACGCAGCCAGACGCCTCCGTGATGGACCTGAGGGGCAGAGAGGGAGGACACATTATTAATCACGTGAATTTAATCATGCATCGTCCTTTTCGTCTGTAGTTGTTGGCTTTATGGCTGTAATGAAACTAGTAAAACACTTTTAATAAAAAAGAGATAACGTTGGAGCCGTAGGCCGCAGTGTCTTATTTTCAGCTCTCGCTTTGATAGAATCTGGTTAAAGCCGCAGTGAGGAAATGCTGCAGTAGCTCAAATGCCACCACAGGATTAGCTGAGTTTACTAACGGAGGCTGCAGTAAACATGCAGTTAACAAGGTGTTGCTCAGTGATCTCACTGTCGCTGTTTGTCAGTAGCGCATGATTCACTGAAGCTGTGGCTGAGATGGTGTAAACAGTTTATCATGGTTTCTTGTTGTTTGTGTGATTCAGCAAGACTTTTTCCCCTGAATTATTCAGTATCTACTATAAATTACTAAGAATCTACAATGAATTATTCAGAATCTACTATGAATTATTCAGTATCTACTATGAATTATTCAGTATCTACTATAAATTACTAAGAATCTACTATCAATTATTCAGAATCTACTATGAATTATTTAGAATCTACTATGAATTATTCAGAATCTACTATGAGGTTTTCAGAATCTACTATGAGTTTTTCAGTATCTACTATGAATTATTCAGAATCTACTATAAATTATTCAGAATCTACTATCAATTATTCAGAATCTACTATGAATTATTCAGTATCTACTATAAATTACTAAGAATCTACTATCAATTATTCAGAATCTACTATGAATTATTTAGAATCTACTATAAATTACTAAGAATCTACTATGAGTTTTTCAGTATCTACTATGAATTATTCAGAATCTACTATAAATTATTCAGAATCTACTATGAATTATTCAGTATCTACTATAAATTACTAAGAATCTACTATCAGTTATTCAGAATCTACTATGAATTATTCAGTATCTACTATAAATTACTAAGAATCTACTATCAATTATTCAGAATCTACTATGAATTATTTAGAATCTACTATAAATTACTAAGAATCTACTATCAATTATTCAGAATCTACTATGAATTATTCAGAATCTACTATGAATTATTCAGAATCTACTATGAGTTTTTCAGTATCTACTATGAATTATTCGGTAACTCCTATAAATCATTCAATATCTACTAAGAATTATTCAGTATCTGCTGTAAATGATTCAGTAACTACTATGAATTATTCAGTAACTATGAATTATCCAGTAACTACTATAATTTTTTTGAGTATCTAAGATGAATGATTTAGTATATACTGCGAATTATTCAGTGTTTCCTATTAATTATTTAGTATCTACTATGAATTATTCAGTGTGTACTTTGAATTGTTCAGTATCTACTATGAATTAAGTAACTACTATGGATTATTAAGTATCTACTTTGAATTATTCAGTAAATGCTATGGATTATGCATAATCTACTATGCATTACTAAGTAACCACTGTGGATTAGGCAACTACAATGAATTATTGATTAACTACTATAAAGTATGCAGTATCTACAATTAATTATTCAGTATCTGCTATGACTTATTCAGTGACTTCTATGAATTATTCAGTAACTACTATAAATTATTTAGTAACTACTATGGATTACTAAGTATCTGCTTTTAATTATTCAGTAACTACTATGAATTATGCATAATCTGCTATGCATTGTTCAGTAACCACTGTGGATTAGGCAGCAATTGCATTGGATTACTGATTAACTGCTATAAATTATTTAGTATGTCCTATAAAGTATTAAGTAGCTACAATTAATTATTCAATATCTAGTAAGAAACTGATGTGTAAGTTCTGTATTTATGACAGTGAGGAACTGAAGTGTGGACCCTCATAAGGACCCTTATGGTTGAAGGTGTTGAAGGCCTTGGTTTGCTGCCTGATAAAAAAAAAAAATAGTCTTGTTATTTATTTGTTTACAAGAGCCTTACTTTCATAAACCATTCGTTCTAATCATGATGAGTTACTGTGTCGACAACTGTTCTTCACAGCAGATACTGAATGACCTGGTTGACTTGGTTGAAGCCCAGTGGCCCATATTTATCAGAGCTGATCCAGAGTCAGCTCATATTTATATTGGTAAAGATGATGTTCATTAATGCAAAACTGGTCCTAGATCAGCACTTTTACTCTGTTAAAGGCTAAAAAACAATTTTCTCCTTACCCAGCCAAGACATGTTGATGTCTGAATTGAGCTTCTTTATTTTTAGCACTAAAGCTATGAAGCTAACGTAGCTAACAGGGAAGAGACCATCAATTAGCATGAAGGCCTAAATAACCACCATTCGGAGTTGTTCAGTAATCTCTAATAGAGTTGATCATGTGGTAACTGAGTCACTGTTATCTGTGAACATGGACTAAAATATGTTAGCATAGCTAAAAACAGTAGCAGCAATTTTGATGCCTGAAATGTGTCCGTACGTCAGTCCATTTTTATAGAGAACAGTTTCATATAGTGTCAGAAACCACACGCAAAGTCTATATTAGGGATAAGTAGGGGATTCGTGTAAATTTGGCTTTTTCTTCAGAACTGTTGCTTTAAACAATAGATCCGGTGAGCACAGAGAGCAGCTGTGGCTTTGCCATTGCTGCGGTGCAGAGTATATACTGCATGAGTGTCGCGCTGCTTTTGTGTGAAGCTGTGGTTCGGGCTCTCTGCGCCTCTCTTCGCTTCGTTTCCTGTCCCCTTCCTTCGAACAGGATGCTTCTTCACACTCTTTTGTTCTCTCTCATCACTCTAAGCGTCTGCGCTGGCCAGAGAAGGGGTGAAAGGGCACCCCGAAATTTCCTTCTCCACTGCTTCTGCTTCTGACCCCTGTCTGACCCCTGCTTTCTCTCAATGGACTCCCATTATTCCATGACTTCAGTTCCGTTCTAGCAGTCCTTTATTCTGCGGCACTGTGGGAGAGGGAGCGGAGCTGAGGATGGCTATGACACTAACGGAGTTCACTCGCTCTCTGGACCCGAAAATGCTGCCCAGGATCCTGCAGATTCAGTCTGGCTTTTACTGCCAGGGTAAATATATGATGCACCTCATTTTCAATGGTAGCACAATTTTCAGTCTGTTTTCAGCAATAAGCGGAAGTTCCTATTGATTACTGCTTTATGTTCACTCTCTAAATAATATTTGTGATTAATATTGTTGGAAAAGTCCATTTTAATTCAAACGTAATGCGTATGAAACCATGCACTCACTGTAAATGTATTGCTGATACGTTTCTTGGTTATAGGTTCACATAAACATAAGCATCACTGATGTCAATTTTAATTTAAACTTTAAGTTTTTTAAAAAGCTTTGTCAAATGTCATAACACTGTTTGACCATTCATCTGTCAGTGTTTGTTTATTGATCTTAATGTTTTCTTTTTTTGTTTTTTTTTTTCACAAAAGATGTATTTAATTCTGGTCAAAAGCAAAACTCATCAGTATTTTCTAGGACAGGGCCGTTAAACTGAATCTGCTGGGCCGCTGCTGTATTCGCCAACGTAATGGTTCATTAAGTAATTCGATTTCTTCGTTAAGGAAGCGAGATCATTAGTGACATAAACTGCATGTCAAGTGGGGAAAAAGAAGGCACTGCAGAACTTTAGTGCCTAATTTTATATATATTGCTGTATCAGACCAAAACCTTGTATCTCCATTTTTCAGTTTGTGACATAGTGTGAAAATGCCTGTTGTTCTTTACGTTCTGTGTAAATTTCCTGATGAATGGACCAAAAGAAACGTCCCAAAATGACTTTTTAACTTACATTAAAAGTAAATTCTGTAAAAGTTATCCTGTAAAGTTAGCATTTTGGAGACACGAGGTTTTATTCTAACAGTAGCGATATATATATATATATATATATATATATATATATATATGTTTATGTGTATAATGTTACACTGAGTGCAGGTAGTTTGATGACATATAACATGTATTGAATAATCCACAATGTGTGTATATACATATATATATATATATATATGTGTGTATATATATATATATATATATATATATATATACACACACACACATTTATATAAAGCGAATTTAAAAAATTCTGATGACATATGGCATTTCTACAAGTACAAACACACTGCAAAAATGATATCTTAGCAAGGGTAAACATCGTAAATGTAGTCAATATATCTACTGTTTCTCATTATGAGACTCTTGTAAGAATATTCTGAGATTATTTAACTTATTCAAAGACATTTTTACTTGTTTTTAAGTAAATTTTATCTTATAAAAGTGTGTTATTTCATTGGCAGATCATTTCATTTATTTTAGGCATTATTTGCCTATGATTTCTTGAAACAAGTGAACTAATCTGCCAATGGAATAATCTGCCAACACTTTCACTGGATAAAATGGCACAAAACGAGTAAAATGTACAGAAACAGGTGGAAAAATCCCTGTATATTCTCACAACAGCCTCATAATGGGAAATATTAGATTTATTAACTACAGTTAAGATGTTTTCAGTTGCTAAGGTACTTTTTTGCAGTTAACTACAAGTATAAATTGTTTTGAATAATGTGCTCAGGTGCTGAAGACTTACTGTATATAAATGTTATAATAATATTATTGATTATAGAAGAGAGAAAGCCATTTTGTTCCATTTCTATTGATCACGAAATGTTCTCTCCGCGTAAAAGAGCAGCTGAAGTTTTCACACAGCGTAAAAAAGCAGAAAATTGCGTCATGTTTGATGTGGCAGACGATATTTACATATGTGCTATTTTTGAACTTTCAGACATAAAATATGTAGTCAAACTGTAACATGACAACTGTTAACACTTTCAGTTTTATTTGGTTTTAATGTCTTATTGCTTAGACAGCTTTAGCAGCGCTGTAAGGCCCACCTTTAGTGGACCCTCAACAAACCATATTATAATTCTAATCTTCTTCCTACACTGTATCTATAATGGAGGTAGTGCAGGGCTGTGGAGAGCAGCGTTTATAAGAAGGCACAGCTGTAAGATCAGGAGTTTGTCAGTGATGCTGAGCTGAAATGACCTCAGCAGAAACATGATGACCCTGTGAACAGACCTCTCCTTCTCTCTGGCCGCAGGCTGCTGAACTGAATGATGGGAGGTGTGTCAGGCTGAGTGTGTTTCAGAAACGCTGTTATCGTAAAGGGACGGTTTCGGTTCTAAAATCTGATTGGCTGAGTCGCATTCAAGGCAGTAAAATACTCAGTATACACACATGCGACTGCACACATCAACTGAATGCTAATTACAGTAAACTGACTCAAAAAATGTTACTTTACAGCAGAAGGTAAAAATGTTCTTTGATTTGAAGTCCATGTAAAGAGATTTTATTCCAAGCTATTTTGGAGTGTTTCTGTTTTTCCATTCATCATGAAAGTTTCATGCAATGAAAAAATAAAAAACTGAGATACTTTCTTTTTTTGAACAACAAAGATATCTGGAGCAACCTCTATGTTTATGGCAAAAGGAAGAGCTGTTCATTGTGATTATTAAAGTAAATTAAATTATTTTTTTGAAATGGTAGATTTGATCAAATACTTGTATTTCATCAGCATTTTATAAAAGTAGTGAAATAATGTGTTGTAATCTGAAGTTTTGTGTTCTGCTCACACTGGCAAAAGTGAAAGAGGTCAGAAGTTAAGATCTAGAATGATAAATTATTTCTTCTAAACTGTAATTTTGCTTTGCTTCAGTTCAAAGTACTTATTATAAAATACACTTTTTAGTTGGAAATAAACATTTCTTAAGGTGTAACACTCTTATCTGTAGTAAAATCACTGAACCTCTCAGCCTCCAGTGCATTATTGCTTTATTTTACCGTCGTTCTGCAGGTGCTGTGTATGAGCTGTTCGGGAGGGAGTGCTGTCTCTCCACTGGAGACCTGATGAAGATCATCGACATCAGCATCACCAGATTCATCGCACAAACTGCCGACGCCTCAGAGATCAAACTGCCGTTAGAGTATCCAGGTACTGAATGTTCAGTCGGAGCTTCCACCACCATGCTTCACTCATAACTTTACCGATGTCTGATTTACACTGTACATCAAAAGTTTGGGGGACACCACTTTAATTAAAAAGGTTCTCAGTCTAGCACCATTAGCATTTTCACATATTGAATAGAGCTCTTTATGTTTACATTTTGGTTATTTTTCTTTTCAAATCTAAAGGAGCAGCTGATAAAAGCCTATCTTTGGGAAGCCAAAGGCCATGCATTGTTCTTTACCTTGTTGGGATGTCAGCACTCAAACCTTTCAGGGCTTTAAACTACCTTTGGACCAAAAGAGTCTCAATCTGTCTTTGTAACAATAGTTTGGAAAGGAAATCTGTCAAATTATTGTTTAAAACCTGCTGTTCAAACCATGGAAGACACTTTAATGGACATGAAGATAAATATACATAAAGCATTCTTATAAAGATTTGCAGAATTTTTTCTTACTATAATTAAAAATTTAAACATCTTCTGAAATTTTTCAAAAAAATATAAGGCCAAACCTTTTGCAGGCAGCATAAGAACATTTTACAGTATAATGGATTGTCATTTAACAGTGACCTACACAGCACAGATTGCAATGTTATGAACCAGGTGCTAAAACGCAAACCAATTGCATTTTGGAAACAATAAGAATTTAATGACATGGTAAAAATAGTATATTTTATTCAATTTAATCCCTTTCCCTGATTTCAAAGTTTTGAGTGGTTTATTCATTTTATGTAATTGTTTTTATGGAATCTTTTAGTAGTCTATGAAAGTCAGCCAACAATATTCTCATTTGTGATCTTATTCAGGATATTTATGGAGGCTGTAAAGTAGTTTGGTCAAAATAGAGAGAAAAACGAGCGTAACTTACAGCACTGTGAGCAGAATGAGAGTCTCGATCTGGCTGGAGATCAGACAGGAATGTACTGTGCATAAAGCAGGAGAACAGAGAGACATCAGCGAGAACAGTGAGCGCAGAACGTCACTCAGCACAGAGAGAGCGGCGCAGTGAGAACAGGTCTTTAGAGGAATTTTAGAGGAGTTTGTTCAGAAAAGTTTATTTAGGGCAGTTTGTTTAATGGAGTTTATTTAGTGGAGTTTGTGTAGTGGTGTTTGTTTAGAGAAGTTTGTTTAGTGGAGTTAATTTAGGGAAGTTTATTTAGGAGAGTTTGTTTAGGGGGGTTATTTAGGGGTGTTTGTTTAGGGGGTTATTTAGGGGTGTTTGTTTAGGGGGGTTATTTAGGGGTGTTTGTTTAGGGGGTTTATTTAGGGGAGTTTGTTTAGAGGAGTTTATTTAGGGGAGTTTGTTTAGGGGGTTTATTTAGGGGAGTTTGTTTAGGGGCTTTATTTAGGGAAGTTTGTTTAGAGGAGTTTATTTAGGGGAGTTTGTTTAGGGGGGTTTATTTAGGGGAGTTTGTTTAGGGGTTTATTTAGGGGAGTTTGCTTAGGGGGGTTATTTAGGGGAGTTTGTTTAGGGGGTTTATTTAGGGGAGTTTGTTTGGAGGAGTTTAGGGGAGGTAGTTTAGGGCAGTTTGTTTAGAGGAATTTATTTAGAGAAGTTTGTTTAGTGGACTTTGTTTAGAGAAGGTTGTTTAAGGGAGTTTGTTTAGTGGAGTTTGTTTAGGGAAGTTTGCTTAGTGGAGTTTGTTTAAATGAGTTTGTTTGGAGGAGTTTATTTAGGGAAGTTTGTCTGTGGAGTTTGTTTAGGGAATTTTTTGGGGGGGAAGTTTGTTTAGAGGAATTTACTTAGAGAGGTTTGTTTTAAGGGAATTTATTTAGAGAAATTTGTTTTGGGGTGTTCATTTGGAGGAGTTTATTTAGGGAAGTTGGTAAATTAAAAATGTACATTTTTTCTGTGGTTTTACTTGGACCTTCCCTTATACCTCTGAAATTTTGTGCATCATTTCACGCCAAATCACTTACCTGATACTTGTCAGTCTTTCTGTCTAACTTTCCTGCTTAAAATGATATTTATTACAGTGACAATTAGTGTATATTTAAACAGACCACCTCATTCTTCCAAATACATATGCAGTATTTTACTGTGTCCTTTATCAGTTTAATATCTAGAACCTGTTAGTCATTTCAGTGTAATTTATTAAGAGAGTCTTGGCTCTTATCATCGCAGTAACATCGCAGTAAAAGACAGATAAACCGTTAAAAATCGTATTTTAAATAATCCACACAGAAAAGCTATTTCACAGTGAAAGTGCGAGTGGACTTGACTGGGTGGCTTTTCTCTAGTAAGAATTATTCACACTTTCAGTTTCATTTAATGAGCCTTAATGTGGTTTCACTTTGACACCATTCGCAATGTGCAAAAGTTTGTGCACCAAGTTTTGTGTGGTCAAATGACATGTATTTGTTGATCATTTGTTGTGTAAATAACTTAACAGATCCTCTACAGAGACACACCTATGCACATTTTAATGCAAAAACACTGTTTATTTACTGAACTTAACATATTAGGGGAAAATAAAACATAAAATGTGGCCTGTGTAAAAGTTACTGCATGTTTTATTTATTTATTATTATTATTATTATTATTTTGGTTTTCCGATTTGTTAAACTCTATACGCAAATAAATAGAATTAATGCATTCATTAGAAGAAAAATTCCATATTTGTGTGTTCTCTATAGAGGATGTGTTAACCTATTGTGTGTTATCTTATACTTCTGCACATTTTAATGCATAATTAGTAATTCCTTGCTGAATTTAATGTAAAGAAAATTCAACAACAGTTAAGTCACATGTTTTGTTTTATTTTCTTCCAATTTGTTGAATCCAGCAGATAAAAAGGAATTGTGCCCTAAAAATTCCATATTTAAGTGTGTTCTCTGTAGAGGATGTGTTAAATCATTTTCACATAGAAAATTAGCAATTTTTTTAAAAACAAAAAGTTGTTTGTCCAGGAGTGTAAATGTGTGAAACGTTATTTTGCTGCTGTTACAATAATCTTCTCCTCAAAGGTCTCTTCAGAATTGTATCGGACAGTCAGCCGTATCTGACCATCAAGGAGATTGTGGACTCCCTGAAGATCAGCTCCCACAGACTGGGCCAGCCGGCCTTCATCTCGGCCAACCAGATCCAGCTTCCTCAGGGCTCGGTGAAGGAGAAGGAAGGCTTCTGCATCACAGCGGTCACTCTGGATGCACAGGGTGGTGGCCATGTCGACTGCGAGCTCCTCTACAAGGAGCCCAAGTTCAGCTTCAGGCTGGACCTCTCTCAAGAAGGCCACTTCACAGAGTGTGAAGATGACCAGTTTTACACCCTGCGGGAGCTGGCAGAGTGGAAGATACCCAAAGGCAGGAAGAGGACGGTGACTGTGGCCAATGCTCCGCCCCCAAAGGACATGCTGTTTTCCACTCTACTTGAAAACATTAGTGGGGAGTTGACGCTGACGCCGGTGTACGAGCTCCAGGCTGTGATGCAGCGTAAGTGACACAACCTCTTATTTCTACATTGGCAGCCAAAAGTTTGGGGACACGTTGCCTTCTTCTGTTTTATTTACATGGTTACTTTCCAATTAAACACACTTAATTATAAAGACATTAAACTTTTTAGGCAATTAAATGCATGCTTATTTTTTGGGAATATGCAGCTAAACAGCACCTTTTGTCTAAATAATAATGTAGCAGTTTTCTAACTATTGTTAAGAGCACATACTGAAAATCTTTATTATAAATTTTGTTGTTATAATTATTATCAGTATCATCATTGTGTATCATTCATTATCCTTTATTTATTTAATTTCCAGTCAAAATGGCCGTTAAGTACATTAAGTATCTGAAAAAGGCAGAAAAACACACATTCACTTTGTCCCTTTATTCCAGCTTCCATTCATTTCAGGAGACTCTCTTTCAGTTCCTCAAAGAATCTGCAGACACACCTCCAAAGTTCAGTCTTAGAAGCTGGTTGATCATTTTCTAAAGTAATCAAACTCATTCAGTGATGTTGAGGTCTGGACTCTGGGGTGGTCAGTCCATCGTTCAGCTTCTTTGTTTGATGTGTCCGTCTCCTTTTCTCAGTGAGGTTCTTCTTGATCAGCTACACATCCTTTCAGACCCACAGCGCTGAGTCGTCTTCTCACAGTGGAAGGATGGACAGAAACACCTGTGGATGTTTTCAGATCTGAAGCAGCTTGATTTTCTCCTCTCTCTCAGAGATGAAAGCTTTAAGTGCTGTTTATCTGATGGGGGGCAGTTTTGGTGTCTACCAGCTCTTCCAGGTGGTTGTTAGGAGCCACGTTTTCTCTGTAGCTTTTTCCTTTCACTTTCTCCTTCCTTATGCAAGTGGATTATCTTGACAGATTTAATTTATACTAGAAATTAAATAAATTAAAGGTGGTCTCTGACTTTTGCACAGTACTGTAAACAAAGATTTCAGTTAGATTATATTTTCCCCTTTTATATTGTTTTATAGTGCCTGTCTTAGCATTTTAATATACATTCTACATTCATTAATACTAATACTACATTCATTTTTTAATACTACAAAATGAATGTAGTATTAGTTGTTTTTCACTTTAAGGGGCCACCCAGATAGGGATGTTGCTTAGCGCCCCCAAGAGATCAGAAATTACCCTGTATTAAGTTATTGAAAACCGACAAAGAAAATATCTCATTTGTATTAAATCGTTTTGAAAAGCTAGGTGTCCCCAAACTTTTGACAGCCAGCATGTAGTCTGTTAATTACCACGACTGTTTTTTGTTTCATATTTAATTTTCTCAGTCTAATATTCACTATTTTGAACTCTGTTGAAAGGAAGCGCCTGGCGTCTCGGGCCAGTGAGCAGAATAAAGAGTCGGTTTAGGGCTGTTAACTTTATGAATGCTCTGCCTGCCTCTGAATTGGAGGAGCCAAATTCAAATGGTGTTTTGATGTTCTGTCGTTATGTGCATTGTGTTGCTGCTGATAATGAATTTCCCATTTGCAGAAGCAGAACTGTGCTCACAGCTTCAATTAACCAGGCCCAGCCCGTGTCAGACAATAGAGAAGATAAATGAAATTACGCTCACGCAGCAGTAACATTACACGTTGCTCTGGAAGAACTCCATGTGTTCATTCTTCTCCTTTTTAACCCTTAGAAGTCTAGAGTCTGTTATTGTTGTTCTGCTGTACTAATTAAATGTAATTATATTATTACATGCTCAAAAACACCCAGTGTCTGCTCTGCATAAGCAGCTTCTTAGGACCCCGGCCACTAGGGGGCTCCCTGACAAGTTCTGGATTATAATTGTACCACCATATGGTCTAAGATGCTGAAGGGAGGAGAAAAAGTGGCTGGTTAATATTGATTCAAAAAGGAATGTAGCCTAAAAACAGAAATTAAAAAAGAAAGAATGAGGAGAAAAGGCTAAAAGATTTTTATTGAGCTAAAAGAAATTTTATTTAAATAGAAAACTTATGAGGACCCTAAAAAGGCATTCGTTAGAATCAACACGTCAGTAGTGCACAAATTAGCTGTTTATAAATGTATGTTATTTAGATCACTTTGCTAGTCATTTTTAGTAGTTAGCCCCCAATTGTAAAGTGCATCAGCTAGCAAACAAACAGGTTTGCTAATGTTATATAAAGTTATAATTCCTAACATAGAAACATCCTGTTTTGCTCCTGAAGTTAATGCTCTGGTTGACAATATGAGAACAGTGTAACTCTGAGAAATCAATTAAAAAGGAAAAAATAATGAGATTTATGAATGTCATCTTATACACATAATTGCATTGCTTAGCCTGAGAGGAGACTGTTAAAAAAATGCTATTGGATTGGAAAAACTAACATCAGCTAGGTAAAGTTGGTTGGCCCAGAAATTATTCTATCCACTTTTCACAATTTTTAAACTGTTTCAAATGTGTGGCTCTTAGAGGAAAGCATAATCAAGATGAGAGGCCCCCAAAAAATCCTGGTAAGGGCCCCCAAAAGGCCAGACACAGCGCTGATTACACTGTTAGGACATTAGATTTACATTCTGTGTAGCTGCATGCGGCTCTTTTACTGTCCTGTTGTGGCTCCACAGCTGAATCAGATTTGTAGGTAAAAATAAAATAATCCTCCTTTACAGTAAAATAAAGCTCTGCTGATCGTTCAACACAGTTTAACAATAAATGGTCTTAAACTCTGGAGTTAATGTAGAACTGCTGATTCACCCTTTAACCCTGAAGATCAGCACAGATTGCTGGTCACCATAGCAACACAGACAACAATCTCGTCTAGCTAGTAAAAGTTAAAGAAAAGTTTAGTTAAAGTCTAGTTAAAGAAACGGCAAAGAGAGAGATTTAAGACGAACATCGATAATTTGGAGACAAATGGACTTATTTGCATTTATAATCACTCCAGCTGGTTTCCTGATACGTTTAATCTGCAATGAGAAACTGACAAACGCTAAAAAGTCATGAAGCTGAATTTAGCTTCTCATTTACCAGCTTCTCATTTGAATTCTTCCATTCCACCTTAAATGGTGCAGCAGTTACATTCTCCTAAGGTGGTTTGATTTTTGTTGAAAAGCCAAAAGGCTCTTCTTAACATTTGGGTTATGACCCCTGCCCTATTTGTTCCAAGACAATGACAAGAACACACCAAATATGTAAAGGATGGTCTTTCTTTCTGCAAAACAAGACTGTACGCGGAACTATAGCTCTTCGTCAAATTCAAATAATAGCAAAATGTCTCCTCTTCTTTTAAAAACACTTGATTTCTGATTTTTCAATTTCTCCACTTTTTTTAATTCATAGCAATTCAAATAAAATGACACCATGCTTATTGTTATTGCTGACCATAACTGCATCTTTTGTGGGTTACACTCTTCTCCTTTCTTGTATCTTACAGTCAGGAAGAGCGTAGCTCTCATCCCGTCCAACATGGACGTAGAGGTCATGGATGTGACGGAGCAGTTTGATGTGAACACCTTTATTCAGCCACTTTCACTTCAGGACGTCTTCCAGAAGCCTTCAGAGATTTTCCCCATGGTGGCGGATGTGATCGAGAGACCTTTGATTGAAAGGCACATGCCCGAGGATTTTGTATCTCTACTGCGTTCGGAACAAGTGATCATCCACAGGGTTTACGAAGCCAAGAGGATCCTCGCTACGGAAATTCGGCAAGAATCACCAAGACATTTCCTCATTCCCGCAACCTACAAGGGCCGCTTAAAGCGGCGGCCTCGCGAGTTTCCCACAGCTTACGACCTGGAACGTGCCCGCAGTGACACAGAGCAGTTACACGTGGTGGCCACCAGGGGCTTTGACTCAACCTATAGTGGATTAGCATCTGTTTTAGTGGGGGATGAATTCGTAGTAAAGAAAAGCAAATCAGGTGAAGTTGTTTGTGATGGAAACAGGGATTTGGTGGACGCCCTGACTTGTATGAAGATCAAGGGGAAGACTCATGAACCTGTTCGTATCCCAATGTGCCTGGACGGAGGATTTATGGAGGTTATTCACGACAAGCGCCAATACTCCATTTCTGAGGTTTGCCACTGGTTCCCGCTTCCGTTCAATGTCAAGGTGTCCGTACGTGACCTGTCCTTGAAGGAGGACATTCTGGCCAGTGTTCCTGGCCTACGCATCGAGGAAGAAATCACTGACCCTTACCTCCTCATCTCAACCCTTGACCTTTCCAGTTGGTGGGAAGTGCCCGTAAACCGCACGCACATGATTGTTCACTTGGAGAAAAGCTGGACAGGTGGGGTCCCGACATCCAATGTGAATTCAGCTATTGAAGAGATCTCTGAAGACAGTTACTACACCATGAGGAGGTACGTCTTCACTACGGTAATGCCTCCACCACGACCCCCCAAAAAACCCAAACAGCCTCCAGCAAGACCAGCCAGACCGCAGCCCAACCCACGACCTGAGAAACCCACCAACATCCCCGCCAGCTGCTCCCCAAAGGTAACCAATACACCTGTTTTATTTGGGCTTGTATGTTGTGAACATTAAAAGTCTCATCTTAATTCCTAGTGTTAAAGTTAAAATATAGTGTTCAATAATCCAGCATGACATATATGAAGACTGTAAATATGTCAAACTTCACAGCACTGAAGAGTGTAGCATCGTACCTCATAAAAACCTAATTAGCATGTCTTTTTTCTGTGGCCCACCAGGAACTGCTGTAGGTGTTATAGAAACACTGTAGGCGTATTGACTCAGCAATTTAGGTGTTCGTCCAACTCTACAGCTCTCCACTCAATGCTATAAATGTCAGTGGTGAACTCTGTGACTCTGCGCTAGGCTAATTCAGTACAGGCCATAAATGTCAAAACCTGGTCAAAACCGAGGATAAAAACCCTCCACAATAATGCTTATATCTGCTAGCACCTGTATGTGGTTTTGGCAGTGTGTTGATGCTAAGCTAACAATAAAGCACTGTTATAAGTCGCTCTGGATAAGAGTGCCTGCTAAATGCTGTAAATGTAATTGTAAGCTAATGGCGATTCACATTAATATTTTCAGCCTGTTCTACATTTAAAGCTTGTGATTATAACATTTAAGCTTGTATGTATGAGTTTTACATCATAGAGCTGCCACCACTGGCCTCTGTTCCTAACAACTATTCAAAACATGCTTAGGCTACAGCTCATGTTCACAGTCAGTGATGTATCTAGAACACTCAGGAGGCTGAGAGTGACATATCTCATGAAGTTTATTGTAAACCAAAACGTGATTGATTGACACCTCTGTCTCTACCATTATGTTGGTAGTTAATCTAACGTGTAAGGCCTTCAGTCCAGCTCCTGAAGTCCTAACCAATGGGAGAGCAGCTTGGCTATATCTACCTCGATACCACAGAGAAAACAACCCTAAAGTGAAATTATTTTCCATTGGATGTGTCGATATTTTAATCCTTTTGTTTTCAACCAAAACTTAACAAATAAGAGTTATTACTACACTGAGTATACAAGCACAATGATTTTATTAAATAAAAATGCACATTTTTTTTCTCAGAAATCATTAGGCCTTCTCTGAAGGTCTGGAAGGGTTCTCCTATGATAGGTGTTCTCTCAACACTTGACCTTTAAATTCAAAGTTGGAGGTATTAATTCAATATCAAGTAAATTCAGCACTGTACATGTATGAAAAGAAAAGATGGGGTTCTTAAATTTGCTTGTAAATGAAAAATCATGGAATAAACACTAAAGTCAAAAGCTAGAACTTTAGAAGTTAGAAGAAATAAGCTTTAGAAGGCAAGTTTTGATAGAAGTAAAAGTGATAGTTTTGATACTGGTTGCCAACTAACAACAAGTTGCACTGTATTTGTTCTGGGATGTATATACTGTAACTAATGAAATGGCTCAAAGGAGCCATGCCTGTTACCAGTGTTTTTGGCTTTTTATGCTATTTTTTCAGGGTACATTCATTGGTTAAACTTTCATTCATTGAAATCAGTAATTTTGTCCCCAAATTTATGAGGCATCTTACAGTAGAAGTGAGTTAGGCTCAGCCCTCCCCCAATACACTCAGAAACTTGATTTTTCTCCGAAACAACTGAGCAAGGAACTTCTTTAAGTGCAATAAGTAATATTTTAAAACATTTTAAAATCCTGAAAAAGAATAAAAGGACTTGTTTTGGTTTGTATGTTGAAGTAAACTGGCCTGTCCTTTAATTATGTGTTTGAAGAAATTTTTTTAAGCCTTTTTTGTAGGACTTTCTCAAGACATGATATCATTTTTTCATGTCTTATTCAGATATCTATTTACATTTGATTTATACTGTATTTTTGTAATGCATGCTCTTTAAAGTCTGAGGGTTGGTCAAAGGCCAGGCAAACTGCCAGTTTGACTGAGAAGAATGAATTTTAAGGGACACTATCACTGTAGATCCAGGAGATGCTGCCATCTTGTGGCAATGGCTGGATTACCATGTAAACCTCTGCAAAAGAGGATTCTGTCGTGAATGGAATATTGCACACCACCACATAATCAATATCTTTAAAACCAATGTACAAAATACATGGTGTCCTGAGGGAGGAGAGGGGTCCTGGGTTGGAGCATTGGGGTTTTCCAGAACCCCTTAATTAACCCTTTACACACAATGAAAGCCCCAAGATCAAAATTCTGGGGGTTCTCTAAATTTGCAAGAAAAATAGACGTTCAAATACAAACTGAAAAGACTCACTATTACAGTGATGGTAATGTATGCTGCAATGAAAGAAACCTGACAGAGAAAAATCTCTTAGCGAATGCTTCTTGACCACTTTAAAACTAAAAGGGAAACGTTTTTTAGTACTTGCTTGCTTTACCTCATCTACTTGTAAAGACAGAGTTGGATGAACTGCTTGATTGATGAGTACTGGGTGAAGTTTGAAGTTTGCTGCTCTCTTTTACTCTCAAGACCCCTTAAAAACATTTGATGAATCTCCATATATCTCCATCTGACCTCTTCCACATCTTTTGTTGTATTCCAGAGTCCTCGGCCTGCTGTGGTCAGCAGAGACAGTTCTACAGACCGCAGCCACTCTACAGTACGAACTGAGAGAACACCCAAAAGTCCAGCTACCCTGCCCAAACCTGTCCTGCAGAAAGGTAGGAACATTACCTCATTCACCTGGGTCAAGGAATTATGTATATGTGAAAGCAATAGCAAATCAGATTTACCCTGCCCCTCCCCCCTCTTTTCCCCAAGTTGATCAGACAAGGCATGTTTGGTGTCTGAAGTTGCTTCTTTAGTTTTGCTCTTGAGCCCTGAGGCTAATGTAAACCAAATACCTCTAGTTGCTTATTTCGTTTCTGGCACTGTATGACAAATTGTTATCTATAAAAATTGACAAACATGCATTTCATAGCTAAAACAGTAGCAGCAGCCAATATGAAACCATCTTGGACCAGATTTAGTGTGTACTTTTGTGGGGGGGGGTGTAAAATTTGATTTATTCACTGAACTAAAATGAAATTTTCGTGCAATAATGTTATTATTGCTAATGCTGAATGACAACTAGTAGAGCCCACTTAGCATCTTTGGGTAAAACATTCATTTTATGAGCTATTATGGATTTAGTGTGACGAGTGCCTGCTTATACATGTCTGCCCTTCTTTCACTCAGCTGTTACCAGAGGCCACAGTCTTGAGGATGTGTGTATAAACTTACCTGATGAAGATGACCCCCATGATTATGAATACATTGATGAAGATCAACTCGACAACATCAGGAAGCAGTTCCATGAGCAGTCCATAAGCGTTCCTGCCAAAGGAAAACCAAGTAATACGATATGATCACACTATGTGGATGATGGCTGACAAATCGCACTGCTGAATCACCAAAGACCGAAATCAACAAACGACAACCTGAAAGGCTTTCTCTTACCTTTCTGATGCTTTTAAAGCGATAGTTTGGTGAACAGTCTAATTTACCCAGTTTCCCCCCCTAACACAAATGTATTCAATCGTCCAAGACAAGTTTGGTGTCCTAAGTTTGCTCCTTTAGTTTTAGTGCTGGAGCTAATGTAGTAGAAGCAATAGACATTTATATCCCACCAATCAGTACTGCTAAATCCTCACACTCTTAGCTCTGATAGACTTATACTGTTATTGATAAACACGGCTTCATGCACATTAGCATTGCTAAAACAGAAGTAGCCATCTGGAAGCCAGAATTTTGAATGTATTTTGTACATTTTTTAAAAGAAGCAAACTTCAGACACCACACACATCTTGCATGATCAGCTGCATTTGGAATAAGGGGAAACTGTAATTCAGTGAATTATTGCTTTAATAGAATATTCTGTTTCCACTTATTATGTGAAACATTAGCTTATATAAAGAGTGAGTCATGTTGCTGTTTTTCAAAAGCCTGAAATCACTCAGGCAGCTTATGTTGGCTCAGAAATGCTTTAACTTCAAGTTGAAGTACGCTTAGTTTCTTTGGATTATTCTAGAATATTCCTGAACAAGAGGTGTGGATGGTTTCTCTGTATTGGGGGTGGAGAACTCTGGTCCTGGGGAGCCGGTGTGGAATCTAGTCATACATCCCCATCCTGATGTTACTTCTCTTGGTTTTCGGCCATGTTACTGAATGAATTATACATATCAGAGCGGTCAGTTAACAACCGTGGGAGAACCTAAAAAGGCATAGGTAGATAGGTATGTGCCTGACTTTTTGTGAACTTAAATATACTCACCGAGCTTTTTATTAGCAACACTTTACTAATATTGGGTAGGGCCTTCCGTTGCTCTCAAAACAGCCTCAGTTCTTCGTTGTATGGATTCTATAAGAGACTGGAAACATTCCTTTGAGATTCTGGTCCATTTTGCCTGAAAACTTCTCAAATACACTTTCAATCTGCTATTCTACCACATCCCAAAGGTGTTCTACTGGATTCAGATCTGGTCACTGGGAAGGCCACTGAAGAACACTGAACCCATTGTCATGTTCATGAAATCATTTTGAGATGACTTTTGCTTTGTGACATGGCACATTATCATGCTGGAAGTAGCCATCAGAAGATGGTAAATAGTGGCCATGAAGGGATGAACATGGTCAGCAATAATACTCAAATAGACTGTGGCATTTGAATTATAATTGATTGGCATTAACGAGCCCAAAGTGTGCCAAGAAACATTCCTCACCCCATTACACCATCTCCACCAGCTTGGACTGTTTGCATAAGGCAGGTTGGGTCCATGGATTCATGCTGTCAGCGCCAAATTCTGACCCTACCGTCTGTGTGCCTCAGCAAAAATCGAGATTTATCGGACCAGACTACATTCCTCCAGTATACAACTAGTCTAATTTTAGTGTGCAACTTCTGACAGAAGTGGAACCAGACATGGTCTTCTGCTGTTGTAGCCCATCCACCTCAAGGTTCGACATGCTGTGCATTCTAAGATGCATTTCTGCTCACCACAATTGTACAAAGTGGTTATCTGAGTTACTGTAGCCTTTCTGTCAGCTCAAACCAGTCTGACCATTCTCTACTGACCTCTCTAATCAACAAGGCGTTTCTGTCCACAGAACCGCTGCTCACTGGATTGTTTTTCTTTCTTGCACCATTCTAAGTAATTCTAGAGACTGTTTTACATGAAAATCTCAGGAGATCAGCAGTTATAGAAATGGTTGATGTGAACATTACCTGAAGCTGCTGGTCATATCTGCATGATTTTCTTGTACTGTACTGCGCCACACGATTGGCTGATTAGATAATTGCATGAATGAGTAGGTGTACAGGTGTTCCTAATAAAGTGCTCGGTGAGTGTATGTTTGAAAATAAAAGCAACAAAGCTGCACTGCAAAAAGTGGTATCTTATCAAGTAAAATCTTAAATTTAGTCTATAAATCTCACTTTTCTCTCGTTTTGAGATTGTTGTAATCTTATTTTAAGATTATTTCAACTTATTTCCAAACAATTTTTAGTGATTTTATTAAGCACATTTATCTCACTATATTGGCAGATAATTTTGCTTGTTTTAAAGAATGTGCTTGAAACCAGCACAATTATCTGCCAACATAGTGAGATAATTTTTCTTGGTAAAATTACTTAAAACAGGTAAAAAAAAAATCTAGAAATAAGCTAGATAATCGTATAATAAGTGCACAACCAACTCAAAATGAGAAATATTACATAGATCACCTAGAATTAATCATTTCACTTGACAAGATTCTGTTTTTTTGCAGTGTGAGTTAAAATCAGGGGCAGGTTTTACAGTTAACTGTTATGACTTGAATAATAATACAAATGTGCTAAATTGCCAACTGTGCCTGAGGGTCCTTGGGAAGTGAAATCAGGACAGGGGAGATTGGGATTCACACACAGAGCTCAAACAGTCCTTCAGTATGAATGGACGGGGCTAAAGTGCTGTAGGCTGAATAGGTGGCTATATTTAAATGAGTTCATTGATGTTAGAGAAACAGTAAATTAAAAATGGGCTGTTTTTTTGCAGCTTAGTTCCCATATATGGACTGTACGGACAAGTTAGTGAATGTTTTGATACTTTAACAATGTTTACATACAACATCAAAGTCTTTTATTTGGCTTTTATTTTGGGAAATTCAGTTTTCCAAGATATGAGTCATTGAAGTACAATATTCAATGATACATTTTTCTGAAATAAAGCATCAAATCCAGTAGCACTGTAACAGAAAGCACCTACCTCTGGTGTGGGAAAAACAAGTCTCTTTTTTGAGGAGGAGAGATGATCTGTGATTTTTGCTTGGGGTGTCATAGCAGTAATACATGAAGTGATCAGTCTGCACCACAGCTATTGATAGCGACTTAACAGGGTGAGTGTGGTGTTTATTCACTGACCCAGCAAACTCCAATAATCTAGCATTTTTAGAAAAACCAAAAGGAAACAACACCTGGGCCAGGTAACCAGCATCTGACACACTGTGTCAGGTGTGTGGGCAGCTGGAACAATACAAAAAAACATGCATGGTCCAGGGCTGAGGAGCCCAGTTTCAAAGGAATGGTTCAATCAATAATGCTAATGTTGCTAACAATGAATGAAAGTGAATAGCTAGCTATTGGAATTATGACAATGAGCTACGAGGCTAATGTAGCTAACCCTGTTGAAAAAAGAAGGTGTAAGCTGGTTTATGCAGGTCTGGTGCTGGTTTAGTTGGTCACCCAGGATAGTCATGATGGTGGGCAAGAATACCAGCATCCAAAACACAACATGCTGGCTTAGCTGGTGACCAGACCATGGTGGTCTGCGCTGGTTTTCTAGCAGGGACGTAAGAAAAGCTTTTGCCTCATCAATTAGCATGGATGTAACTGCATGCCTACTCACATCAAACAGTGTGGAGCTGTTAACTAGTTCATAATATATTTAATTATGTGGTTTCTGGTGCTGAATGAGACACTTATTTATATTGGTCAGGATAGTTTGCTCAATGTTAATTGCTGTGATACAAGCTTTCATTAATTGTTAGTCTAGTCATACATCCATAAAACAGGAAACAAACTTCAGACACCAAACAAGTTGACTGATCGACTACATTTGAGGTAAGAGGTGAAAAACTGGGTGAAACTTTAATGGATTAATGGAGGTTCCTCTTAGCATTTGGTGGTCATCTCGGTCAGGATGGACAGCATGCTGGAGGTGGCGAACTGTGGGTTGAAGAGGAGGTCATCCAGCAGGGCACGACCTTTCACACGGGCAGCGGCCGAGCACATCGCACGCTGCCACATCGAGGTCAGAGTTCCACCTGGGAGAACACAGTAGAACGTGTGGCTGGTGTGTCTAATAGTGCATCGACAGATGAGTACAAAACTTACACAAGACGCTCTGATTTATGCCACGAATACATGAATAAATAAATGACTTAAATTAAACCGTGAACACATACATTCTTAAAAACTAAGGTTCTTGGTTCTTGATACATGTTTTTTTTTAAATGCTCCTCTCACTCTTACATCTCATTTTCCAAAAAAGTGTTTTTTAATGAACCAGCCAATGAAAGATTCTCTAGGTTCCTCTGGCATTACTTCCTTTTTAGCTCTTTGTTTGTAGTTCAGCATGCTTTTGGAAGAACCCATCAAAACTCTTTCACAGACATTCACTTTATCTAACATACCTGATTCAATTCATTCAGTAATTAATATATGAGCTGAATTGAGTAGAGAAAACACAAAAAAGTGCAGGTTGCCAGGACTGGGATTGGGAACCCCTCTTTTAGATGCTTTTGTTTCAAACAGCACTAAGAACATCAGTCAAGGTTTAATTAGTGACCTCTTATGACCTTAAATGACCTCTTAGTCAAAAAAAACAAAACACCAGGCTTATTGTTCAGTTATTAATTTTAATTAATTGTATTATTTACCTACTCAGAGTTAAGGGTTTAAACAAAAGGTTGGATTCCTCCTTCCCCTTTTATTATAACTGGGGTTTTGTGCACGTCTAAGAAACTGCCACTAGAGGGAGGGAGAAGCTTGTTTATCTCTTCTCTGTCTTCCTCCAACTAAACATCTGTCTATTCTTAAAGATCTTTACAGAATGTGAGATTTCAATGTAAACATGCATGAGTAAATGAGTCAAATCCCAATAAGCCTTGATTTATGGACAATGTATTGCCAATATCAGATGTAAACCATGTAACTTCATTTTTACTTATTTATTTTTTAGCATCATTTGAAAACGCCAGCTGCACTACACTATGTGTGGACATTTTATGGGCCAGTAGAAACAGCCCAAAATGAATAAAATCTTGCCTCACTAACTTTTTTAAACATTACAAGTTAAGAACATTTTCTCCTTCTCTTGAAAAGATGCCATCCATTCCACTCTTCTGGCTCACCTGTGGAGGGAGCTTGATTATGAGGCCATGTTGTGTGTCAGTTAAACATTTGCTTACCGAGCAGTTTGTTGATACTGGTCATCCAGCTGAAGATGTACAGGGTGTGGTTTTCCTCAGTGCTGAGGTCAGCAATTTTGGGCGGCTTGTCCGTTTCCTGCAGCACTCGGCTGGGCAGAGGGGTCATGAACTGCACGGACTTCTCCATGCTGGAATGGAAGTGGGAGGCCCCCACATACTGAGCAGAGTGCAGCCAGCTGTCAATGAAGGACCGCTCAGGACTGGAGTAATGTGTCTTCCTACACGAAGGGGGAAAGTACTTATTCAGGAACAGATCTGTTTGAAACATTTTTCCCTGCACAACAGAGCCTAAAAGACATGCACTACTGCTGATAAACCTCAGCTAATACATGTTTGGTGTCTGGCGTTTGCTTCTTTAGTTTTAGCACTGGAGCTACAAGGCTAATGCTAACAGGTAATGAAAGCTGATACACCTTCAATGAATCATCACACGTTTGTCCCAAGTTTCTGACTCTGTTTGATATACTGTTATCTATATAAATGGACAAAACATTCAGACTTTACATTAGCACACACAATGGTGTGTGATGACTGTGGCATGCCATTAGCACCATGCCAATTGGTGGTGTATAAGCTTACATGACTTTTTAGCCTCCTAGCTCCAGTGCTAGAAGTTTGCTAGAAACAAACTTTAGACACTAAACATGTTTTGGCTGATTGACTAAAAAGGGGGAATTAAAAAAAAACTTTAAATTTGATAATTCGAGGACCAAAGCGCCACACCGCCTAGTACAGGGGTATCAAACCGTACCAACAAGAGGGCCATATCAAAAAATCTCAGCAAATCTGTGGGCCAGCTCTGTTTTTATTTCATTTTTACTCAACATTTTGCCACGACCCAAACGGGCTACGTTTTATTCAAATTGGCAACAACAAAATAGGCATTAAATACTTACTCAAAAATAATTCTAAATAAAAAAAAAAATATTTTACGTAGTTGCTGCTTATTTGCTTGAACTTGAACTTCTTTTTGTGTAGCTGCTGGCCCACAGGTTGTTGTTGGGGAACACACACTTTGTTGCACTGCATGCTGGGGACTGTAGTGCATCTCAGGGTAAAACAGGTTAATAAGAATAAAAAATTAAAATCATTTCATGGGCCAAGTCAGGCATGTGACACAGGCCTATGTGTTTGACACATGTGGTCTAGTATTTTTTTTGCTATGTCACACTTGATTAAGTAGTCCCACTGGTGTGAAAATCATGCATGGTGTGGATTCAGATCATTAAGTTGTGGCCATGACTTAATTATCAAAACAATTATCTCATTCCCACCCCTTACTGAACCAGTGGGCCTCCATACCTGATACAGTTCAATCACTATCAACAGTTAAGACAATGTACAGCAGCCATCAGGCAAACCAGTCTTTAGAGGTGAAATCTGAGGCTCACTTATCAGCGCAGGTGCTGCTGACCGCGTCGAGGGAGGCCAGCTGAGCTGACCACATTAAACCCAGGATCTGATCCCTCTTGTCATCGTCACTCGCTTCTGATGCACTGATGGTCTTCAGAGACTGCAGAGGGAGCGAGACGCTAATCTAATTATCAAAACCACAACTGGAAACTGCAAGCGCTGCCTTTGAACAGCACGTTCCAGTCAGACAAGCAGGAAACTAAAGAATGTTAAAGTATATCACTACAGATACAGATCAATGCAAAGGTTTAGGTGCCCTTTGTCAAATTCCACGTTGAGTGAAAATAAGTTAATACATCCTCTACAGATACACATTGGTTTATCTACTGAACTTAACATATTGGAGAAAAATGACATAAAATGAGTCCTGTGCAAAAGTTATGACACATTTTATGCTTTGTATTTTTAGCAACATGTTAAATTCAGCAAATAAATAAAAATTATGGACTAAAATAGCCACATTTATGCAGGTGTTAACTTAAAAACATGTTATTTGACTGATTAAATAAAATAAACAGCGGTGACACATTTATAAACAAAAATGTATAATGATATTTTTAAATTCTTCATTTGAAGAACAGTCTAACAGGATGAAAAACCTAATTTGTTATAAACATAATGAATAAGTCACCTTAGACCAACATCCTATTAGCTACTTGATACCATGAACTTTATGATAGTCACTATATGCTGGTTGTTGTTGTTGCTCTATAAATTATCAAAATCATTTTTTTTTTATGAACCATGCAGTTGTTCAGTATAGAAGCACATGATATACTCATAAAGTGTGTTGGACCAAAATTGAAAGGACCACGCCTCAAGCTCTTCTTCCTCTTCAATCTAACTTCCTACAAATTTCCATCTCTACCTTCTATTTCGTGAGTTTTCCCACCCAGCCACTTCCCCATCTCCTCACTCCTCATATCTCTCAGTCCTACCTCTGTTCATCAAGGGGGTGGGGGGCTGTCCGGCCTTCTAGTTTAACCCCTTAAAATCCCAGGCTTATACATGCTAAGGTTTATTATCCAGTAACTACAGGGACTTCAATGCAAACTGGCGGAGCTATTCTTAGGCTATAGAAATGTGTAATAACTGGCCATGTAAGGGGTTAAAGAAGAGTTTCCCTAGAACTCCTGGCCAAGTTCTTATGCTTCATTTGCATGTTGCCATTGAAGAAAAGCAGTACGTGACGGCATGCAACCATGCCAAACAATTACAATGGTGACAGCGTCACTAGCTAAAATGGATTCTTGACAAAGGAAAGCTTTATAAGTGTTGACTGTTTATTTAAGGTGGTAAAAAGTCAGGAGGATGCTCTATACTCGGTTCATTTTATGCTGTATAATACTCTGCTAGCCTGGATTTCAACAATGAGACGTTCGGCGACAGTGGGGCTCAGATCAACATCCAGTTTATTCTACCAGCACTGTTGTTAACAGCCATCAGCACTGGTGGACTTTCTGCTGGTGCTCATTAAAAACAATGGAATATCTGGTTCACAGTTGGCCGTCTACCGTCATAATGTAATCACCAAGCAGAGGTCAGTCCCATCCTACATCAATACAATGGTTGGGTTCTACAACCATATGTGGAAGGTCTGCAAATTGCCTTGTATGTGAACCATATAAACTATATGAAAAGTATGTACATGGAAAAATGGATAAGTACCTGAAAAAATGTGGCCCATTTTTGTATGGCGTCGGGGTGCACGCTGGAACAGGTGCTGGAGCAATAATCGCTAGCCATCTCCGCAGGTACCTGAATCTTCACCTGAGCCTGACCATCTCCCACCAAACCTGCCTCAACAGCCACCAGGAACGGAATCACAGACAGGTGGTAGTTCGCACCTGGACAGAGGTGGACGGAAGGGTGGTGGAGTGAAGAGAATAGCCATCAGTGTGATTTTAATCTAGATACAGAAATTCTGACAAACGATGTTACATTTATGACCCTCAGTCATAAAGGTCCTCAACACTACTTACACCCCCACCAGCTGCTGGTAGCAATACACACAGGGTCGGAGCTCTCCTGCCCACAGGTACTCACACCTGTAGGATCGACCAGTCGACCTGTGAAACAAAGCAAAAGTTTCTGATGTGAAAGTATTCTCTCTCAGGTGTGCGAAAGGATAATATTTAAAACTGTTTTCAGGAAATCTTATGTAGACTTGCTTATGTGGTGTCTGACACTGTATGATATACTAAATACAGAAAACTCAGCCTTCAAGATGACAGTAACCTTATGTGTAGGTTCATTAGACATTACTTAACATGGTTTGAAGCAAGTGTGTGTTGATTTAGGCATGCAGTTTGCATGGTGCTAATTCCTGGGGCTATACATTTCAATTATTTGTTAGCAGTAGCTTCATAGCTCTAGTGTGAAGCTAAAGAAGCAAAATTCAGATACAATCTGAATCATCTTGATCAACTACATTTGGGGGTAAATAGTAAACTGTGTCGTTGTTACTCAAACTGTTGCTTTGAAAAAGTGATCCCAGCTACACTGTTAGCATGTCATTTTAGTATTATCCCATCAAATGTGTTCATGCTAATATGCTCAAACTTGTCTCAAAGGTTTTGGTGCACCATAAGGGTGGTTTAGATAGTTTGGAATATACAAGACAAGCCCAACTTTACTAGCATAGTGAGCCTTGCTAACCTGTCTTTATGAAACCAAAAGCCAGAGAATGGTGGGTTTCTGATACTGGATTAGCACTCCTACTCTGATACATGATGAACGCAGATCAAGGTCAGAATTAAGATGCAATGGTCAAGTCTTTCACTGGTCAGAATTGTGGTCCTAACTTTTTTGGGTTTCCAGCCCAGCTGGAGGAGAAGCCCCCACAGCAGATCTTATTTGGTCATAAGGCCTTATATGTGAGTAACTATGTAAGTGTAGGGTCCCGTAAAAGATTTGGTACAGTAATTTTGGTCAGTACAGCTGAAATTGTAGCATGGACGCGTTAAGGGGGTTTAGTTGAAGTACTATGATCCTTCAAAAAAAGAGTTGCCCTAATACTTTGTCACTAATCCTGACACATTTGCCTTTATGCTCACCAAAAACCAGAAATGAGTAGGAAACTGATTGTGGATTAGCACTTCTACTCTGAGATGCATAAAGAATGGAGGTCTTGGCCTTAGAGCTAATAGTCCAGAGTTAGAATTCACACTGCTTGGAAATGCGGCCTATGATGCTGCCTAATCTGAGTTTCCAGCCCCCCAGAAGAACCTCGCAGCAGGTTCTCATTGGCTTTAGGGCCCATAAATCATATGTAGGGGTTGAAGCTATGACATGAAACATAAGATATCCTGTCTCATTAGTATACGTATCTTGCAAATCTGCCCTTATGGTCTCCATGTGTCAGAGAGAAACACAAACTGAATTCTGGATGCAAGGATCGGAGGGATAACTTGGAGCGTAGCTCTTCGAGTTAACATCTCATTTGAGTGATGTGCCATAAACTTTATTCTTGCTAGCATGCCCTTCATAAAATTTATGATTATGTTGGTTCAGCATAAGGTGACTTCAGATGAACTATAATGGTCCTTCAAACAATCTCTCTCTGAAAACAATTTGAAATACAGTTTATTCATGATAAACCATATATCACTAGCATAGCCAACTTGCATTTCTGTCTCTGAATTAGCATTCCTAATATTTAACTTGCATTATGAATGCTGACCTGAAAAACTCATAGCCAACTCTGTCTTCATGATCATGAAAAGCCTCAGATGAATATGAGTCCGATTCTGGATTAGCCTTCCTATTTTGACGTGTAGTGAATGCTTACAGGCCTGGAGTTCATAAACACCACTCAGTCGTTGGTAACGTTTACCTGATTTGAGTTTCCAGCCCAGCTGCAGAGGAAGCCCCCAAAGTGGGTTTTCAGTGGCTCCAGGGCCCATGGAGCTCATGAAGGAATTTGTGGCATTGATCATCAGCCTGTACATGGCCATCCTCTGCAAGTAGTCCCATGGGTCCAATTTGACCACTCCATCAGCCTGTGGAAGCTCAGACAGAAGGGCCGGGGCCTTCTCCCAGAGGATAGGGAAGCCATTCTCAGTCACCACTGCTGCTCTGCAAATGGTGACTAGCAGGACAGCCACTGCAACAAACCCAGTGAAATGCATATTTGGAGATGTGGCTGGACTGATAAAGTGGGCAGAGGCTTTTGTAGACTGGGATGGCAAGGACTTTGATCAGAAACAAGGAGAGAGGGAATTGCATAAAAGCAGAGAGGATGGGGGAGGCGGGGGTGGCAGAGGCCTCAGTGTCTTCTCTTGTGATTGAAGCAAAAGTTTGACCAAAAATCTGATGTAATCATTATACATTTGTCTTAGCCCGTGTTGAGTTGTCAAATAGACTTGGTTATGTGGTTTCTGACACTGAATCACACACTGTCATCTATAAACATGGTCTAAAGTAAGTCATAAAGACAAAACAGTACTAGCAACCATCATTTGTCTACATTTTCATCCATGTTTACAAATAACAGTACTTATAGTGGCAGAAGCTACATCAGAAAGTCTCAGCTCCCATTATATATCACTAGTTACTTTAGCTCAGGTGCGAAAATAAAGAACCAAACTTTAGTCACCAAACATGCCTTGGCTGATTGACTACTTTTGCAATAAGGACTCAACAACCCCTCGAGCAGCTATGCTTGGACAGACTGTCCCACTGTTATAGCTGTTGTGGGAAAGTGAACTCTAGAAATGCAGATTTCACTCACTTTCAGCACATTTCAGTTCCTAGTGTACATACGGTACATACTGTGCACTCGTTCTTATCCTAACAATCACATTGCCAGATCAATAGCCCTTACATAAACCCAAACCAGCGGCCTTCAGTGATGTAACAGACTACCAGGGATCAGGTTAGGCTTTAAGGAATGGATCATTTTGGTCTAATTACAATAATACTTTACATACAAACACACTGCATTCAGCCTTAATCTGTTGGTATATGCGTTGGTACAGTTTCAGCTCTGGTTCACTGCTGATTATATTGTTAATTGTGCAACAGAAGCTGTAGAACTACAGGATGAACACTGGAGACCAGAAATGGAAGTAGTACAGTAAAAACAGTAGAAATACACAGCTGAAGAGTTCAAGGTGGCTGTATGAAAGAATATTCATTACTGGGCACTGTCAGGAGGGACTCTGCATTGACAATGTATTTTTAGTGCAGCACTAGGCCCACATTGTGTCACAGATGCATGGCTTTTATCAAACAGAGCATTCAACCACAAATGGCATTTTCCTAGGGAGGGCCTAAGCTAGGCCTTAATAGTGAAACACCATCAACGTAGCAAATTAGTCCAAATTTCAATTCCTCACTCTTATAACAACACATTTTACATTACTACTTTCATAACAGTTACTGAACAATTCATAGCATTATATTAATTCCATTACTGTAGCTCCACTGCTCTCCACCTTCCCTACATGTGGTCGATCAGCCAAGACGTTTAGTGTCCAAATTTTGCTTCATTAGTTTAGCACTGGAGCTGCAAGGCAAACACTAGAAGTCAATAGTCACCCAAATCTTTTCCACAAATATATCCCCAAAACTTCTCTCAACCTGCATCCCTGAACTATAAAACTGAACAAAACCTCTCTGTGTACCTGAAAACAGGGGCAGCCACTTTATTTAGACAAGTTTTGTGCCAAATTTATGTTTGTAAGTGCCCTAAACCACAGCAACAAGTGGAGTTGGGGATGTGTTTTATCGATTTGGTTTGAGTGACTGTTTACTTCCAGTGTTAGCAATGTTAACTCATCAACCTTGTATAACACCCAAACATGCCTTGGCTAATCGACAACATCAGGGTAAGTGGAAAATTGTGTAATTGTGTTTTTATAGTCAAAGTTATAACATGCTGGCAGTATCTCACCATATAGCACCTCATCAGGTGTACGATTGCAATTATTCTACAGTTTTGTTGTTAGCATTTATCATTAGCTGTTGAGACAATGACAACATAATAACTGATTAACGAGAATTTATTTGCTTTGCATGAAGAAGAAGGACAGCTCCATTAAACAGTCTATATACTGCTCCCAGGGCAATGCGAGGTTACACGTGAATAATATGGAGTTATACTTTAAAGAATGTGGTCAAAATGTGACAATATCAGGATATATTGTGGTTTAATGTATACGTTTTATGGTTTAGTTACTAAATACTAAGCTTGAAGTTTAAGGGATGAAAAACAGGCCAAAGAACTGACCTTGCCAAACACAGAAAAAGTCACATCACGTTCATATTCCTTGGGACCTGTCAAATAAACACTTTTACAAATGAGGCAATGATGCAAACAGAGCTTGTTGTTGGCAGACTGTAGTCTCACCTGTGGGATTAGTTCTGACTGGTCTAATCTTGTGGGTTAAAAAAAAAGGTGTGAAATTTGGGGTAAACATGAGCCTGTTTCATACAGGCCTAACGAGTCCCTCAGCTCAGAGAGGTGTGAAAAGAGCAAGCCAAAGCTAACACTTCTAATGACCTTAATGAGACACACATCACTCTGCCTCCATTGAGACCACTTACACCTGTTTTGCATCACATCATTATCTCATTAGCTCCTTAAAGTTTTAAACAAACTTCTACTTAGTGTTTTTTTTCCACCTATGGCACAAAACTTCACTCCACTGTTAAAAAATGCTAATGTTTATAAAAGATAGTTGAGATATATTTTGTTCTTTAATTGCATTGATGGATTGATTTATTGGTTAATAATTAAACATCGTTAACTGTGACTTTCACATTTAATCTCTGAATAGGGATAGGGCAGATAGGGGTAAATATTCATTCAATATACTTAACATTAATGTCTTCACCCCAACTACTCACTACACTGTAAAAACTGATTTGGACTTTGACTATTTTCATAGAACTAGAAGTTCAGTGAACTTGAAATTTGAGCACAGTCTGTTTACTTTCTTTTAAATCTACTTTTAAAAGTGGAATTGTTATATGACATTTTATTATTTAGTATGTGTAGAAAAACTGTAGAACATACTGTCTCAAAACTTTGTCAAGTGCATGGCATTATAGAATTTGTCTAATATAAATTACACTATATGGACAAAAGTATTGGGACATCTACACATTACACCTGCAGGAGCTTCTATGAATCCCATTCTAAATCCATAGGCATTAATATGGAGTTTGCAGCTGTAACAGCTTCCACTCTTCTGGGAAACTTTCTACAAGATGGAGAGAGTCTGTGGGAATTTCTGCCCATTCATCCAGAAGAGCATTTGTGAGGTCAGACACTGATGTTAGACAAGAGGGCCTGGCTCGCAATCTCCGTTCCAGTTCATCCCAGAGGTGTGTGATGGGGTTGAGGTCAGGGCTCTGTGAGGGCCAGTCAAGTTCTTCCACATCAAACTCACCCAGTCAGGCCTTTATTGTGCACTGGGACTCAGTCATGCTGGAACAGAGAAGGCTCTTCCCCAAACTGTTCACACAAAGTCAGAAGTGTACAATTGTCCAAAATGTCTTGGTGTGGAAGCATTAAGATTCCCCTTCACTGGAACTAAGGGTTCTAGACCAACCCCTGAAAAACAGCCCCATATCATCATCCCTCCTCCACCAAACTCTACAGCTGGCACAGTGCAGTCAGGCAGGTAACGTTCTCCTGGCATTCGCCAAACCCAGACTCGTCCATCAGACTGACAGATAGAGAAGCTGATTCGTCACTCCACAGAATATGTTTCCACTGCTCCAGAGTCCAGTGGCGGCGCTTTACTCCACTCCATCCGACACTTGGCTTTGTGCTTGGTGATGTAAGGCTTGCATGCAGCTGCTCGGCCATGGAAACCCTGCCATGAAGCTCCCGGCGCTCAGTTTCTTTTCTGATGTTAAAGCCAGAGGAGGTTTGAACTCTGCAGTTATTGATCAGCAGAGCGTTGGTGTCTTTTATGCTCTATGCTCCTCAGCACTCGGCAACCCGCTCTGTAACTTTATGTGGTCTGACACTTCGTGGCTGAGCTGCTGTGGTTCCTAAACACTTCCTCTTTTCAATAATACCACTCACAGTTGATCGTGGAATATCTAGGAGGGAAGAAATTTCGCAAACTGACTTGCTGCAATGGTAGCTAGCTCCATTTAAACATAATCTGCTAATGAATTTGAATACTTATAAGGGACTGCATAACAATTCATAATAGTCGATTAGTCTTTAGCATATTAAAAATATCACTGTTCTAGATGTGTTTGAAATTGTTTTTGGTTAGTAGCTTGCTTATAGGAGTTGGTTTGGGAGGCACATGCTGTGCTTTGAAGTGTGTTGTTTGCTGAGTTTTTTGTTGTATTTTAGAAAGTTTTAGACTCAGGCACTCTGCACACAAAGGTACACAGACTGTCTGATGTAAACTGCACACTAAAATCACCAGAGCTCTCAGAATCTCTCCTCTCACAGAGGGTTTAAACTGGTTCTGGTCTGTGCACTCTGGCACTGTCCGATGGGAAAATATGCAATCGTTTATCAAGCTAGATGGTAGTAGGTGGGTAGCAAGTAAACAAGATATCCTTGTATGTTTGTGACCTCTGCTCCTAGTTTGTTTTTGTTGTGCACACCTTTCCTATCATGGGTCTCTGAACCTACTGGTCTGGCTTTAAAAGCTTGAATTTCTGTGCACTCTTATGCAACTTGCACTGAACTTGTTTTCATTTTGTGTAGTTCTGTTCACCACAGTTTTTTTATTTCAGGCTCTGTCCTCGACTAATCAACTACCCACAGTGTCCACTAACAGATTAATTAGCCAACTAGTTGACTAGTCTATGCAACACCTACTGAATATATGATTGAAAATTTGGATAGGTTATCTCAGCTCACAAGCTCAGTTAAAATCAACTTGATGTCAAGCTATTTCACAGACACATCAGATACATCACTACATTGGCAATGAATGAGGTGCCTCGGTCAGGGCTGAAACACAACTGGCCCTTTGTTTTTCCTGAGGAACCTGATTGTTCATTATTAGTTCTACCAGGAATGGCAAACATGGTTATGCTTTAAAGGTGAAAGCAGACATTCTAGAAGGTCTAGAGTAGGGTTTCTCAACCTGTGGGCCCACAGACCACTAGAGGGCGCTTCACAGCCCACTGGTGGTCTGCGGGCCTGTACTCAGAGGGAGAATTCCGTTTGACACTCCACCCGTATTCAGGTCTGCAGCAAACAGCTGAACCGGTTAGACAGATACCCACGTCTCAGTCCGCTTCAACCCGAACCCTGATTGGTTCATTGCTGATGGAAATGCGCTCTGTGATCAAATGAGGGAATTCATCAACACAGCTGGCTTTCCTTCTCTTCTAGAGGCACAATGACACCATACAGTCAGCATAACGACTGTTTTAACGACTGACTCTTTAGACATTGAAAAGCTGCTGATGAACAACAGATGAGCCATAAAATAATAGAGAAGAGATGCGTTTGATTTCAACTCGGTCGAGCATCAGGGACCTGAGTGGTTAAACTCAAACTGATAAACCAATGACAAAAAAGCAGAGATCAGGTAAGATTTACAATTATTGTTGATTGTGACGACGATAATCCAAAAGCCCAGTGAGTGGGGTGTGGTTTCAAAGGCATCACAAAAACCCTCAAAACTAGAGACGTCTCGAAACCAAACAGTTACTCTTTGGGAAAAGCCAGTGGAGCATTTTCAGTGAAAACACAATTGACAGCAGCTCCAAATCACATCTACCTCATTCATTTCTATTCTTTTTTACTCTTTTCTTCCCGTTTTAACATCACTAGAAACATGGTTTTTTTAAACTTGTTTCATGTTTTTTAACATATCTGCAAATTTTGCAAACTTACTGACAACCAGAAAGGCCAATCTGATATTTTTCAGGACCTAATTTTCAGGTTTTCAGTGTCAGCATTTAAGAAAAGAAAAATAAAGTTATATTTTAAAAAGTAGTTGTAGTTATGCACAGTTGGGCCTTGGTGTGGAAAAGGTTGAGAACCCCTGGAGCGTGACGTTCTGAGTTGTTTTGATCCAGTTTAGGCCCTTTGTGTTGTCATTTACAGCACGACAATTTCTGTTGTCAATGTCAGCCATTCCTGACTGGTGTGTTGGTCATTGTACTGAACATCCTCTAGTTGTGCTGCTAAGCAAAGCATTTTAACGCCAACCCCAAAGTTAATCTAGAGGTTTTGTAACCTGGTAGTCCATATGTCCAGAGTTCACTTGTTAACTGGAGACACTTAAATGAGAAAAAGCAAACCTGTTTTTCCATATTTTGTATGTGTATAATGCTTTAATTTGCATATTTATTTGACCTGAGACTACCCAGAAACCAGCTGGTGTGCCTGTTCTTGGATTGATTTGCATTCAGTTCTACACTCTGTGTAGAACTAGGCCTAACTTATTCTGTCTAGCTGGGCTTTCGGCCACATACAATGGCAATAGCCACCTAAAAATAGGTACATATTTGAAATATATAAATCTACTGTAGAGTGGCTGAGTTGGGTTCACCAGGTATTCAGTCTGAAGGTCACACTGCCCGTCTAGTGAACTAACAGTGGGCGCACACAGTTGATAAGAGCCTGTTGACCCTGACATACGTTTGTTCAGTAACCTACCAGCACTGCAATTGGGGACAAAGGACGGGTTGGGATAAAATGCGTTAGAAGACGAACATGGCAGAGTTGTGTGTGATTGAGAGAGTGTTTGTTTGATTTCATACATTCTTTATGACAGTAAAGGTCCTGACTCTGTAAGAAACATGGGACATATTACACATAGCAACCACTATTTATTGTGTTAAGGTTTTGTTGTATTTATTCTAATACAAGCATTTTCAGAGCCACTCAAGATAAACAGCTTTAAATATACATTTCTCCAAGATTTCTGCACAGCACTGTGTATTAGTATGATTTGTATGACCTTAGTATGATTTCCAGTCCCTTACTGGAGCTTATACAAAAGCCACATTCAGAGTCAAAATGCTAATGCTGAAGGAGTTAGCAGAGTTAGAAAGGAGTCACAGCACATTTGCAATTGTTTATATGTAAATGAAACATAACATAATTTGAACTAAATAGCATTAATCACTTTTGAGAACATCTAGAGTAAAAAATAAATAAATAATGATTTTTTGGGGAATTTTTAGTTGATTTTTGAATTGAATTTGAAATCCCAGCTTCATATATTGGATGCAAAATAGAAATGTATGTAAAATTATATAAAAGTTACATTTTTAAAGTAACTAAAATAAAGTAAAAATAAAGATAATTTTGAAAACTGACTGAACAATTTCAAATTTCAAACATGACAGATTTGATGCTCTAACAAAAAAAGTACTCTCTACAGTCATTTAAAATTGGGGTAATATTGTGGGAATACAGTGACATGAAAATAATTGATTGAAACTGAAATTTTAGTTAAAATTTGACAAATTTGACTAAAAAATTACTTGGAGCACAGTTTTGAAATTTTGCATAGTTACTTGAACTAAATAGGAGCTCTCCTTGAAAATTTCCATGGAAGTCCAAGACGTGATCTGCCAACTCCTGCATCATTTTCACCAAAAAAAAAAAAAACATTTTGCCATATAACATTAATAATTTTATTAATGCACCCACAACACATGAATCTGTGATTGGTTAGAGGCTCATTTACATATTGCAGCCTTCTTTGACTGTAAAAAACAATATTGGAATAATGATTAAAAACAATATATTGTGGAGCCTGATTACTGAGGGAACTATTTAGGCCAGTAATTCTGTGCTTTGACCTGGTCCTGTTCAGTGCCTGTGTGTCTGGTGAACTCCATGGGGAAAGAAGGGCATAGGTGGTCATTTTGGGTTAATTAGGCTGGGAATAATGGCTTGGTCTGGGCATTAATGGCCTCGGGGCTGGAGATGTAAGTTTGTGCTCAGGTTATAAAGAAGGCAGATTGTACTGGACAGTCTACGTGAGCGACGGCTTGAGGTAAGATTCAAACTGAGATAACTGCAGGCCTATTGATCTAATGACTGTGTACTGCTGCACTGTTCAACAAGACTGAACAGTTTCAGAAGGAAGTTTTCAGTCACTTGATTATGTCATTTTATCTACCTTTCCTTCATTTTTAAAGATTTACATTCTTGTTTACCAGTTTTCAGTACTTTTTAAATGTAATTAAATGCTGCCATTATACAATTTAGTATGTACTGAAGTATGTTAGGAATTTATATTAACATTCAATATACATTTTCATCGACAAATTCAAGTCTGCATTTTTGACTTTTTTCTTTGTTTTTTGATGCCAAAAAATGACAAAAACAGGGCAAAACCATAAAGAATGGGTTCTGTTTCTTCAAAACTTTTCACCAAATTTGAATCATAGTAAAATTTATCATCTTTTACTAAGAAGCACTAATGTGGTATAGATTGAAAGTTTAGAATCTGCACTTTCCACACAATTTTGGTTTCAATAAGCTCAGAGTCAGAAATGGCAGATGAGAAATGTGGAATCACTGTGTATTGTGTTTCATCGTGTTTTATACATATTTACAGGTCACATTTCAGAAAGAAAGCATCTCTTCAACAGTTGGACCTCAGAATGAACTCAAGCCAGGCTCAGATAGTGGACATCACTCCTCTTTGCTATGAATTTTTAAACGGGTCTTGTCCGAAATTTGCCTACCCGCTGCTTTTGAGGGTGCCGCTCTACTTGTTCTTTACTTCAGTGGTGATTTTGACAGTATTTGGCAACCTTTTAGTCATCCTATCCATCGTTCATTTCAAACAGCTGCACATGCCGACTAACTACCTCATTCTGTCTCTAGCTGTGACTGACCTTCTGCTGGGCAGCTTTGTGATGCCTCCTAGCATGATACGCTCTGTGGAGACTTGCTGGTATTTGGGGAGCTTATTCTGCAAAATACACAGCAGTGTTGACGTCACATTGTGCACCGCATCCATATTAAATTTATGCTTCATATCTATTGACAGATACTATGCTGTTTGTCATCCTCTGCTGTATCAGAGTAAAATTACCCCCTTCGCCACTGCGGTCATGATTTCCATCTGCTGGACTGTCTCGGCTGCAGTCGGCTTTGGAATTATATTTCTTAAACTCAACATTCTGGGCATTGAAGACTTTTATTATGAAAATATTGTCTGTGAAGGAGGTTGTGTGCTGTTCCAAAGCGCAGCCTCGAGCACCGCCTCCTCTTTACTCTCCTTCTACTTGCCAGGCATTGTGATGCTCAGCATATACCTGAAAATATTCCGTGTTGCACGAAAACAAGCGAAATCCATTCAGGACTCAAAAAGCAAAAACAACTCGCAATCAGTGTTGAGCAAAGAGGAAAGGAAGGCCACCAAAACTCTGGCAGTGATTATGGGGGTCTTCCTGTCTCTCTGGACGCCGTTTTTCATCTGCAACGTCGTCGATCCTTTTACCGGTTATTCAATTCCTCCAGTGTTGTTCGATATGCTTGTTTGGATCGGATACCTGAATTCAACCTGTAACCCTATTGTGTACGCTTTCTTCTACAGGTGGTTCAGGAAGGCTCTCAGGATGGTTTTGTCTGGTAAAATATTTCAGCCAGGCTCTTCAAGAACCAATCTGTTTTCACACTGAAATTAACCCATCTTCAGAAAATGAATGCACACACTCTAGAAAGCAAATAATGAAAATAATGAAATAAAAATGTGGCTTATTGTAGAAGCATGAGGTATTTTGATCCACAGTGAGAATATTTGCTGGGATTTCACAATATTCAGCACTCATTTTCACAGTGAAATCCCGTATTTATCATCTTATTGTGAAATCAACAGATAGGTTCTGTAAAAATAACACTGCAAATTACTCTGAGGTTGATGTTGAGCTGCACCTGGGCAGCAACTGAGAGTTAAAAAGGCATAATCATTTTAATGAAAGCGTTTAAAGTGTTTTCATCTGCACAATTTAGGTTTTGGTGTTTTAATAACTTCTAAGTTCTTTTTGTTGTTTCGCTGACAAACAATTATGTTGCCAGTTGTGAGATTTTGGTCATGAACTATGAGCAAAATAAAACTGTCTGTAAAATGTGGATTTGCAAAGAAATTCTATATTCTGCACAAATGCAGCGTGAAATATACAACAAATATAATGATTGACACTTTCGATTTTAGTTTGTTTAGACAAAATGTAACATATTTACTTGTCTTTTTTAAGTTAATTTACAGTAACTTGCTGTCTACTGTGTTACATTACTTTTACAAATGTTATTTAAAATGAATTACAGCTTATTACAATAAGTGTACAGCAGAATGCAGCTAATCTCGTGATGCAGGTAAGTGTAGAGTCATAGTTTACATCTGCTACGTTACTGTTATTTACTGTCAGTATGGCTTGGTAAATTAATGAAACTAATGCAATTCACTGTAATTTAATAGAGAAGATTTTTACAGTGTGAGTAATTATTTTTAGATGCTTTGTTTCATAAAGAATGTAACTGATATCTGATTAAAAATGACACTGTAGATTTTTTTGCATAGTTAATATTGCAAATTTTTGACTTTTTTATTGCTGACCTTCGAACAGACTTTTATGAATGGTGGCCCAATGGTTAATTAACTTAGTTAAGAGTTTATGAGCCAAGTAATTTCAAGCAGGCTGATCCAGCAGTCAGCTAATCTCAAAAAGTCGTTTTGGCCCAGACTTTCACCCAAATGTGTGCTTTCTGTCACTTAAACTCTGGTGATTCTTTCAACTAGAATTAGAAAAAACAAACAAAAAAAAATTAAAATTTTCCAAAATGCTGACATTTTTCTATTTTATTAGGAACCTTAACCCTGAGACTGCCATTAAAAATGCCTGGAGAGGACATAACCATAAAAAAACATTCTATGAATAGGAGCCACCCACACTCAAAAAAACTAACCAACATAGCTGTTGGACAAACTGAAAATATGTCAACATTAAAAAATGAACTTAGTTGTCTTAAAGTACCTGCTTTACTTAAGATGGACAAAAAATAATTAAAGTATATTTCAACAAATTTGTTTTGACCCAAAGAGAATTTCATTCCAATGAAATCTAAATTAATCAAACTGAAATACATGTATGTGAAACCCTTTTTTGTGCTATATGTTTTCAAACATGTTCAATATAGAACTGACGGATGTTTGGATAAATAATCTTTATCTTCTGATAATGCTAACAAGTAGTGTTTATTAACCAAAGAATAGTAATCTTCACACTGTAAAATAGGCCTTAGCCTCCGTGAGAACTTGGACTCAGGATGCCCCCTGCTAGTAAAAGGGGCCTCCTGAAGCTTGTGAGAATCTGCTGTGTGAGCAAGAAGAGCTGTCCTTGAGATAAGAACCAGCCCTGGAACAGGTGAACTTACAATGCAACCAGTCAAAGCTAATGTCCTTGGGAACTGGAACGTTCTGGTACAGCTAAGATAAGATATTTTTAAAAAAGCATGTATCATGTATGATTGGAAAGAAGGGTTCCCAAGTGAAAATGTGATGGTTCCCACCATAGAAAAGGAGGGGTGATTACTTCATCGCCCCAAATAGGATGTAAAAGTTGGGTGTTTTTGACATGTTCTTTGCATTGTGGTTGTTCGGGAACCATCTTGCCATCCAAGCTCAATAAAGCAGAAGGGCTTTTCCTTCCTTCCACAAGAACTCAGCGACTGAAGTCTTTTTATTTTACTTTGCTTTTTACACTTTGACATTTTTCTTATTTTGTTTAGAGGAAGTTATATTGCGGTTAGCTCTTAAGGTAACAGTATTAGAACACGCTAGGAGAATCCATCTCTGTCCACGGGCCTTGAGCACAGAAGACAGGCTTTTGGGCCTGACAGAACCATATACAGCACATTCTCCATCAGAACTTTGGGCCCTGCCTGCAGGCCCAGACTATTTAAGGGGTTAAATTGCATACATTCTATTTGACTGTCTCTTTCTAGAATATGCCACAAATATGACATCACTTTTATGAATAATTACACAATTTTAAGTTATGGGTCAAAATTTTCCCTCAGGTTACAAATGAAACCAAAGTTTTATTCATTTTTCCTGAAGAAAACTTTGACACCTGTCACTGCTACTCCTGAGGGCCCTGGGGTCAATCTGAGTGTATTACGAGGTGCCGTTCTACCCTGAGTTTCGGAGGGGAATGAGGACAATGTGGTTTGGGCATTTTTTAAAATGAATGCCACCCTTTCAGCATTTTGCTGCATTTTGTTTCCTCATCAGTGCATAATTCCTCACACTCTGAACTGATTTTACCACTGAACTCTGTTTCAGATGCATCGTCTTCTATTTCACTGTCAGCATCTTGTAAATCATGGCCAAACACAAGACGTGTGTGTGTGTTTGTCCTGCTTTCCCTGTGAGGACCATATGTCCTCACAATAATAGGACAACACGACAGGTTTGCACAGGTGAGGACTTTGCTGGTCCTTACTTTAGCATGTGCTGGTTTCACAACAAGTTCATTTTTTTGGGAAAAAAAAATAAAAGTGCAGAAAGATTGGCTTTTGGATATTGAGGTTAAGGTTAGGTTTAGGTGTAGTCTTAACAGAAATGAATAGAAACCAATAAACGTCCTCACAAGTTATGTAAGATAAGTGTGTTTATGTGTGTGTGTGTGTGTGTGTGTGTGTGTGTGTGTGTGTGTGTGTGTGTGTGTAAAAAAAACCTTACCAAACTTGTATCTCCCCAATTTCTTAATAAGACGTAAAAGAGATTATTTTTATAATTCATTCAGACTAAGTAATATTTGCCAAGAGCGTTATCATGGGAATACAATGAACACATGGTTGAAAAGGCAGTGTTTTATAAATCTGGACCACTGTGTGTCTTTGCTGTCTGTGCAGACAGAGGTCAGATCTGTCAGAGTGCTCCTTTTACACTCAAATGGATATATGATATGTTCATAATGCTTTTGTTACCATTTCATCTCACTGTGATGTCAGTGTATTTCTATGTTGCGGATTCTGGTTAATAATATCTTTTAACTAATCCAGCATCTGTTGTATCATTAGATACAATATGGACTTCCAAAAGACTCTCAGTCAAACTGTGATGCTGGAAAGCCCTCCACTCTGCTACGAGTCACTCAATGGTTCATGCCTGAAGTTTGTTTATCCAAAGGAAACTCAAATTGCTCTTTATATTTTGTTCATTGTCATGTCATTTCTAACAGTTTTGGGGAATTTGTTGGTGATCATAACCATCATTCACTTCAAGCAGCTGCACACACCAACTAACTACCTGATTCTCTCTCTGGCTGTTGCTGACCTGCTTGTGGGAGGGGTGGTGATGCCTCCCAGCATGATGCGCTCTGTGCAGAGCTGCTGGTATTTGGGGACTTTATTCTGTAAAATACACAGCAGCCTTGATGTCACATTGTGCTCTGTCTCTATTTTAAATCTGTGTGTAATTTCTGTAGATCGATATTATGCAGTCTGTCACCCCCTTCTGTACCACAGTAAAATGACTCCTAATACTACTGCATTTATGATTGTTGTATGTTGGACTGTATCTGCTTTTGTAGGATTCGGGATTATATTTCTAGAGCTCGGTATTCTGGGAGAAGAAGAATATTACTACAGTAATGTCATCTGTGAAGGAGGCTGTACTGTGTTTTTCAGTAAAACAGCGAGTGCTGTGTTCACAATGCTCTGTTTCTACATCCCTGCTGTGATCATGATCGGTTTATACCTGAAAATATTCCATATTGCTCTAAGACAAGCAAGATTAATTCAACATGGCCAAATGAAGTCTTCTCAGAGAGGTACAGCAGTGGGCAAGACTGAGATAAAGGCAACCAAAACATTAGCCATCGTCATAGGTGTGTTTCTTTTATTTTGGGCCCCATGTTTTATCTGTAATCTTGTTGATCCATTCATAAGAAACATAATTCCACCAGTTCTGTTTGATATATTTGCTTGGCTGGGCTATTCAAATTCTACCTGCAATCCCGTTGTGTACGCACTGTTTTACAGCTGGTTTAGAAAATCTTTCAGAGCCATTCTGTTGGGAAAAATATTTCAGCCTAATTCATCCCGAACAAAGCTGTTCTGAGCATATTTCTGTGCAATAATTAAACAGAACTCCATAGACTTACATCCGTTTCTCAGATTGTCTTCACTGTTCCTACGCTGCAATTAACCCTGATGAGATGCATATATGTTAATGAAATCTAGTATTGAATTAAGACTGGACTAGTCACCCTGGCCAGTTATGTAACTGTTATAAACATTTACATTATCAATAAAGAACCAGTCACAGGGGCATCGCCTGGCCTGGGTTTCCTGTGCTGTAGCCCCAAATATTTTTTGACCAGCCTCAAACCTTTACCCACTCCTCAAAAAAGAGAGAGAGAAACAACCAAGCTCATCCTGTGTCAGACTTGGCTGAGGTGCTGGAGCTAAAAAATAAAAACTAAATGTGAAAAAGCTTCCACACATGCAAATCTGTGCAAAAATCCTTTTAATTTGCAGAGTTTCAGTCAGAGACTTTTTTAAAGGCATGCATAGATAGCAAATGGAAACAACAGTGAATACAACAAAAGTTAGATACAGCTACTACACTGTATCAGTACAGCCACACTGGGTACACTACAACCACTGGGCCTTTTGTATGAATAAAAAACAATAGTTTCTACAAGCTTTATGTTTTATGATGGATGATGACTGATGTTCATGTAGCATTAATCTCAATTGCTTATTGTTTCTTAAATGTCTCTGTGGACAGTATGTCTTTAACTTGTGCATCAAATTAAGGACTGCATTTCCCATAATGCTGAGCCAAAAGCTCAACTGATTGACACATATGTCCTGCATTAAGTCCAATCAAGCGCTGTGCTTAACCTTTTAGCGCTGTTGTATCCATTCATGCCTTGAACAAGGTCTCTGACCAAAAGCTTGCAAATGAAAAAAAGATTTTTGCACACACTTGAGTGTGTGGGTGCTTTTTCATGTTTAGAGAGAGAGAGAAAGAAAGAGATAGAGAAAGACAGAGAGCATGCGCAAGAGAGATAAAGAGAGAGAGCGTGGGCACAGTAGAGAAAGAAAGAAAGAGAGAAAGAAAGAAAGAGATAAAGACAAAGAGCGAATGCAATCAAAGTGCAAGAGATTAAATGCTTGTGGTGCCTGAAATTTCTGTAAAATATAAAAGGTGAATCTACTATACAGTAAAAAAAAAAAGGAAGTAAACCGGCAGTTTTAATATGTCTAATTCATCCAATAGTAAGTTAAAATATGTTACATTCTGTTAGAATTTAAAGTAAAAAAATATAAAACATTTAAGGCAGCCATCTTACTCATTTTTTAAGCTCAATTAAGTTTACATACACAAGCTTATGTACATAAGTGTACATAAAAAAATCACTCATTTGATATACAAAATATTGTATTATTTATACAAAATATTGTAGCTTTTATAAATTACAAATTATTTTATAAAAACTACAGATAAAATGTTTCTGTGTTAGCAGGAGATGTGAGAGGAGACATGTAGAAGAGATTGATGTTAAGAGAGAGGAACAAAGAACTTTATTAGTGTCATTATTTGGGAAATATCTGTTTTGACACATTTTCACTCACTTTCTATCACAAATAGTATTCGTTTTTTGTCTTTTCACTCTTTTTTCCTTTGCTTTTGTTTTACTTTGTTTACAACACAGGCCAGTCAACACGGGATCTTTACATGCCCCACCAACAGTCCTGCATTGCAATGCAGCCCACCTCACTTCCCTACTGGAAAAAACAACATGGACCAGCATGAATTCTCTCTGATCTAAGCTGGTTTATGCTGGTCTATTGCTGGTCTGGTTTTTGGGTCATTCTACAGAAACGTCCATTTTTGTATTGTGGTCTCCAGGAGTCGTGTCACTGGTGTTACTGCGTAACAAAAAATCTCTTATTTTGAAATAAAAGTCACACTGATGACATCACTTGACTTCCTTTTACCTGTTTTCTGAGGATCTGTGAAGAAAAGCACATGGTGAGTCCACTGTGTCTTTCAGTTATCAGAGATTTTCTCATTTAGCTCATGATTTCATATGAAGCTTTTAGCTGAAGTCACTGGTGTGACCGACTTTATTCTTAGGTAATTGTGAAACAATAGAACACAAATGGATTAAATTCCATATTTTAGTGGATATTCCATGATTGACAACATGTGGTTTGATGCTCTGTAGCAGCCATTTTGTAAAAGGCATCTTTCATTAAAAATGTCTCTGGTGTTACCTTTCTTATGTGTAACACCAATGAGGGTTGGTAACACCATTGACTCCTATGGAGAGAAGTTATAGGACAGCAATAGCAGTTTATAGAAGAATCAAAGGATGGGCAATAAACAAATTACAGGAAAACAGACATAGCAATGATGGGAAAAAAAACCCCAAAAAAACTAAAGGAGAATTGGTGTGCTGCACAGATCCATACACATATCCATAGTTATTTACTACGTGATATTGGTCACTTTTCTGCACTAAAACGTATCCTAGTTACGGCCCTGATATGATCAAGTGTTATGGTGGTTTAGTCATACACTCATTTGTTTTACCTATCCAGCAATTCTACTTTATATCCATAAACATTTAGCCCCCACATAAAAAGTGTGTATTTCCTTTCTCGCGCTGCAACACGGATCGACTTATATTGGAGCGCCCCCTGGAGGCACTTAACGTTATGGAGCGCACTGAGAGAGAGAGTAGAAGGTTCTGGAAGCTGCCGAAGATTATATTTACCCTTTTTGTGGCAGAATGCCACCAATATGGGTCTGGAAACACTGGAAGTACTGCTTTTGTGCTGGGTAAGGCAAAACTTTGTAAGTACTGGTCTATATTCTGTTTTAACTGCTTTAATAATTGCCAGCCACGTTTCTATGCTCACGCTATCTTAGCTAAGTTAGTTAGCTAGCCAGCTATTTTTAGCCAGGCACTCACAGTGCGTGTTCATTGCAAGTTCGTTGGACTTTAGTATCGCCTGTAAGTGAATATACATTTATTTTGCTATGTAAGGTTCAGATTGCGCTACTAAACTTGTAGCTAACGTCTGGCCACTGAAGTTAGCAGCCACACAGGTAACGTTAGCTAGGTTACTTGGATTTTGTTTGCGATGTCAACCGAGTCCAGCCAAATGGTCGACAATCTACAAATTCTTTGACATTTTGGTTGAGAATACGACGATAATAGGTCGAAATACGACTTGAATGTGTTTAGGTTTAACCAGTGTGATGACGGTTGCTCTGGCTACTGAAATGGGACTAAAAGTTTGGGGCAAAATAGCATTTCAGTTTAATTAATTGAATCACAACTTTGGTAAAATATCAGTGCACATATATATATATACGTTTATGTAGCTACTGTAGCTGACTGTCCATTTTCTGGCGCTCGCGTTTTAAATTTTCCCTCACCCAGGGGTTAGGATTACGCGGGTAGGCAGATATCACGATCTTTAAAACATGCGAGCGAAACACTGGTAATGAAAATGAGTTGAAGATCAGCGAATCTGCGCAGCACCGCTTGACCAATGAGGAGCCGGAGTTGTGGATTTTCAAATCGCAACGGTCGCCTGAGATGAACCGTTACCGTTAGTCAGAAAATCGTTGGTGGCCGGACTACTTTCTCTTCGTCTTTTCAGGTAAAACTGGTGTTAAATAAATTAAATTCAGTACCGCTTTAGTCTTACTTTGTATATAAATGTCATTTTGTTGCATTTCAGAGCGTTTTACTGTATAGAGTGTGTTTTAAATTATGAATATGAGTTGGTTGGATTTGTAGCTAACTCGCTAGCTTTTAAATGCTACATGTTATGAAAGCAAATTAGTCACATATGACATATAATATATAAGAGGTAACAGACTTTGGCCCAATCCCATTTCTTATTTTTAGCCCCTTGTTTTTGAGTGTTGTGGTTGAAATATTCACCTACGAAGCGGACCTTCAAATAAAAAGAGCATTACTTTATTAACAGGCTACTAGCGCTGCTCTGTAGGCGACCCTGCCAGAGGGTAAAGTCCAGCGACCTAATTCTTAAGTGATATGAAGCTGAAGTCAGCTATTCGTCAGCTTTTTGCTCAAATTTCCCTGTTCCACCTTAGATGGAGCATTTTGGTGCCTCAGGCTTCAGAACTGCTGCACCATTTGAGGTGGAACAGGAAATTTAGCGTGCTAGATACCGAGATACCATACTACTAGTGATTTTTTTAAGCTTGTTATAAAGAAAAGGACTATAATACACTGAAATGACATTAAACTAAGATAATACAATGGTTGTCGTAATTTTTAGCTGAGAAAATACTTATATTTGTGGGTTTCTTTGGTCGATTGCGCAGCCATCTTGCCGATTTTTCTTTGATTCTTTTTGAAATGTGCCTCTGAAAAGCCTTTGGAGGGCCATGTAGTCCTAACACTTCGGCCTACCCCTCTATCTCAACAAAAATCGGGACACCCTACTTCTAGACATGAACATACAAAACGGAGGGGTAGGCCAAACGCTTTTCGCAACAAATAATCTGTCTAGAAAAAACATTTCACCGTTCAAAGAAGCATTCAGTCATGTAAATGTTTTTTTGAGTGTTCATGGTTTTATATAGAACCATTGGCTTATATTTATTAAACTTCGCAGAGTAAGAATGCTGCTCTGGGGTCAGCTTAGATTTTTTTACAGAACATTGAATGTAGTTACATGGGCTGATGAAACCTTAGATCAGTACTTTGAAATGCTTGATAAATATGGGACATTGTCTTTACTGGAAACCCTTGAAGGACCATCTTTTTTAAGAATGTAGCTGAGAACTCTACAGCAGGGAACATCTTGGGCTTAGAGCTGCAATAAGGTTCAAATCCCAGCTGTGCCATGTCTTGCATGATAGCATAGTAGGAATTCAGTTGGCTGGCAGGACGTTATAGGTGCAATTTACAAGAGAAAAGCTAAAAAAAACAACACTACTTTCTTAAAAAATGTGGTTCTTTAAGCGTTCTTTAGTAAAGAAAATGGTTCTTTATAGACCCATGAACACTCAAAAAACCCTTTGTCTGCACAGTTGGTTCTTTGCGTCATGAAAAGGTTCTTCAGATTGAGGGAGAAAGTGCCATA